TGAGATAAGAGGACCTTCCGCGTTGTTACTGAGTAGTGACATCCATAGGAGGAAGGAGCCATAAATGTGGAGTATTGTAAAAAAATAGGATAACGTTCTCAGATTTTCAATTTTTGCTTCACAGAGCCCTGTTGTTGTGTAGGGTTGCTTTTTGCAGCATACGTTCACACCAGTTAAGTCTTAATTTCATCCAATAATAAAAATATACTATTTTATTTATCCTATCTGGCTTTAGTATGTTGGCTTCCCATAATCGTCTTGAACGTATTAATCTATATAACTAAGACATCAGTACCAAGGAAGTTTTATTTCATGGTGAATATTCTAAATTACTCTAACTCTTTTGTCAATCCGATTGCGTATGTCTTCAGAATTCCTGAGTTTCAGCAGGCGCTGCGTTCTTGCTGTACGAAGAGGAAACCAGCCGTTAAGATGGTAAAAATCGAAAGACGAGACCAAAACGTTGCACCCAGAACGCCAGACATAGAACTAAGAATATTACGAAACGATCCCAGTCACTAGTCAATGGCCGTCTTACGGACCGTGCCCTCAAGAGTGTGAAATAACAAATAAGATAGAATAAAGAACGTACAGCTGTAACTGCTGTAACTAAAGTTTAAGAATATTATTTTGCCATTTGTTATAAGGAGAACGATCGCCTGTTTAGATCAAATGCAATTTAAAACATATTTCAAGAACACCGAATGCACAAGACACCTGCACTGGCGGTAACTCAGCCCGTGGACAAGACGCTTTAATTTTGACATAAAAAAGTATCACGAAATAATTTTTTCCTCTGAACTTAAGGCCGAGTCAGAATTGATGTTCGTAATATAAAAACAGCCCTTCATGAAAAGTTACCAAGAGATCATTTTTATCTGCATGTGCGAAGAGAAATTCTGGTATTTCATCGATATCCATATCACAAAACTTTGTGTAAATGGGCGATGAAAACAGCTAAGTTCTTTCCGACAGTTTCCAATCAGACAAAGGTTTGAAATTAAGTACCTCTACGCCTTAAATGATGTCAGTTTGACGGGCATGATAATGAAAATTAGTGGAGTGGAAATTGTTGATAAGCAATCGTTTTTTTCATGTGTGATGACTAGGAAATAAAATGTCACTTATTTTAATATATAAATTCATTCAAGCACACAGATGTATCCGGTTATCTCGACAGGAATGAGAACTCTAATAAAACGTCCAGTAATCGTAACTTTAGTTCGTCTATCATGAACCCATAATCTAATAATTAATTTCATATTTCCAGACGCTGAGGCACTCGAGATCTCTCCCTCGGCTAAAATGTGACTAAATACATTTTTGACAGATCAACCGACAAAAGGGGAAATGGTTTATATCATAAAATAATAACTGAAAATAGCATACTGCATAGAATTACAGATGCAGGAACCACATTTTCTCTGAAAGGATAAAAACGCCGTTTTTCTCAAAAAAAAAATTGAGGAATATTTTCTCTACTTGTCAGGAAATGGTGACGGTTTTACGGGTTAAGTAATTTGGAGACTGATCACTAGCGAAGAGTCTTAAGGAAAAACGAGCCTGACGAGAGTGTTAAAGTGTGTGGCTCCGAGTGTGTTAACAAAAAATACGTGAGCAGCTGTTGCAATTTGATGAAAAGACATGACCCTAAAAGGACACTGAATTCATGAGGTATTCAATTAAAATGTGCTGTCGATGACGGCAAAGAGATCACGAAATTATCACGACCAACATAGATGGAAAAAAAAATCTCCCAAAATTGATCGATTGAGGAAAAAACCTGTGACTGACCCTCTGCGAGAAGATGTTACTGTAATTCCGTGTCGTGAGCTGCTTTCCTCTATTTCTTTTAGAATATCGTGTCATCCTCGGAAAAGAACAAGGAAAATCGAGAAAGGGAAAAAATTATCAGATACGCAAATGGAAGAACACCCATCAAATCTTCGACATAAGCAGTCCTCCAGAGTACGAGCTGTCTCTCCTTTTCGGTCCAGTCTGTCGCGCGAGTCCAAAAAAGTGAAAAAAAAAAAAAAAAAAAAAAAAAAAAAGAAAAAAATAAAGAAACAAAAACGCTTGTCGCGGAATGACAAAATTCGTAATTCTTTTCGACAACGTCGGCAATGGAATAGAAATCAAAGGGCTCTTTGATCCTGCTCATTCATGTCACGGCTTAAGTTTGTATTGCTTTATTGGACTTTTTGAACATAGATACAATTGAATTACTTATGGAATAAAATAAATGTTTTCCTTTATTTGTGATGGGAACCGAAAAAAGGCGGTGTGGGATGGGCAGAGATCATTAGGCAGACAGTGTCCTTTTTGTTGGTATGTGTGTGTTTGTGGGGCGGAGGGTGGGCTGGGTTTGGCATAATCAGGCATCAAATATTGCTCTTTTACGTTCATTTCAACTATTGTGAAATATTCCTTGCCCGTTTCTTGACATCTTTTGTTTTGAACAAAGCGGCCATTGCATTTGGTCATTAACAAAGCGGCTACAATCATTCTTAATAGAATTTTAAGCCTTCATATCGTCTGATTTTCACATATTAATTGTTGCGTAGTCACCAAACAGATGGGAGATAAAGCCACCAGAAAAGTAAAGAAGTGGCTAGTCACGAAAACAACGCTTCGCTTTTCCCTACAAAAATTCGTCGGTTCTTCATGTAAGCCAATCACCAGTCATCAAACAGATGGGAGATAAAACCACAAGAAAAGTAAACAAATGGCCAGTCACCAAAGCAACGCTTCGCTTTTCCCTATAACAATTCGCTGATTCCTCTTGTAAGCCAATAACAATATAAGGCACATATGTGAAAATCAGTATGTGTACACCCCTAAATGTTGTATTTTAAGTCGAAGGAACAGTTTTAGTCTCGGTCCGCATTTTTGTCAACAAAATGAACACATATCGGTTGAAAGGACCACATGCAAAGCTGTCAATTGCTTCTCGAATATCGCTTGTGTTAAATATTCAATAGTGACATCTCATTTACATCTACATCTATTTTTATTAAGTTGGTAAACTCTGTACAGACATCACACCAACCAACTCGTGCGCAAAGTGAGAAGACTATATGATGACTTGAAATTATATTAATTATATTGTGATCGAAAAACGGGCAAGGAATATTCCACAATAGTGCAGGCAGCCTGACAATAGTGCAAATAATCGTGAACGATGATCGCGGGAAAGCGCGATTGCGTGTTGCTCGGTAAGTTGTAAAATGACATGTTATCAAGTATCAAACGAAAAAACAGTATAAATTCTCAGTCTGCATTTTTTTACCCAGTCTGCAGTCTGCAGTTTGCATTTTGTGCCCAATCTGCATTTTGTACCCGGTCTGCATTTTGTACTGACCGGACTGGTATTGCTGTTTTTGTTCGAAATAAAAGTAAATGAAGTAAGCAGAGATTATTTTTTTAGAATTGTGATTTTATAACCCAATATCTCTTTATCAAGAAGCAAGAAACACAAGTCGAGTCTAATCATTTGAAAAATTCTGTCGCAAAAAATTTATCCACGGTGACATTTCTTACGTTTTTCGTTAACGCATAAAGATATGTGGGGAAAACATTGCCCTTAGAGCTCAACCTACAGTATCGCCGCCATCTTAACAATAACGCAAACAAATATTTAAATTCTGATAACGCGTTTTCTTACTCAAGTCAGTTCGCTGGAAAGAAAACCTTCTTCTTTACCATGGTTTACAAAGGTCTCTTGTTTACATATTTTCTCTTTTTCGTCAGAGAAAAGGAGCCCATCCAATGTACATCCGGCATAAGTTATCATCGCTCATGGCCTCCTGCAAAATGAAAAAACGTCCATCATCTTGATAACCCTTTCGCCAGGAGTTGGCGAAAGGGTTATTTAGGCTAACGAGTCCACCCAAAGGACGTGAAACCAGACCTCTCTAGAAGGGTCCATTTTCCTTTTTCCATTTAACACGAATAATTTTAGAACTTTCGCTTATGTACTTTACGCGCAATCTTCCTCCCACACTTTGCTCATTTACCAGAGGGAAAAGCAGCTCTTATTCGTGGAAAAAACAACCCAAAACCAACATACAAACACACACAATCAAGCAACCTCACCTCGATCAATTAATGCACCTGTCCTTCTATCGAGAGAGGAATCATGATCTTACTGGTTCCTTCAAAGCCTTTGATCCACCTTTCCACATTTTTCATAATCTTAAAACCCTGAAAATAGACAACCAACCAATCGGCTCCGTCTGACATTCCTCTTTCTCTTGCTCGGCCGCTAAAATCACTTTGCATTTGCTTTTGCTTTTGCAAAATCAAGCTTAAAGCACTCTTAATAGTTGTAGGTTAACTTTCACGGGTTATATGCCGGAAGTAGTTGGGTGGAATTATTTCCTTGTTTAGGGAAAAAAATAAATATAGCGAGTTTGGCGTCTCCGAAGCTAAACGGAAAAGGCTCCTATTGATAGAAGGGGTGGTTCTCGGCTCCATAAATTGACTACCTTGAATAACACATGACTCTATCTTTTGTACGAGTATTTACTAAGTGAAGCCGTCTATCTAATACACCAATCATGAAATTGCACATTCTTCACACGAGGATTGTAAATTTCTCTCTCTCTTTGCTGTAGCCTCTTTAAATTGGACGGTGAAGGATGACTGTTGACTACAAAATTAAACATTGAACATTGCATTGAGGGACATGTGTCTGGAGAAAATTATCCGGATCATTTAACAACTATTCTGTCTCATTGTGAGAAGGTAACGCCCGAGTCGGATTGTGGCGAAATTTGAGGCAGGCAAGAAATTTTTGAAGACCTTAACAAACAACTTATGAACATGGCGTTTGCTGATTTGTTGTTGGGACCCTTCTCAGTACCCTTTTACACTTACTAGGTTGAACATGTCTATCAGCTTTGGACAGCAAAATACAGCTTTTATATTATGGTCTTCAGATGTATTAATGCCATTTTTGTGTTCGGCTCATATCTATCTGCAGCCATTATATCTTGTGAGAGATTTAATGCTGTTTATTGGCCGTTTAAATGACAATTACTGTCCACCAAAACATTACGCATCGTCATTTTTATACTTTGGACATTCGTTGCCTTGTTGTCTAAAATATTAACTTTGCTATTGTTGTTTACTTCATTTAAATCTACTTTGTATGTCACTGTAGCTGTTCTGTTAGGTCTAACAATCTTCATATGTGTCTGTAGCATCGGGATATGGATAAAATTTCAACGCAAAATTGTTTTCTCAAAGCATCAAAACAAAGCTTCGCGAAGCAGACCCCCAACAAAGACCCTACTTTTTGTTTCTATACTGGCTTTTACTATAGGTTGGCTTTCCTTAATCACCTTGAACGTTCTCATCGATTTAACAGAGACATCGATAGCATGGAAGTTTTAGGACATGGTAAACATTCTAAATTATTTTAACTCTTTCGTCAATCCAGCTGTGTATGCAATTAGAATTCCTAAGTTTCAGCAAGCGCTTTGTTCTTGCCGTAAAAGAGGAGAGCAGCCATTGAGACGGAACAGATCGAAAGAAGAAATCGAACGGTTGCACTTAGAACGCCATTGATAACACTAAGAATATTACGAATCGATTCAACTCGCCTATGAGAAGAGTTTGAAAGGGGAAGATTTTCAATCAGCTGACACTGGAGAACCCTCGGCATCGAAACTAATTAGTGAGATACATTAGAAGTAGAAGTCATATCGATGGAGTTTTGTCAGAAAATACGATAATTTCTTACCTATTTGTTAGCATTTCGTTTGAATTTCATGCAGGGATTAACATATGCTGTTTCATTTATGCTTTCGGAGTATGATATCTTACCATGCTACCAACGAATAACAATCTTTAGTATTATAATTTAGCCCTAATGTTATTACTCAAATAATACCCCTTTGGACCTTCCTAATCGTCTGCAAGTGGAAAGGGCGCCTTCAAAGCTCCTAAAGATCCTTTTTCAAAGAAACGAAATCGAATTAAGAGGACTGTTCACTGCTCCAAAAAGCAAAACTTTTTCTCCGAGCTGTAAGCTGATCTAAGCCAAAAAAACGTTTGCAAAATAATAATAATAAATAAAACACTTCTTGGAAAAAACTACCATTTCGATGAGCCGGTTGCCATGACGACAAGCGTCTTCATGTCTGAAAAGAGAAATGCTAAGGTAATTCGCGCGGTGAAGATATCCTGTTTTCGAAACAAGATAAATACTAGAATTCATCAATATCTATACAGAATAATACATGGGCGCACATACATGTAAAATTTCTCTTCGAGTGTTCAATTCGATAGATCACGAGTGAGCGCAGCAAACTTGTAAGATTTCGAGTTAAACAAGAGAGGAGAAATTCCATATCTACGAGCAACAATGTCTTTTTTTGTTTATTATATTAACACAATGGCCCTTTCCTGACAAGAGAAGTCTACTACGAATTTATTGATAAATGAAAAAGAAAAAAAAATAGCATCCACGTCCCCTAAAAAAAGCGGTAAAGTGTGTTGGCCATAAGGTTTAAAAAGAAAAATGTGTTGAATCAACACAAAACCAAACAATGGGCGTAACTTTCAATTTTCAAAATTCTGAATGATTAACCTGTGATTTTGGTTTTCTTCCCCTTTTAGGATATTTTAAACGTCAATGTCTGTAGCCGATACAGTATTGTAGCTGCCATAATCCGAAAAATTTCACAAACGTTTTCGACAAACGATCTTAGATTGAGAATGGTGAAGGGTTTGCCAGTCATTCATCAACAGGACAAAGTGGCGCAAAAGGCGAGTGACATCAGCTGCTGATTAGCAATATTAATCACACGTGAAAAAGTATCGAATTTTTTCGCGAGTTTTGTTAAGGCTTTTCTCCATAACACAGCAGTTTATATGATAAATATATTTTTTCACGTGTGCTTGATATCGCTAATCAGTTGCTGACACGTCAATCACCTTTCGCACCACTCGGTCAGGTTTGAACGGCAAAGCCTTCACGATTCTCAATTCAAGGTACTTTGTCGGGACTTCCTCAGATGATGGCGGCTAGAACATTGAAAAATCCGTATTACTCACAGGCAGTGACGTTCAAACTCTCCAAGAAAGTGAAGAAAACCAAATATACGAAAAGAAAAACCCAAAGTTACATATTCGGTGGCTTTGGTTATGGCATTTCTCGCGGCTGACAACGAAAATCGACAGCTGGAAGATTTGCCGCAGGCCGACTTTGGCCGTTTTCTTGAAAGACTTCTTCTGTCGGTAAGAACAAAGTCAATAAATGAAGTTTTATAAATTGAAAATTACGCCAATTGTTGTTTTTGTATTCATGATTCAACGCATATTTCCATCTTGAGCATTAGCGCCAACGCACTTTACGATCGGCGGATTCTTTTATTTTCGTTCACTAATGAAGTCGGCTTTTCTTGTCACTAAAGGGCTATCAATTGTGTTTACATGATAAATAAAATAATACATGGTTGCTTCTAGACATGGAATTCCTCTCCTCGCGTTCACCTCGACATCTCACTCGTTCACTGCGCTCATTCGTGAGCTATCGAGTTGATCACTCAAAGAGAAATTCCATATCTACGCGCGCCATGTATTATTCTCTACACTTATTTTGCAGTTTGAAAACGTATTATATATATATATATATATCTTTTGTTTCTCATCCTAAAGGTGATGAACGACACATGTGTATTTCACATTAAACGAAAAATACTTTTTTTGTTATCGTTTGAGAGTCACTGTGCATGTTAACTTTGATTTCAAGGGTGAATTTTAAGCAAATTAAAATAAAGCCGCCGGTTTATTATCTTTTCGTTCATTAATTCCCGTTCCTCACAATGCCTGCCACATATAGCTCTTATAGAGCTATACTTTGTCGAGAGTAAAAGTGACAGATCAATAGCGCGGCAGTTAAAAATGTCGACTTCAACAATATCATACACGCTCAGCAAGAATTGGAAAACTCGACAACAGTAAGTTGCTTTCTAAAGCCCAGCTTCTTTTACTATTTGAGTACGTACTGAGTAATCCCACCGGCTACCTAACCCTTTAACTCCCAAGATCTCATCAGTAATGCTCCTCACTGTCTGCCATACAATTCCTATGATGTCAATTTGGAGAGATTGGTATTGGATCAACTAATAATCCTCGATTGATATTTTATTTTATTCTCATCACTTCTATGCTTGATATTGTATTGATATTGTAAGGAGAGATTCTCTCTTAGTCACTCATGGGAGGTAAAGGGGTAAGGGAATTGGAACAATATTTGACAACTTCAACTGAAAGCTATTATTAGCGCTAGTTTGGCTGAGCGGAGTCGTGTTTCAGAAATAGGTTTTTTAACAGTACGTGGATCAAAAAAAATTTTGAGCGACAGAATGGCAAATGACACTATAAAGAGATGTAATATCCACAGTGAAAAGAAGTTTGTCTTGGCCAAGGAAATTAAAGTCACGAACAATTTCAAGTGCGTGTTGGCTGTCTTTAGTGTATGATGGTAAAGTTTTGACGATAGGAGCCATAAATATACTTAACTCTAGATTATAATTTCTAAGTATTTCTCTCTCTAATTGTTGTGACTCATTTAATTTCAACGGTGTACGATGACTGTTTGATGCAAAATTAAACCGTGCATCATGTGTCTAGAATTAATTATCCTAAAATGTTATTACACCGGCTTCCGTCTATCACTAATGAAGATTATCTCTCATTGAGTAAAGATAACTTCCTATACTGCTAGTGTAGAGATTTTGAGTCACACAAGAAATATGTTAAAACCTTAACAAGCGTAAAACTGTGCAGTTTTTGCCATTTCAACAGGAAAATACATGAACAGCTGTTACGTTTTTTGATGAACAGTCATTTTATTGTCGGTATTAGTTTTACTTGAAATGTCTTGTCTATCTGGCCCACTGGGCGCGACTCCTTGAATGTAATTACTACGAAATACAAATAACTTGTCAGCCGTCGTTGCTTGATGTTGTTGCAAAAGGTTGAGTTCCTCTCCTCTAAAACAACGCATTTTATTCAGAAAACAATATCTGTTAACCGTAGTTCATTAAGTCATAAGTTTATAATGATTGACTCGTGGGCCGTGAACAAAACCCTGGAGAATGTGTCTGCATCCACAAGAAGTTTTCCCTCCAAATCAGAAGGCATCGCACTATGCAGCGCTTTCATCTTATCTTCTGTCTTAATCACTGCAGGAAACTTGCTCACTCTGGTTCTCTTCGCGGCTACCAAACCACTTCGTAAGAAAAGTTTATTCCTAGTTATGAATATGGCGTTTGCTGATTTGATGTTAGGAGCCTTCACTCTGCCCTTTTACATTTACCTCGTTGGAGATGACTATCAGCTTTGGACAGCAAAATATGACTCTGAACACATGGCCCACAAAATATTTTACGCAAGTTTCGATAACATTTTTTTATTAGGCTCGTATATATCTGCAGCCTCTATTTCCTGTGAGAGATTTTATGCCGTATTTTGGCCCTTCAAACACCGTTTATTATCCACCAGAACATACCGCGTCACCATTTTCTCAATTTGGACATTCGCTGTCTTGTTGTCTACATTAATAACTTTGATATGTGTTTCGAGTTCATTTGAATCTGGTTTGTATGTTTTTATCCCCGTCGTGTTGGGTCTAACAATCATCATATGTGTCTGTAATATCGCCATCTGGAGAAATTTTCATCACGAAAGTGTTGCCTCGCAGCATCGAAGTGGAGCTTCGCCAAACAGACGCTTAACAAAGACCCTCCTTCTAATGTCCACACTGTCCACACTGGCTTTATTATGCTTCCCTTAATCATCTTGAACATAGTAATCTATATAACTAAGACATCAATACCATGGAAGTTTTATTTCATGGTGAACATTCTAAATTATTCTAACTCTTTTGTCAATCCGATTCTGTACGTATTCAGAATTCCTGAGTTTCAGCAAGCGCTGCGTTCTTGCTGTACGAAGAGGAGACCAACCATTAAGTAAAAACCAAAAGACGAAACCGAAAAGTTGCACCCACAACGCCAGAGATAGAACTAAGAATATTACGAAACAACCCCAGTCACCTGCAAGTTGAGGTTGAACGAGAAGATATATGGACACTAAGTTTTGGTCAGCTGAGATAAGAGGACCGCCGCATCGTTACTTAGTAGTGACATCCATAAGAGGCAGAAGCCATAAATGTGAACTATTGGATAACGTTCTTAGATTTTCAATTTTTTGCTTCACAGAGCCTTGTTGTTGTATTGGGTTGCTTTTTGCAGCAGCAGTTTACACCAGTTAAGTTTGAATTTCATCCAACCATAGAAATATGCTGTATCATTTATCCTAACTGAGCAAAGTATCGTCTCATTTTACGAAAAAATAAAATCATAAATATGATAGTTCCAGCTCTTAAGTTGTTGCTTAAATTAACACACCTCTACTCTTAAGGTTGTCAGAACATGTTAATGGCCATCTTACGGACCGTGCCCTCAAGAGTGTGAAATAAAAAATAAGATAAAATAAAGAGCGTGCAGCTGTAACTGCTGTAACTAAAGTTTAAGAATGTTACTTTGCCATTTACTATGAGGAGAACGATGGCCTGTTTAGATCAAATACAAATTAAAACATATTTCAAGAACACCGAATGCACAAGACACCTGCACCAGCGGTAAATCAGCCCGTGGACGCTTTAATTTTGACATAAAAAAAATACGAACAAGAAGTGATTTTGAAAAGCATTTCACTATAAAAAATTGCGATAAAACATTTCTTAAAATCATTTCAAGATTAAAAAAATTGCTAAAAAGCGACGACGTTTCGACGTTAGCTGAACGTCATTATCAAGTCAAAATAAGTTAGTGATTTTTGGTCTATAAATACTAAAAAAAAACAACAATAGCTGATTAAAAAAATTGTAACGTGAGAAAATATCAAACAAAGAGTTTCGCACGTATGGAGTCCGTCTGAATATTTAAATTGGGCTTAAGTTTCTTAATGAAGAGCATTTCAAATACTAAGCAATCAAATTTGCTCTGGCACTTTCTTAAAACCGTGAATTGGCTTTCTCTCAAAAGGTTGTTGTTACCATGAGCTTCTAAGAAAGCTCTTTTTACCAATGTACCTTTAGATGAGACTATCAAAATCTTAGTCAACAAAGCCTTCACTGGTGATTGGTTCAACAAAACCTATGGCCTTAATCTGCAACAGGACCAGCTTGCTAGACTACTCGAAATTGCCACAACCAATCAGCTTTTCCAGTTTAATGGTCAACTCTACCAACAGACAGATGGTGTGGCCATGGGCTCGCCCCTTGGTCCTCTAATGGCCAATGTCTTCATGTGTCATCTTGAAGAAAAGCTTACACGCGAGGGCTTGATGCCCCAGTTGTACAAGAGGTACGTCGATGATACTCTGGCTAGAATGCCTAGCGTTGATGTTGCTGCTGAGTTTCTTAGTACCCTGAATGGCCTACACCCCAGTCTAACATTTACGATGGAGCTTCCTGTGGATAACAAGATCCCTTTTATTGGCATTGAAATCGTCAAGAACGGAACTAAACTTGAAACTCAAGTTTACAGAAAACCAACAAACACCGGATTGCTCCTACATTTCCAAAGTCACACGGATAAACGCTATAAAGACTCTTTGTTACAGACAATGATACATCGTGCCTATTCCTTGTCGTTTTAATCAGCTATTGTTGTTTTTTTTTTGGTATTTATAGACCAAAAATCACTAACTTATTTTGACTTGATAATGACGTTCAGCTAACGTCGAAACGTCGTCGCTTTTTAGCAATTTTTTTTAATCTTGAAATGATTTTAAGAAATGTTTTATCGCAATTTTTTATAGTGAAATAAAAAATACCACGAAATAATTTTTTCCTCTGAACTTAAGGCAGAGTCAGGCTTGATGTTCGTAATATAAAAACAGCCCTTCGTGAAAAGTTACCATGAGGTCATTTTTATCCGCACGTGCGAAGAGAAATTCTGGTATTTCATCGATATCCATATTATCAAACTTTGTACAAGAGGGCGCTGAAAACAGCTGAGTTCTTTCCGTCGGACTGTTTCCAATCAGACAAAGGTTTGAAAGTTAAGTACCTCTATGCCTTAAATGATCTCAGTTTCACGGGAATCACAATTAAAACTAGTGGAGTGGAAATTGTTGATAAGCAATCGAATTTTTTCATGTGTGGAGACTAGGAAATATAATGTCTCTTATTTTAATATATAAATTCATTCAATCACACAGATGTATCCGGTTACCTCGACAGGAAAGAGAACTCTAATAAAACGTCCAGTCATCGTAACTTTAGTTCGTCTATCATGAACCCATAATCTAATTATTAATTTCTTATTTTCAGACGTTGAGGCACTCGAGATCTCTCTCTCGGCTAAAATGTGACTAAATACATTTTTGACAGATCAACTGACAAAAAGAGGAAATGGTTTATATTGTAAGATAATAACTAAAAATAGCATACTGCATAGAATTACAGATGCGTGAAGCACATTTTCTCTGAAAGGATAAAAACGCTTTTTTTTCTTAAAACATTAAGGAATATTTTCTCTATTTTCTCTTGCCAAGAAATGGTGACGGTTTTACGAGTTAGGTAATCTGAAGACTGATCACTAACGAAGAGTCTTAAGGAAAAACGAACCTGACGAGAGTGTTAAAGTGTGTGGCTCCGAGTGTGTTAATAAAAAATACCTAAACAGCTGTTGCAATTTGATGAAAAGGCATGACGCTAAAAGGACACTGAATTCATGAGGTACTCAAATAAAATGTGCTGTCGATGACGGCAAAGAGATCACGAAATTATCACGACCGACATAGATGGAAAAAAAATCTCCAAACATTGATCGATTGAGGAAAAAACCTGTGACTGACCCTCTGCGAGAAGATGTTACTGCAATTCCGTGTCGCAAGCTGCTTTCCTCTATTTCTTTTAGAATATCGTGTCATTCTCGGAAAAGAACAAGGAAAATCGAGAAAGGGAAAAAATTATCAGATACGCAAACGGAAGAACACCCATCAAATCTTCGACATAAGCAGTCCTCCAGAGTACGAGCTGTCTCTCCTTTTCGGTCCAGTCTGTTGCGTGAGTCTAAAAAGGTGACAAAAAAATAAATAAAGAAATAAAGAAGCAAACAAACAAAAGCGCGTGTCGCGGAATGACAAAATTCATAATTCTTTTCGACAACGTCGGCAATGGAGTATAAATCAAAGGGCTCTTTGAGCCTGCTCATTCATGTTATGGCTTAAGTTTGTATTGATTTCTTGGACTTGATGAATATAGGTACAGTTGAATTCAGTTTATGTGAACTTTCAAGACTTATGGAATAAATGTTTTCATTTTATTTTTGGGCAGTTGTGTGATAAGAAAACTTTTGCATTCGTCGTGATGAGAATTGGAAAAAAAACTTGTGTGGGCTGGAGGTGGGATGGGCAGAGATCATTAGGCAGACAGTGTCCTTTTTGTTGGTGTGTGTGTGTGTGTATTTATGGGGCGGAAGGTGGGCTGGGTTTGGCATAATCAGGCATCAAATGTTTCTCTACCTGCAAAATATTAGTAACCCTCATCTCTCACGATCATCTGCATTATTTAATGAAGATTAATCATCTCTCATTGAGAAATGATGACGCCCCAGTCGGCTTTTAAAAGAAATTTTCATACGGGTTATACAGGCAAGAAATTTGTTTAAAAAGGCTTACCACTCAGTAATAAAAAAATACATGAACACCTATTACGTTTTTTTGATAAACGGACATTTAATTTATTGTGACACGAAGGGTTCTACGTGGCACAGTATTTGTTCAAACTCATTGCCTACTCCAACTACACAAACACCATGATATTTACATAAATTTCTGTTAAAATCCCTCCGATTAAACTGACCGTTGCAATAAAACACCATGTAACATGCCCGTCTCTTCGCAGGGGAAACCTCACTAGGGAATTTCAACTGATCAAGAAGTAATGTGGGTGTATGCCCTCATATATTCTGCAAACAAATAACGAATATCACCCGGGAAATATTCAGTGAAGAAGTGCATTTATACCAAGCGCGTGAGAGCTGTCATACTTTCCGAAAATCAAACACTCAAGGGAAAAGAGTATTAAAGGTAGAGAAAAATTTGAATGAGACTGCAATCGATACAAGAGCATGCCTCTTTGCTCCGAAAGAGATTATTTTTTAGATTCAAGTAAAGGAAAACATACGGTTTTCTTGAACGGATCAGTAACCGGATCAGTTACTGCATCAGTTAATGTAAATACAATTAACTGTAAATAATAATTTTGATCATTTCTTTTTCTTTGCAAAAACTCATTTAAATCGAATGGCGTAGGATGACTGTTAAATGCAAAATTAAAAATTGAAGAGTGTATTATGTAGCATGCGTCTGGGGCAAATTATCCCGAAAGCATTCTTTGTTCATTGAAAGATGATAACGTCCAAGTCGGTTTGTTAATAAAATTTCGAACCAAGCAAGAAATTTGTTCAAACCTTATGAAGCGGTAAAACAGAAAAACACGCAAACACCTGTCACGTTGTTTGACGAACAGACATATATCGTGACACGAAGGGTCTACGTGCACGATATTATTTCGTAATGCATTGTCTACGTCGACATCATGACTGCCTTGAGTAAAATTACTATGACACATAAATGACTTTTCAGCTGTTCTTATTTCGTGTCGTTGCAGAAGATCGAGTTCCTCTCCTTCGAAACACCACATTCTTTCCCGATCAAACGTTTCATCCCGTAAACCATTTAGTTACACGTTAACTTTGTTTGAGGCATTAGCAGTGAACGAAATCCTACAAATAAGTTCAAATTTGCGAGAAGTTTCCAAAGCAGAAGGCATTCGTCCTAATCATAACAGTAAACTTTCTTACTTTCAAAATAACGTCTATGAGAAAATTACGCCCTTCTGATCGGCTGAAAACGAGTGCATTCCGATGTAACACGAGTACAAATTACTAATAGCGCCTTCTTTTACTATTTGAGTACGTGCTGAGTAATCCCACCGGCTACCTAACCCTTTAACTCCAAAGATCTCATCAGTAATTCTCCTTACTGTCTGCCATACAATTCTTATTATGTCAATTTGGAGAATTGGGTATAATATCAACTGATAATCCCCTAATCGATATTTTACTTTATTCTCATCACTTCTATGCTTGATATTGTATTGATATTGTAAGGAGAAATTCTCTCTTAGTCACTCATGGGAGGTAAAGGGTTGAGAGAGTTGGAACAATATTTGACAACTTCAACTGGAAGCTATTATTAGCACCAGTTTGGCTAAGTGGAGTCGTGTTTCAGAGCTAGGTTCTTTGACATTGCGTTGATCAAAAAAATGTTTGAGCGACAGAATGGGGAATGACAGTAAAAAGAGATGCAATATCCATATCCTTGGCCAAGGAAATTAAAGTCACGAACGATTTCAAGTGCGTGTTGGCTATCTTTAATGTATGATGGTAAAGTTTTGACGATAGGAGTCATAAACGTATTTAACTCTAGATTAATTTCTTAGTATTTCTCTCTCTAATTGCTTTGACTCGCTAAATTTCAACGGTGTGCGATGACTGTTTGATGCAAAATTTAACAGTGCATCTAGTAGCATGTGTCTAGAGCTAGTTATCCTGAAGTGTTATTACACCGGCTTCCGTCTAGCACTAATGGAGATTATCTCTCATTGCGTAAAGATAACTTCCTAGTCTGCTAGTGTGGAGATTTTGAGTCACACGAGAAATTTGTTAAAACCTTAACAAGCGTAAAACTGTTCAACTCTTGCCATTTCAAGAGGAAAATACATGAACAGCTGTTACGTTCTTTGATGAACAGCCGTTTTAATTGACGGTATTAGTTGAACCTGAAATGTCTTGTCTACCTGGACTACGTGACTCCTTGAATATAATTACCACGAAATACAAATGTCATTTCGGTTGCTTAGTGTTGTTGCAAAAGGTTGAGTTCCTCTCCTCTGAAACAACGCGTTTTATTCCGAAAAAAAAAACTGTTTACCGTAATTCATTTAGTCATAAGTTTAAAATGATTGACTCGTCGGCAGTGAATAAAACCATGGAGAATGCATCTGCATTCACAAGAAGTTTTCCTTCCAAGGAAGAAAGGATCGCACTATGCAGCGCTCTCATTTTATCTTCGGTCCTTATCATTGCAGGAAACTTGCTAACTCTGGTTCTCTTTGCAGTTACCAAACCACTTCGTAGGAAAAGTTTATTTTTAGTTATGAATATGGCGTTTGCTGATTTGATGTTAGGAGCCTTCACTCTGCCCTTCTATATTTTCGTTGTTGGAGGTTACTATCAGCTTTGGACAGCAAAATATGACTCTGAACACATGGCCTACAAAATATTTTACACAAGTTTCGATGGCATGTTTTTGTTAGGCTCGTATATATTTGCAGCCTCTATTTCTTGTGAGAGATTTTATGCCGTATTTTGGCCCTTTAAACACCGCTCATTATCCACCAGAACATACCGCATCACCATTATCTTACTTTGGACAATTGCTATCTTGCTGTCCACATTAACAACTTTGTTATATGTTTCACGTTCATTTGAATCTGGTTTGTATGTTTTTATCCCCGTCGTGTTGGGTCTAACAGTCATTATATGTGTCTGTAACATCACTATCTGGAGAAGTTTTCAACACGAGAGTGTTACCTCACAGAATCGAAATGGAACTTCGCGAAACAGACGCTTAACAAAGACCCTCCTTCTAATGTCCATACTGGCTTTATTATGTTGGCTTCCCTTAAGCATCTTGAACATATTAAGCTGTATAACTAGGACATCAATACCATGGAAGTTTTATTACATGGTGAACATTCTAAGTTATTCTAACTCTTTTGTCAATCCGATTGTGTATGTATTCAGAATTCCTGAGTTTCAGCAAGCGCTGCGTTCTTGCTATACGAAGAGGAGAACAGCCATTAAGATGGTAAAAATCGAAAGACGAAACCGAAAAGTTGCACCCAGAACGCCAGAGATAGAACTAAGAACATTACGAAACGATCCCACTCGCCTGCAAGTTGAGGTTGAACGAGAAGGCATGGAATCTAAGTTTTAGTCAGCTGAGGTAGGAGGATCGACCGCATTGTTACATAGTAGTGACATCCATAAGAGGCAGAAGCCAGAAATGTGAAGTATTGGATAATGTTCTTAGATTTTCAATTTTTTGCTTTACAGAGCCTTGTTGTTGTATATGGTTGCTTTTTGCAGCAGCAGTTTACACCACTTAAGTTTGAATTTCATCCAATCATAAAAATATGCTGTATCATTTATCCTATCTGAGCAAAATATCGTCTCATTTTACGAAAAAATAAACTTTTCATAAATATGATAGTTCCAGCTCTTAAGTTATTGCTTAAATTAACACACCTATACTTTTAAGATTGTCAGAATATGTCAATGGCCATCTTATGGACCGTGCCCTCAAGAGTGTGAAATAAAAAATAAGATAGAATAAAGAGCGTACAGCTGTAACTGCTGTAACTAAAGTTAAAGGATGTTATTTTGCCATTTATTATAAGGAGAATGATCGCCTGTTTAGATCAAATACGATTTAAAACATATTTCAAGAACACCGAATACACAAGACACTTGCACCGGCGGTAACTCAGCCCGTAGACAAGACGCTTTAATTTTGACATAAAAAAAGGAACACGAAATAATTTTTTTCCCCTGAACTTATGGCCGAGTCAGGATCGATGCTCGTAATATAAAAACAACCCTTCGTGAAAAGTTACCAAGAGGTCATTTTTATCTGCACGTGCGAAGAGAAATTCTGGTATTTCATTGATATCTATATCAAAAGACTTTGTGGAAGTGGGCGATGTAAACAGCTGAGTTCTTTCCGACAGCTTCCAATCAGACAAAGGTTTGAAAAAAAGTGGAAATTGTTGATAAGCAATCGATTTTTTCATGTGTGATGACTAGAAAATAGAATGTCTCTTATTTTAATATATGAATGCATTCAAGCATACAGATGTATCCGGTTACCTCAACAGGAAAGAGAAGTCTAATAAAACGCACAGTAATCGTAACTTTAGTTCGTCTATCATGAACCCATAATCTAATTATTAGTTTCTTATTTCCAGACGCTGAGGTACTCGAGATCTCTCCCTCGGCTAAAATGTGACTAGTTACATTTTTGAGAGATCAACCGACAAAAAGAGGAAATGGTTTATATCATAAAATAATAACTAAAAATAGCATACTGCATAAAATTACAGATGCGTGAAGCACATTTTCTCTGAAAGGATAAAAGCGCTTTTTTTTTCGTAAAACATTAAGGAACATTTTGTCTTCTTGCCAAGAAATAGTGACGGTTTTACGGGTTAGGTAATTTGGAGACTGATCATTAACGAAGAGTCTTAAGGAAAAACGAAGCTGACGAGAGTGTTAAAGTGTGTGGCTCTGAGTGTGTTAATAAAAAATACGTGAGCAGCTGTTTGCAATTTGATGAAAAGACATGACGCTAAAAGGACACTGAATTCATGAGGTATTCAATTAAAATGTGTTGTCGATGACGGCAAAGAGATCACGAAATTATCACGACCACCACATATGGAAAAAAAAATCTCCAAAAATTGATCGATTGAGGAAATAACCTGTGACTGACCCTCTGCGAGAAGATGTTACTGCACTTCCGTGTCGCGAGCTGCTTTCCTCTATTTCTTTTTGAATATCGTGTCATCCTCGGAAAAGAATAAGGAAAATCGAGAAAGGGAAAAAAACATCAGATACACAAACGGAAGAAGACCCATCAAATCTTCGACATAAGCAGTCCTCCAGAGTACGAGCTGTCTCTCCTTTTCGGTCCAGTCTGTCGCGCGAGTCTTAAGAAGTGAAAACAAAAACGCGTGTCGCGGAATGACAAAATTCGTAATTCTTTTCGACAACGTCAGCAATGGAATATAAATCAAAGGGCTCTTTGAGCCTGCTCATTCATGTTATGGCTTAAGTTTGTATTGATTTCTTGGACTTGATGAATATAGGTACAGTTGAATTCGGTTTATGTGAACTTTCAAGACTTATGGAATAAATTTTTTCTTTTTATTTTTGGGCAGTTGTGTGATAAGAAAACTTTTGCATTCGTCGTGATGGGAATTGGAAAAAAACTTGTGTGGGCTGGAGGTGGGATGGGCAAAGATCATTAGGTGGACAGTGTCCTTTTTGTTGGTGTGTGTGTGTTTGTGGGGTGAAGGGTGGGCTGGGTTTGGCTTAATCAGGCATCAGATATTGCTCTTTTACGATCATTTCCATTATTGTGAAATATTCCTTGCTCGTTTCTTGATATCTTTTGTTTTAACAAAGCGGCCATTGCATTTGGTCATTAACAAAGATTTGCGTAGTCACCGAACAGATGAGGGATAAAACCGTCAGAAAAGTAAACAAATGGCCAGTCACGATAGTAACGCTTCGATTTTCCCAATAAAAATTCGCTGGTTCCTCTTGTAAGCCAATAAAAATATAAAGCACATATGTGAAAATCAGTCTGTGTACACCCCTAAACGTTGAAAATATTTCAAGTCGAAGGAACAGTTTTAGTCTCGGTCCGCATTTTTGTCAACAAAATGAACACATATCGGTTGAAAGGATGAAAGATACGGACCACGTGCAAAGCTGTCAATTGTTTCTAGAATATTGCGCGTGTTAAATATTCAATAGTGACATCTTATTTACATCTACATCTACTTTTACTAAGTTGGGTCTGCAGACATCAACTCGCGCGCAAAGTCTGAAGGCTTGAAATTATTTAAGAACGATTTTGATCTGGACTGGATTGCAGGCAGCTTTTTGTTGAAAGATGGTCGCGGGAAAGCGCGATTTCGTGACGCTCGCTAAGTTGTAGGATGACATATTATCAAGTATCAGACGAAAAAACAGAATAAATTCGCAGCCTACATTTTTTACCCAGTCTGCAGTCTGCAGTTTGTATTTTGTGCCCAGTCTGCATTTTGTACCCGGTCTGCAGTCAGCAGTCTGCATTTTGTACTGACTGGACTGGATTGCTGTTTTTGTTCGAAATAAAAAGAAATGAAGTAAGCAGAGATTATTTTTCTAGAATTGTGATTTTATAACCCAATATCTCTTTATCAAGAAGCAAGAAACACAAGTGTGAGTCATTTCATTTCCTGGTTATGAGTCATAATCATTTGAACAATTCTGTCACAAAACATTTATCCACAGTGACATTTCTTAAGTTTTTCGTTGAGGCATGAAAATATGTGGGGAAATCATAGCCCTTGGAACTCAACCTACAGTATCGCCGCCATCTTAACAATAACGCAAACAAATATTTGGATTCTGATAACGCGTTTTCTTACTAAAGTAGTTCACTGAAAAAAAAACCTTCTTCTTTACCATGGTTTACAAAGGTCTCTTGTTTACATATTTCCTCTTTTTCGTCAGAGAAAAGGAGCCCATCCAATGCACATCCGGCATAAGTTATCATCGCTCATGGCCTCCTGTAAAATGAAAAAAACATCCATCATCTTGATTACGCCAGAAGAGTCGGCGAAAGGGTTATTTCGGCTAACGAGTCCACCCAAAGGACATGAGACACTAGGTCTGGAAACCAGACCTCTCTAGAAGGGTCCATTTTCCTTTTTCCATTTGACACGAATCATTTTAGAACTTTCGCTTAAATACTTTACACGCAATCTTCCTCCCACACTTCGCTCATTTACCAGAGGGAAAAGCAACTCTTATTCGTGGAAAAAACAACCCAAAACCAACATACAAACACACACAATCAAGCGACCTCACCCCAATCAAGTAATGTACCTGTCCTTCTATCGAGAGAGGAATCATGATCTTACTGGTTCCTTCAAAGCCTTTGATCCACCTTTTCACATATTTCATAATCTTAATACCCTGAAAATAGCCAACCAACCAATCGGCTCCGTCTGACATTCTTCTTTCTCTTGCTCGGCCGCTAGAATTACTTTGCATTTGCTTTGCTTTTGCGAAAATCAAACTCTGTTAATAGTTGTAAGTTAACTCTCAAGGGTTACATGCTGGAAGTATTTGGATGGAATTCTTTCCTTGTTTAGGAAAACAAATAAATATAGCGAGTTTGGCGTCTCCAAAGCTAAATGGAATATGCTCCTATTGATAGAAGGGATGGTTCTCGGCTCCATAAATTGGTTACCTCGAATAACATGATTATATCTTTTGTACGAGTATTTACAAAGTGAAGCTGTCTATCTATTACACCAATCATGAAATTGCACATTCTTCACACGAGGATTGTAAATTAATTAAGACACTCGCCCCTTCATTTGAAACTTCTCCTGTTTCTTTATTCGTTGATGCCTCGGAAAGTAATTCCCTTTCCTTAGTCCTCTGCCACTCCACAAGTGGATCATATATAAAGGTTCTAAGGACACTATGAAAGGAGGCAAAGGTTAGAGCGTCATTTCATTCAGAGTTATTTGCAACTGAGGGTTGAAAGCAATCCTGCTTTATTTCGCTACGTGATTGGTTCAGAAAACTCTCACCACTTCCTAAAAGATTCAAAACTAAACCCAAACACGACTAAGCCACTCCTGCGCTTTATAAGTAGTTTGCTTGTCTGTACTCTAATATCTACTTGGCTCCGTGAGAAAATATCCTTTCCTCTGATTGGCTGTAACAATTTTTTTCGTCGATAAATAAGAAAAAAAGGAAAAAAGCCAGCCACACCGTTTCACCAGAGTGTGCTGATTTGCATTAAACAACTGAAATATGGTGGGTAAACCTTCAAATGCAGTTGTTTGTTGCTTCAATTTACGATCAAATGGAAGAAGAATTGTCAAATAGATTACGGCAGTTATGCTCATGAAAATATAGAGTGCAGCAAATATCAATTCATATTTGTGACAGCGGAGGAGGTTTTGACGGCTGAAAAAAGTACTGCCTCACCGTTTCACTTATCGGCTCTACGTGGTTTTTATTTTTATTTTTTATTTATTTATTTTTTTGTCATAGGACAGTGCTTCCGGTCTTTAAATGAACTCAATTTGACTGGCTACCTACTCATTTCCGGTAATGCAGTGACACGCAACTAATCAGGGGGTGTTTTGCTTTTTAACAGCCTCTTCGGGCAGACGTCTTCTCCACCTTCCCCCACCTCCACCCCCACCGTCCACTCTAACTCCAAATCAAACATGGCCGGTCGGATAAACGATTGCGAGCTTCTAATGTTAGCTCGAACTACAGGCCTACTCGAACTAAGACGCCTGCACTATAGGCTACAGTGTAGCGGGATAGCTGTTTAATGTAAAAATTAAATTGAGAACAAGTAACACTCTCAGTTCGGTTATTTCTACATTTTTAAGAGTTTTCAAGATTTTCAAAAAATAAGAGTTTGAAGTAGGGAAGATTTTCAATCACCTGTTTGTTAACATTTGACACTGGAGAACCCTTTTTTGGTTTATCGAAACGAATAATCAGTGAGATTAGTGACTCAAATTAAGAGGAATGTTAAGAGGTTCAAAACTGCTCAAAAAAGCGAATTAAAATGTTTTTCCCTCCAACTGTAAGCTGATCTAAGCCAAACAGTGTTTGCAAAACAAAATGATGAAAATAAAACCCTTCTTGGAAAAAAAAACTACCATTTTGATGAGCCGGTTGCCATGACGACAGTTGTCTTCATGTGTGAAAAGAAAAATGCTGTGGTTATTCGCACGGTGAAGATATCTTGTTCTCGAAACAAGATAATAGTATGTTATTTGCCAGCCGGGAGGTCCGTATTGGGAAAAACTGTGCCCGAGGTCAAGAGTAGGCCTCAGGCGGTACTGAAGAAAGAGGTTTTTCCAAATACGGACCGACCTAGGCTGGTGAATAACATTTTTATTTTTCCCATAAACTTAACGAAATTCTTTTCGAAAGAAACGAATGACTTAGGGCTGTAATTACGGCAAGATCTTCCATAAACTTAACAATTTCTGAGTGAGTAAATGGTAAGGTTAAATGTTTGAATTCAGTTTTGTCAAATAAAAGAAAAATCGATTTTTCGGCCTCTGAAGGTGGGATGTAACCTTATAATAGATCAGAGGAATGCAAATTAAAGAGAGAGGCTTCACCGAAACACTGTCATTTGCATAATGATAAGGGTGACTTAAAAGGCTTTGAAACAAACTTTTAAACATTATTTTTAGAAGTATCTGTTACGATCTGACTCGCCTTTTGCGTCACTCGGTCAGGTTGATGAATGAACGGCAAAGCCTTCTCGATTCTTAAAACAAGATAGGTTATCGGAACTTCCTCAGATTATGGCGGCTAGAACATTGAAAAATCTGTCTTGCGTGACGTTCAAACTTTCCTAAAGGGGAAAGAAAACCAAAATACGAAAAGAAAAATCAAAAGTTACATATTCAGTGGCTTTGGTAATGGCCTTTCTCGCGGCTGGGAACGAAAATCGACAACTGGAAGATTTGCCGCAGGCCGACTTTGGCCGTTTTCCTGAAAGACTTCTTCTTCCGGTAAGGACAGAGTCAATAAATGAGAATTTTTTGATTGAAAATTACGCCCATTGTTGTGTTTGTAATCATGATTCAACGCGTCTTAGCCTTAGCACCAACGCAATGTGCGATTGTCGATTCTTTTAATTTCATTCATTAATGAAGGTGGCTTTTCTTGTCACTAAAGGGCTATTGTGTTTATATGATAAATAAAATCATACATGGTTGCCTCAAGACATGGAATTCCTTTTCTCGTGTTCAACTCGAAGAAAGATTCCATATCTACGCGCGCCCATGTATTATTCTCTGTGTAGAAATACACCCATTTTCATAAAACGTTGCAATTTGAAAACATAATAGATATATATATTTTGTTTCTCATCCAAAAGGTGATGAACGACGCATGTGTATTCCACATTAAACGAAAAATATCTTTTTTTGTTATCGTTTGAGAGTCGCTGTTCATGTTAACTTTGATTCTTAATAAAGAATTTTAAATTAACTGGCAAACGAGTAAATTATAATAAAGCCGCAGGTTTATTATCTTTTCACTCATCACTTCCTGTTCCTCACAATGCCTGCCACATACAGCTCTTAGAGAGCTATACTTTATCGAGAATAAAAGTGACAGATCAATAGTAGGCAGTTGAAAATATCGATTTCAACAGTATCATACACGCCCAGCAGGAATTGGAAAACTCGACATCAGCAAGTTGCTTTCTAAAGCCCAGCTTCTTTTACTATTAATATTTTGGGTACGTACTGAATAATCCTACAAGCTACCTAACTCTTTAACTCCCAAGATCTCATTAGTAATTCTCCATACTTTCTGCCATACAATTCTTATGATGTCAATTTGGAGAATTTGGTATTGGATCAACTAATAATCCTCAATTGATATTTTATTTTATTCTCATCACTTCTATGCTTGATATTGTATTGATATTGTAAGGAGAAATTCTCTCTTAGCCAATTATGGGAGGTAAAGGGTTAAGAGAATTGGAAAAATATTTGACAACTTCAACTGGAAGCTATTATTAGCGCTAGTTTGGCTAAGCGGAGTAGTGTTTAAGGGCTAGGTTCTTTGACTGTATGTTGCTCAAAAATTGATTATCTCTCATCGAGAAAGGATAACTTCCTAGTCTGCTTGTGTGGAGATTTTTAGCCACACAAGAAATTTGTCAAAACCTTAACAAGCGTAAAACTGTGAAGTTCTAACCGTTTAAACAGGAAAACACATGAACAGCTGTTACTTTTTTTGATAAACAGCCAATTTCGGCTCCACTACGCAGTACAACATGGATTAGAAAAACCATTAGGTTTATTATGGCTGTTTCGGCCGAGCACCGTACATATAACAACACGTTGTACAACAACCTCTATCACGTTCAAACATGTGGTGGAAAAACTAGAACAGAGCTGAGCGACAGTTTACACAGAATACTGTCAGAACAGAGGCCAGAAATAATCTGCCGGAAAAAACCCCAATAGGGAAAAAAACACAGCAGGAAATCTGGGTAAGACCCAGGCTCATGTTCTGAAAAGCCCATCCTACGAAGGCTACACGGCTGGAAGGTCTTTGCCCTTATTTACTAAACATGTATTCCAACAAAGCACGGAAAGCTATAAATAATTTTAGGAAACGCAAACAAGCTAAGAAACCCTTGCAAAACTCGAACTGTCACTAGTAAATCAAGTATATACTAAAAAATAATGTGAGCGAGACGAGCTGTCGGGCCTTGAATGCTTTCCCACGTGATAAACATCCCTTTTATAGCACTCCATTCTACCCATGCTGCACTTCAACTGCAACAGTCCCCACTGCTCCCGTGCCGCAGAAATATTTCATTTCCGGTTCATTCGTACCCACTCAAACGCCGGAAATTCCATTTTTATTGACGGTATTAGTTGAACCCAAAATGTCGTGTCTTCCTGGATCACGTGACTCCTTGAATATAATTACCACGAAATACAAATAACTTGTCAGCCTTTGTTGCTTGGTGTTGTTGCAAAAGGTTGAGTTCCTCTCCTTTGAAAAAACGCCTTTTTTCCGAAAAAAAAACTGTTTACCGTGATCCATTTAGTGATAAGTTTATAGTAATTGACTCGTCGGCAGTGAACAAAACCATGGAGAATGCATCTGCATTTACAAGTTTACCTTCCAAGGCAGAAGGGATCGCACTATACAGCGCTCTTATTTTATCTTTGGTCCTTATAATTGCAGGAAACTTGCTCACTCTGGTTCTCTTTAAGGTTACCAAACGACTTCGTAAGAAAAGTTTATTCCTAGTTATGAACATGGCGTTTGCTGATTTGATGTTGGGAACCTTCTCTGTACCCTTTTACATTTACATTGTTAGACATGCCCATCAGCATTGGACAGAAAAATACGGCTTTTATCTTATGGTCTTCAGATGCATCGATGCCATTTTTATATTCGGCTCATATCTATCTGCAGTCTTTATATCTTGTGAGAGATTGTACGCCGTATATTGGCCGTTTAAACACCGATTACTGTCCACAAAAACGTACCGCATCGCCATTTTCATACTTTGGACACACGCTGCCTTGTTGTCTACAACATTAACTTTGCTATCGGTGTTTACTTCAATTAGATCTGCATTGTATGTCTCTGTCCTAGTTCTGTTGGGTCTAACAATCATCATTTGTGTCTGTAACATCGCGATCTGGAAAAACTTTCAACACGAGAGCGTTGACTCACAGTATCGAAATGGAGCATCGCGAAACAGACGCTTAACAAAGACACTCCTTCTCGTGTCCATACTCGCTTTATTATGTTGGCTTCCCTTAATCATCTTGAACGTATTAATCTATATAACTAAGAAATCAATACCATGGAAGTTTTATCACATGGTGAACATTTTAAATTATTCTAACTCTTTTGTCAATCCGATTGTCTATGTATTCAGAATTCGTGAGTTTCAGCAAGCGCTACGTTTATGTTGCACGAAGAGGACACCAGCCATTAAGATGGTAAAATTCAAAAGAAGAAACCGAACGGCTGCAATTAGAGCGCCAGAGATAGAACTAAGAATACTCCACAACGATCCCACTCGCCTGCAAGTTGATGTTGAACGAGAATATATGGAAACTAAGTTTTAATCAGCTGAGATAAGAGGACCTTCCGCGTTGTTACTGAGTGGTGACATCTATAGGAGGAAGAAGCCATAAATGTGGAGTATTGTAAAAAAAATAGGATAACGTTCTTATATTTTCAATTTTTTGCTTCACAGAGCCCTGTTGTTGTGTAGGGTTGCTTTTTGCAGCATAAGTTCACACCAGTTAAGTCTTAATTTCATCTAATAATAAAAATATATTATTTTATTTATCCTATCTGAGCAAAATATCCTGTCATGTTATAAAAATATAAAATCTCTATAAATATGATAATTCCAGCTCTTAAGTTATTGCTCAAATTCACACATCTGTACTTTTAAGGTTGTCAGGACACGTCAATGGCCATCTTACCGACTTTAGATAAAGTACAATTTAAAACATATTTAAAGAACACCGAATGCACAAGACATCTGCACGGTAACTCAGCCCGTGGACAAAACACTTTAATTTTAACATAAAGAAATACCAGGAAATAATCTTTTTTCTCTGAACTTAAGGTTGAATCAGGCTTGACGTTCGTAATATAAAAAATGCCCTTCGTGAAAAGGAAAACCGCCATTTTGATAAAGCAGGTTACCATGACGTCACTGTTATCTGCACGTGCGAGGAGGTAAGCGGAACGTTCACTACGCGTGGTAAAGATATCATACTTTCCAAACAGAAATTCTGATATTTTATCGCTATCTATATTATAAAACTTTGTACAATTGGGCGATGAAGACAGCTGAGTTCCTTCCGACAGTTTGTAATAAGAGATAGGTTTGAAGATTAAGTACCTCTTTGCCTCGAATGATCTCAGTTTCACGGGCAGCATAATTAAAACTAGTGGAGTGGAAATTGTTGATAAGCTATCGAATTATTTTAATGTGTGGAGACTAGGAAATAAAATATCTCTTATTTATATAAATATACTCATTTAAGCACACATATATGTCCGGTTATCTCAACAGGAAAGAGAACTCTAATAAAACGTCCAGTAATCGTAACTTTAGTTCATCTTTAAAACCCATAACTTTATTATTGTTTTCATGTTTCCAGACCCTGAGGCACTCGAGATCTCTCTCCCCCGACAAAAACGAGTCTAAATACATTTTTGAGATACCAACCAACAAAAAAGAAGATGTGGGTTTTATCTTTTTTTCAGTAAAAATAGCTAAAAATAGCACAGTGCATCGAATTACACATGTCTGAAGCACGTTTTCTCTGAAAGGATAAATACGCTTTTTTTCCCATAAAACATTGAGGAATGTTTCCTCCTCTCACCGAGAAATGGTGACGGTTTTACGGGTTAGGTAATATCTAGACTGATGACTAAGGAAGAGACTTGAGGAAAAACAAAACTGACGAGAGTGTTAAAGTGTGTGGCTCCGAGTGTGTAAAAAAAAATACATGAGGAGCTGTTCGTAATTTGATGAAAAGACATGACGCTAAAAGGACGCTGAATTCACGAGGTATTCAATTAAAATGTACTGTCGACGACGGAAAAGAGAAATTGATCGATAGAGGAAAAAACCCATGACCAAACCTCTGCGAGAAGATAAGTTACAGCTATTCCGTGTCGCGGGCTGCTTTCCTCTATTTCTTTAAGAAGCTCATGTCATCCTCTAAAAAGAACAAGGAAAATCGAGGAAGGGAAAGAAGATCAGATACGCAAACGGAAGCAAACCTATCAAATCTTTGACACTCGGCTTTCTTCTAGACCACAAGTAGTCTTTCCTTTTCGGTCAAGTCTGTTCGAAAAACTCTGGACTCGCGAGCAAGACTTGGCCCTAATCCTCGCTCTGAGTGAAGCTTTCAAGGAACAGTGGGCAACTAGGAAATAAATATCAGCGCACTGTTTTAAATCAAATACATGAGGTACTTTAGTAAGATTATTTTTCTAGAATTGTGATTTTATAACCCAATAACTCTTTACGCAGTAAACACAAGGTGAGTCATGATCATTTAGCTCTTTCACCTCCAAGATCTCAATAGCAATTCTCCTTACTGTCTGCCGTATAATTATTATGATTCTTTTTCAAACTTTGGACATTCGCTGCCTTGTTGTTTACAATATTACTTTTTTGCTATTGGTGTTTTTTACATTTGAATCTGCTTTGTATGTTGCTGTATGTTCAGTGAAACTTAGTCGATCTTGCGGTAATCGACTTTTCCTCCAAAGCCTTTCCAGCTGTCTTCTTTTTTTTGTCTTCTTTTCCTCTCTTTAATCTTGATTTCATTGGAGTACCATGGTGCGGCTGGACGAACTGTCACTGTGTGAATCGAGAGTGGTTTGTGGAAATCCAATATACTTCGTAGTTCTGAATTATATAAATCAATACTTAGGGATATGTCCACAAGGTCAACTATTAACAATGCAATTAGAATTCCTGAGTTTCAGCAAGCGCTACGTTCTTGCTGTACGAGGAGAAGAGCAGCCATTGTGACGGAACAAATCGAAAAAAAATCGGTTGCACTTAGAACGCCGGTGATAACGCTAAGAATATTAGAAGTCGATCCACTCGCCTGTAAGAAGAGTTTGAAAGGGGAAGAGATGACCCCTGGTATTGATACAACTTAGAGAGATACATGAAAAGTAGAAGTCATATAGATGGAGTTTTTTTGCGAAAATACGATAAACTTTTTCCTCCGAACTGTTAGCTGATCGAAGCCAAAACTTTGTTTGCAAAATAATAATGAAAATAAAACCCATCTTGAAATTAAAAAAAAAAAAAACTACCATTTGGATGAGCCGGTTGCCATGAGTAAAGGTGTCGTCGTGTGTGAAAAGAAAAATGCTATGGTAATTCGCGCTGTGAGGATATTCTGTTTTCGAAACAAGATGAATATTATTCTGGCATTTCATCAATATCTCTAGAGAATAATCCAGGGTGCGCGTAAATATGGAATTTTTTTCGAGTGTTCAACTCGATAGAACACGAGTGAGCGCATTAAACTTGTAAGATTTCTAGTTGAACATGAGAGAAGAAATTCCATATCTGCAAGCAACCATTTATCACATTGTTTATTATATAAACACAATGGCCCTTTACTGAAAAGAGAAGTCAACTTTAAATTTATTGAGGTAGGATCCACATTCCCTTAAGATAGGTGATAAAGTGCGTTGGTAATAAGGCTCAAAATGCGTTGAATTAAAACAAACAATGCGCGTAACTTTCAAAATTCCCGGTGACTGTCTTTCTCACTACATGAGAAGAAATCTTTTCAAGAACACGGCCAAAATCAGCCAATGGCAAATTTTCCATTTGTCGATAAATATATTTATCATAAAAACTACGGTGTTATAAAAAGATTTCCGGCCCTGAGAAAAGCCGCAACAACACATGTGAAAAAATACGATATTTTTTCACGTGTGTTTGACATCGCCAATCAGCTGCTGACACGTCACTCGCCTTTCGCACCACTCGGTCAGGTTGATGAATGAACGGCAAAGCCTTCACGATTCTCAATACAAGATAGTTTGTCGGAAATTCCTCAGATTATGGCGACTAGAACATTTATAAATCCGTTTTGCTCAAGGACATTGACGTTCAACCTTCTATTGAAGGGGAAGAAAACCAATTTACAAAAAGAAAAACCGAAAGTTACGTATTCAATGGCTTTGGTAATAGCGTTTCTTGCGATTTGCCACAGGCCGATTTTGGCCGTTTACTTGACAAACCTGTCGGTAAGGCCAAGTTCATTAAATAAGAATTTTGTAAATTGAAAATGACCCCCATTGTTGCTTTTGTAATCATGATTCAACGCATTTTTCCATCTTGCGCCAACGCACTGTACGACTGTCGATTCTTTTATTCTTATTCATTAATGCAAAATTAAACAGTGCATCTACCAGCATGTGTCTAGAGCTAATTATCCTGAAGTATTATTACACCTTTCGTCTATCACTTAAAGAAGATTATCTCATTGAGAAAGGATAACTTTCCAGTCCACTAGTGCAGTGGTTTTGAGCCAGACAAGAAATTTGTTAAAACTTAAACAAGCGTAAAACTGTGCAGTTCTTGTCGTTATAGCAGGAAAGTACATGCTGATACGTTCTTTGATGAACAGCCGTTTTATTGACGGTATTCGTTTAACCTGAGATGTCTTGTCTATCTGGACCACGTGATACCTTGAATACCATTACCGCGAGATACAAATAACTTTTCAGCTACTGTTGTTTGGTTTTGTTGCAGAAGATCGAGTTCCTCTTCTTTGAAAAAAAGCATTTTATTCAGACAAAAAATTGTTTACCATAATTCATTTGGTCATAAGTTAATAATGATTGACTCGTGGGAAGTGAACAAAACCCTGGAGAATGCATCTGCATCCACAATAAGTTTTCTTTCCAAATCAGAAGGCCTCGCACTATGCAGCGCTTTCATCTTATCTTCTGTCCTAATCATTGCAGGAAACTTGCTCACTTTGGTTCTCTTTGCAGTTGCCAAACCACTTCGCAGGAAAAGTTTATTCCTAGTTTTGAATATGGCGTTTGCTGATTTTATGTTAGGAGCCTTCAGTCTGCCCTTTTACATTTTCTTTGTCGGGAGCTACTATCAGCTTTGGACAGCGAAATATGACTTTGAACACATGGCCTACAAAATATTTTGCACAAGTATCGATAACATGTTTTTGTTTGGCTCGTACATATCTGCAGCCTCTATTTCCTGTGAGAGATTTTATGCCGTATTTTGGCCCTTTAAACACCGTTTATTATCCACCAGAACATACTGCATCACCATTTTCTTTCTTTGGACATTCGCTGTCTTGTTGTCTACATTAATAACTTTGTTCTATGTTTCAAGTTCAATTGAAATTGCTTTGTATGTCTCTGTCCCCGTTCTGTTGGGTATAACAGTCATCATATGTGTCTGTAACATCGCCATCTGGAGAAATTTTCAACACAAGAGTGTTGACTCACAGCATCGAAATGGAGCTTCCCGAAACAGACGCTTAACAAAGACCCTACTTCTGTTGTCCGTACTGGCTTTATTATGTTGGCTTCCCTTAATCATCTTGAACATATTAATCTATATAACTAAGAAATCAATACCATGGAAGTTTTATCACATGGCGATCATTCTAAATTATTCTAACTCTTTTGTCAATCCGATTGTGTATGTATTCAGAATTCCTGAGTTTCAGCAAGCGCTGCGTTTGTGTTGCACAAAGAGGGGACCAGCCATTAAGATGGTAAAAATCGAAAAAAGAAACCGCCGAACGCCAGAAATAGAACTATGAATATTACGAACCGATCCCACTCGCCTGCTGGTTGAGGTTGAGGGAGAAGATACGGAAACTAATTGTTAGTCAGCTGAGATAGGAGGACTGTTGGCATTGTTACTGAGTAGTGACATTTATAGGAGGCAGGAGCCATAAATGTGGAGTATTGTAAGAAAATAGGATAACGTTCTTACATTTTCAATTTCATGCTTCACAGAGCCCTGTTGTTATATAGGGTTGCTTTTTGCAGCATAAGTTCACACATGTTAAGTCTGAATTTCATCCAATAATAAAAATATGTTGTTTCCTTTATCCTATCTAAGCAAAATATCCTGTTGTTTTACGAAAAAAATAAACTCTTTACAAATCTGATAGTTCTAGCTCTAAAGTTGTTGCTCAAATTAACACACCTATACTTTTGAGCTTGTCAGAACAAGTCAGTGGCCTTCTTACGGACCGTGCCCTCAATAGTGCAAAATAAAAATAAGATGAATGAAGAGTGTACAGCTGTCCCTGCCTCCAAACTAAAATCAAGCAAAGTTTAATCAAGTTATTTTGCCATTTATTATAAGGATAACGATCGCTCATTTAGATCACATATAATTTAAAATATACTTGAAGAGCACCGAATGCACATGACACCTGCACGGTAACTCAGCCCGTGGACAAGAAACTTTAATTTTGACATGAAAAAATATCACGAAATAATTTTTTCCTATGCACTTAAGGTTGAAGCTTGATATTCGTAATACAAAAAAAGCCCTTCGTGAAAAGTAAAACCGCCATTTTGGTAAAGCGGGTTGCCATGATGTCATTTTCATCTGCATGTGCAAAGAGATAAGCGGAACGTTCACCGCGCTTGGTAAAGATATTATGTTTTATAATAAAGTTCGGATATAACGCGCGCTGTCATTGGTTGAAAGAGCGTGCTCTATGAGAGTATAGAGCATAGAACTGAGCTAAAGCTGTCACGCCATCTGCCAAATTGTACCATGTTCGACCTTTTCCGGGACTTCTTTTTAGCTTTTTTCCGATAATTGAAAGTGAAATTTCGGAACAAGCGAGCCGGCAAGTAGTAACAGAAGAACCAAAGAAAGGTTTGTAAACATACCAGGCGCCTTTATTTACGTTATTAAAACGTGGGCAGATACGAAAATCCTCAAAGGAAAAACAAAATAGACATTCCGAGTTTTAAAGATTTTCACGCTCAGTTAGATTGCAAGCTTACGTACGGTAATGAAAATCAAACACAGCCAACACTCGTATAGTATATAAAGTTCAGAGTTCAAAAACAAAACAGAACAAAACAGAAATGATGAAAAATATAACCAAACTGGCATAACTGTTAAAATTCATACTAATCATGACGGTATCTGAGCAAATATGATCATGCTGAAGTCCATCGCGGCTCACTTATCATGCCGATCTCCGGTCATCACAGTAAAGCAAGCCTCAGAAACTACATCGGCCGCCCTTCGAGTGAAAAAATAAGAGCTCACTCTGATATCCTTTCCAATGTGTTGAGTGGAAAGTCACTTCAGTCACTGCAGCCGAGTTTTGCGGCGCTGTCATCCCGAGCGATCTTCATGTTCCGGTGAATTCGGCTGTCGTTCATTTAAAAAACACTCGCCTTGAACAGTTTGTTTTCTACCTTGTCATGTGAAAAAACCCGCGTGTTTTTATGAGCCATAATTCGGCTGAAGTTCACTGAACATTTCACTTCAAGATTCTGAATTAAAAACTTCAGGCAAAAGCGTTAAATTTGACCTGCCGAATTATTTTAGTATGTAAACTATCGCAGAGTGTGAACTTTGATGGTTTGACACTTTTGACAGCTTTTGTCTTGTACAGCCAATCAGATTATTTGAACCATTCTAACAGGGATTCTGATTGGCTTATTGTAGCGTGCTCTATGAGAGTATAGAGCATGCTGACGACACTGTTCTTCGCTTTGGAAATAAAGTTTGTTTTGAAAATTGAAAGTAATACATGGGGAATTTAACGGATTATTTATTATAAAACAAATAGAGAAGCCTTGACTGTGCTCTGTTCTGTTATAAAGCACGCAGGAAGCGGCTAGAGCACTCAAGAAGTGGGAAGAAACACTCGACTACGTCTCGTGTATCTCCCTACACTTCTTTCGTGCTCTAGCCGCTTCCTGCGTGCTTTATAACAGAACAGAGCACAGTCAAGGCTTCTCTATTTGTTAATTCGAAACAGAAATTCTGATATTTCATCGATATCTATATCATACAACTTTGTACAAGATGACGATGAAAACAGCTGAGTTCTTTCCGACAGTTTCCAATAGGACATAGATTTGAATATTAAGTACCTCTAAGCCTCGAATGAGCTCAGTTTCACGGGCAACATAATTAAATCTAGTGGAGTGGAAATTGTTGATAAGCAATCGAATTTTCTTCATGTGTGGAGAGTAGGAAAGAAAATGTCTCTTATTGTAGTAAACAAATTCATTCAAGCACACAGATGTATCCGGTTATCTCGACAGGAAAGAGAACTGTAATAAAACTCTAGTAATCGTAACTTTAGTTCGTCTATAAAATCCATAATCTAATTATTAATTTCATATCCAGACGCTAAGGCGCTCAAGATCTCTCTCTCCCGCGGGCAAAATGTGTCTAAATACATTTTTGAGAGATCAACCGACAAAAAGAAGACATGGTTTATATCATCGTTTTTTTTTTCCAGTATAAAATAATTAAAAATAGCACAGTGCATTGAATTAGTCATGTGTGAAGAGAGGATAAATACACTTTTTCATAAAACATTTAGGAATATTTTCTATTCTTGTCGAGAAATGGTGACGGTTTTCCGGGTTAAATAATTTGTAGACTGATGACTAAGAGTCTTAAGGAAAAACAAACCTGACGAGAGTGTTAAAGTGTGTGACTCCGAGTGTGTTGACAAAAAATACATGAGCAGCTGTTCGTAATTTGATTGAAAGACATGACGCTAAAAGGACGTTGAATTCATGAGGTATTCAATTGAAATGTGCTGTCGACGACGGAAAAGAGATCACCAAATTATCACAAAGATATTGCGAAATTATCGCAAGGATAGAAAAAAAAATTCTCCAAAAATTGATCGATAGAAGAAAAAACCCATGACCGACCCTCTGCGAGAAGATAAGTTACCGCTATTCCGTGTCGCGAGCTGCTTTCCTCTTTCTTTTAGAACATTGAGTCATTCTCGAAAAAAACAAGTAAATCGAGATAGGGAAAAAAATCAGAAACGCAAAGGGAAGCAAACGCATCAAATCTTAAACATTAGGCAGTCTCTCCTTTTCGGTCAAGTCTGTCGCGCGAGTCCGAAAAAATAAAAAAAATAAAAAAAAAAAAGGTGCAAAAAAAAAAAAAAAAAGAAAAAAAGAAAAAAATGTGGTCGGCGCGCCACGCGGAACCCTGACTTAGCCCTAATCCTCGCTCTGAGTGAAGCTTTCAAGGAACAGTGGGCAACTAGAAAATAAATATCAGGGCACTGTTGTAACTCAAATAAATGAGGTAAGCAGAGATTATTTTTCTAGAATTGTAATTTTATAACCCAATATCTCTTTAACAAGAAGCAAGAAACGCAAGTCGAGTCATAATCATTAGAACAATTCTGTCACAAACATTTATCCACGGTGACATTTCTTAAGTTTTTCGTTAAGGCATGAAGATATGTGGGGAAAACATGGCCCTTAAAACTCAACCTACAGTATCGCCGCCATCTTAAAAATAACGCAAACAAATATTTGGATTCCGATAACGCGTTTCCTACTCAAGTCAGTTCGTTGAAAAAAAAAACCTTCTTCTTTACCATGGTTTACAAAGATCTCTTGTTTACATATCTTCCCTTTTTCGTTAGAGAAAAGGAGCCCATCCAATGTACATCCGGCATAAGTTGTCATCGCTTGTGGCCTCCTGCAAAATGGAAATAACATCCATCATCTTGATAACGTCAGAAAAGTAGGTGGAAGGGTTATTTAGGTTAAAGGGTCCACCCAAGGGACATGACATAAGGTCTGGAAACCAGACCTCTCTAGAAGGTTCCAGTTTCCTAACTATAACACAAATAATTTTAGAACTTTCGCTTAAATGATTCACACGCAGTTTTTCTCCCACACTTTGCTCAACTACTTGAGGAAGAAGCAGCTTTTATTCGTGGAAAAAAAAAACAACAACAACAAAATGGGAATGAAACAACAAACCAAAATCAACACACAATCAAGCGACCTCACCTCGATCAGGTAATGCACCTGTCCTTCTATCGATAGAGGAATCATGATCTTGCTGGTTCCTTCAAAGCCTTTGATCCGCCTTTCCACATCTTTCAGAATCTTAAGACCCTGAAAATGGAGAAGAGACAATTGGCTCCGTCTGACATTCTTCTTTCTCCTGCTCGGCCGCTAAAAATTACATTGCATTTGCTTTTGCGAAAATCAGTCTTACAGCACTCTTAAGAATTATATGTTAACTCTCAAGGCTTGTGTGCCGGAAATATTTGGATGGACTACTTTAAATGGAAAATGGAATAGGCTCCTATTGGTAGAAGGGATGCTTGTTGGCTCCATAATTTGACTACCTTGAATAACATATGACTATCTCTTGTACAAGTATTTACTAAATGAAGCTGTCTATCTTCTTACGGATATCATAAAATTGCACATTCTTTACACGAAGATTGTGAATTAAGATACTCGCCTCTTCATTTGTAACTTCCCCTGTTTCTTTATTCTTTGAAGCCTCGGAAAGTAATTCCCTTCCCTTAGTCTTCTGCCACTCCACAAGTGGATCATATATAAAGGTTCTGAGGACACTAAGAAAGGAAGCAAAGGTTAGAGCGTCACTTCATTGGCGCATTTAAGAGAAATTTGCAGTTGAGGGTCAAAAGTAATCCTGCTTTACTATGCTTTGTGATTGGTCCAGAAAACTCGCGCCCCTTTCTAAAATATTCAGATTCAAAACGAAGCCCAAACACGACTCAGTCACTCCCGAGCTTTAAGCAATTTCAATTCTTGTATGTACTCTGGTTTCTAATTGAACCCATCTTTGTTTATTCGCAACACGCCTGATTGGCCAATGTGATTACTCAGGACTTACTTCAACAAACACTCGGTCGAAAAGCCTGAGTAGTGTTACAAAAAATTTTCGAACTCACGTGAGCAAAGAATCGCACTGATTTCTCAGAAGACGCAAGGTAACTTCGCAAGAGCGACGAAAAACTCCCTCGTATCCAAGAGGACCCTATTAAAGGAAAAAAATATGAAGATGAAAAATAAATCTCTGTTAAAAGCACTACGGCTGTCTTCAAAATTAGAAAACCGAGACCTCACTTGCCATATTTCGTTCGCTTGTTCGTATCTTTTTTTAAGATATCATTTTTTTTGGAATCGCTTACCATAGCATTTACTATGTTATGTGTCAATCGAAATGGCACGCGTTCCGGACAATCGAAGGTTTCTCCCTGCGAAAAAGGAAAAAAACGGCGCACAACAAGATCAGCGTTACTGCCGCGGTGAACCTTCCCTATCAAACGAAGTAAACCTAAGTCACAGAGAAATTTTCCACATTTTTCCTAAATATTCCTCTCTTTCTGTTTGAGAGTAATTTGCAAATGTTGTGGTTAAATTTTATCCTCGGTTCAAATTTTATTTCTTTTGTTTTTGGGTATTGCAAAGTATGATAGTAAGTTTGAAACAAAGGAAAATATAATAAGAACCAAGGATAAAATTGAACCACAACATATACAAGGATTACGCCTACAACGCAGCCAAGCAAGAGAGCAAAATTTGTGAGCTCCATATTTATGTACAAATACGGACAGTTGTTTGGGTGACCATTTTAAGTCTGACCCACATGACAAATTCATATTAGTAATGTAAATCGGACGGCTCGTTTAAAATTACCGCAGGATTATCCCTAAAAGGCAAGGGACAAAATCCTATTACCAGCTAATAAGCTCAATGAAAAGTGCAATAAATTATAACTGTTATTCTAGGATAAAAGTGTTAAACAGTTGGTTAAACATCTGAGTTAAACAAAGCGCTCAGAGTTGAGACCAGCATGTGCAAGGAAATTAACTCTCATTGGCCAGTTTTAAAACTACCTGGTTTGACCTGTCCAATCAAAATTAGCCTCTGATCATCGGAAGGGTTGAATCGGACAATTTTAGTTCAGTAGAAGCCATGCCAAGTTGTAAACGAGGGATCAATCAGATTCAATATTGTCATTAGCACAACCAGGAAGTCATAACGTAACAGAACTCGCATATGGAATAAAATTAACTGACCTTTTTAAACAGACAGTTGAAGTCGACATGGACGCAGGCCCCACTGGTAGCGTCAAACAGAATATTCTCACCATGGCGATCACCAAGACCAAGGATATGACCCACCATACACATAACCGCTGACGTTCGGCAGTATGCCAGGCGGCTCATGTACCTAATAAAGAGTAGAGAGAATGGACTTTAATTGCATTTCATAACATTTTAAGAACAGAACCTCTGGATCGAATGATGCCATAAAGAACTTTAAAAAAATACGCACCACGAGGTTGGATTAGGAAACGTCTTCAGAAACCACTCATGAAAAACGGAAGGGTGCCTATTTGTGAACAAAGGTGGAATGGCAATGTCATCATTTCACTTCATGTACTGTAAAATTGTAAAAAGGACTCAAACCACACGGGTCAGCTCGCATAGATACACACCTGGGAAGGATTTCATTCAAGAAGACACGTTTCTTGTCCCTAAAGTTAGCAAGCATATAACGAATTAGTTTTCAGTTGAGTGTTGTAACCTATGGCTACACTAATCTTGCTTTCCTTCCTCTGTGATTGGTTTAGAAAACCAAGGCCACCATCTCGATCGATCAGATTCAAAACTTAAGCAATATTAATTTGATCACTTGCGTTATCTGTGCCTCAGGCTGTCGACAAGTATGTACTTTGAGTTCCTATCAACTCGTACTCAATTCAACTCTCTTCTAGATATCATTTCCCCTAAGGTTGAACTAGTTTGATGTTCCTCACATGAAAACAATATGAAACAATTGGTCAGATGAAATGATTACAATAATTTTATATACTGTTTGTTTCTGTCTTTGTCTATTTTTTGTCTTGCTTTTACTGATTTTTTTCAAGTACAGAATTTTTTCTCAACACCAATGAAGAAAAAGAAAACCAAAGAGAGAACACAACAAGAAAACATTCACGCAGAAAAATGAACACCAACAAAAGACGCACTCAGGTTTGTTTCCTGCTCTGTCCATTAATTTTTTGAGCTCCGCTCCTCGAGTATACATATTTTTCTCTCTGTAAAAATAGAAAGTAGTCAAAGATGTGGTTTAGTTTCCCTGACCAATTTTTTTTTTACCTGATTTATTTGATCATAAACCTCTGTGCACTTCTGTCTACTCGTAAGTATTGGATCAAACCACTAGGACACGCTTAACCCTTTCACTACAAAGATCTCATTAGTAACTCTCCTTACTGTCTGCTATACAGTTCTTGTGTTGTTAGTTCAGAGAATTTGGTATTGGATCAACTAATAATCCCTTGACTGATATTTTCTGTATTCTTATCACTTGCATACTTGATCATATTAAAGCAGTCACAATATTTTTAATATTTATCAAATTTACAATATTATTGTATTGATAATGTAAGGAAAAATTCTGCCTCGTCACTCGTGGGTTAAAGAAATAAAACAACAAAATGGAGAAACGACGTCCTTACTTGTAAATTTTCGTGAGTATGTTTCTTAAGCCATGAGTATTTTGTACCCATTCTAGCAGTCCGCATTCTTCATTTAAAGGAATCACCGCCTTGGGAAAAAAGGAACTCATAATTGAATTGGGAAAAAATATGGAGAATGTTCCGCTGTGGCATGCCATAAAAGAGAGGGGAAAAAATGCTTGAAATAACATACACAACATCAATGACCATAACAACAAGAAGCTGACAGTCATTCTCCTAACATAAGAAATCAAGACCATAGAAAAATTATCGAACTTGATTGGTGTGCGTCATGCTTGTGTAATTTCTCAGTAGGAGGTATGTAAGCGCACTGTTATCACGCATCTCGCTGAGATGCAGGTGTTTTTTTTTTTTACGAAATCGCATAACCGATGGCTAGTTTGTTTCTTAGATGTCGTCAAAGTTTTGATAAATTGGTAACAGGACTGAGTGTCGTTCACTTCTTGGTCTTCCGATTTTGTTAACCACTCGGATGATTACGGACCGAATTGGACTCAACTCAGTAATATTAGCACAGTAACTTCCATAAAAAAATAAAAGCAACTAAATTTGCACTTCGAGGAAAACACCCTGATTTTTCTTTTGATTGCTCCTCTCTAAAACACCTTCAATTTACCTAAAACAGCACGACTTACATAAGTACGAATGTGCAACTGCCTTCGTCGAGATTCAGGATCTTTTCTTAAACACTAAAATGAGAAAAGAAATATTATAAAAATATTTTTTATCACACCGAGATTGAGGAATACTTACAAAACAGAATCAATTGCAAATAATCCTTGATGCCTAACTAGAGAGCTACAATCTATTCGATGAATGAACGGCTACCCGATGAACCGAATGAATGCCTGCATGACTGATTGACTGAATGACTGACTAACTGACTGTACTAAATTTGTCATACAAAGATCGACAATTGTTATACCAAAGATCAAACCTTGTTGATGAGGGCGTTAAATTCCATTGTTCTACAATCCTTTCGAAGATCATCCTGTAATAGAATACAGAGAAAATAAGGAGAGAGGATGGTGGAATTTAGAGTTTGTTTAATACAGACGTTTGAGCTATGTTAACTGTTTTGTCACTGTGCAATTTTCTTACGTGAGATTAAGCTACAAGATTGATTATAAAATTAAAAAAAAAAAAACTAGCACAGCACATTTGTCTTTTTTGTGTTTTATCATGATGAATTTATTCCCTGAGGTTAAAAATCCCAATATCAATCACATAGCGCCTCTCCCCACTCATTCCCTGTAAAATGCAACGGCGGATCTTTACTTGAGAAATTTGATAAAATTGCCTCGATATCATCCAAAAGGACGGTAATATTCATACCTGTGCTTTAAAGAGGCACATTTCTTTTTGAATTTGTGAAAAGGACAAAGAACAAACCTTGGGTTTACACATCATGGTGTACGAGTTTCCGTCACTGCCTTTAATGGTGATTTTCTTCGGTTTCTGTAGAGACGCTAGAACATCAACCTATTATAGAAGATACAAAAAGTTGAAAAAAAAATACAAGTACGAAAGAGCAAAAGTAAAAGTAAAAGCAAAAGCAAAGGAAAAAAATTGACAAACAACAAAACAAACAAAAACAAAGAAACGACCTTCCAAAATGCTTATCACTGAAATGTTATGATCGTCTTCGTTGCTCCAAAATTAAAATGGCTTGCAACGTATCTTGGCTAGGAACACAACACACACATACTAACCGTGTCCTCAAAGCCGATGATACAAGCTAGCGAGCCTGGGAACGGGTTGTGATCGTGATGGCTTCCGGCTCCTGAAGGCAAGGTCACAGTCATAGCAGACTGGAGAGGAACTATAATTGGACTAAAATCTCTGAAAACGAAACCACAACAAAGACGAAATCAAAATAATAATAAATTATTACTGGCAACGTTAGTACCCTCTCAATTTAAACTCTATAAGCTTCACCGAACAAGCATTGCCATTTTTAGGGGTATTTAAGCTTTTTTTCTCAAAGGCTCGCAAGGATAAAAAACTTAATTCTTTGCCAGGTAAATTGATCCACTAGATGGGCCAGTCAAAGCTTTTGTTATTATAACTAAATGGCAAATGATAAACAAAGCTATGCGATCAGGTCGTGCCAGCAAGTGTTTGATCACGAGGAAGCAGAGTTCAACATCTCACCCATCAGACACAAGCCTCTTGAGAACAGAGAAGTCATGACTCATGCTCAACTTGTCTTTGGAGGGACCTTTGGTAGATACTTCCTTGTTGCAAACTTCAAGCAGTCTGTCAGCTAGTCTTGTGGAGTGCTGCGAAGTGGAAAAGAAAAGCATGTTACCACAGGTATACTAACTTCACCAGGCAGTCACGTACATTTACTGACATAGACAAACCAATACATATCAGTTGAACCACCTTTAAAGTAAATTTTTCATTAGGTAATTTGCAGTTTTACTTACCTTGTCCAACCTCATTTCCCGTTTTGGTGTTTTACTATCATCTCACCAACGAAAATCACTACGACTAAATGGTACAATCGAAACGTGTCTCTCTTAAGGTGACTTCAATAATCTTCTTCGTTTTATTAGAGGTAATGACAAACTAAACTTTCACTCGTTGGCCCTTCAGATACAAAAATTGTATCTTTAAGGGAAAGACTAAGAAACGTTGAGGTAAATTGTTAAGTTTATTTTACACGTTCGCCACAAGCAAGGAAAATCCATGATCTAAATCCCTCTTGAGACTCTCTCTAAACAATGGAAAATCGGACCCAGACCTTTACTCCGGGTAAGCTACCAGTAAGCTTCAGAAAGTTCGCAAGTGTGCTGGCCTTTACACCAAATTCAAGTAGGACAGGCCTTGTGTATACAGCTAATACAAAAAGGTAAAAACTTAATTGCATTGGAATTTCCGACCCATTGTCAAAGCAAGCAGAACAACAAAAATGGTTGAGCACTACGTCAAAAACTCACCTCAAGGAACTTTTTCAACGTAATGTCGCGCGAACTAAAAAAAAAAAACCATGAAAAAGGAGCAACTGCTCGTCAAACATACACTACTGATTGCAAAGTATAAACCTATGCATTATACCTTTACTTTCCCAGATCTGATGAAAATTTTTTTTGCCTAACTGTTACACATTTACTCATCGATTGGTAACATAATTTATTGCAATATCAAAGTAACTTTCTGGATGAGAAGGTTATGAATTTTCATTACCTAATACGAAAGCGTGGAAAAAATTTCAAAACATAACCCCACTTTTCTGAACAAAAAATGCGCACAATATTGTAATTCAACTAAACAAAAATAAAACGTGGTTCCAGTAAGTGAGAAACAGTGAAACTCAGCTCACCTTGCCTTATGAAAGATTTGATAGCAACGCTTTGTTCTCATGGCGAAAGAAGACTGTGGAAAAAGCAAATCAATAATTTTTAATCCGCGCTGTTTGGCTTTACGGACGTCTCGATAACCTGAAATGAAGCCATAATCAAGAAAAAAAGAGAGCAACTAAACTTTGTTAATGCACCGAAACTTGACAATCAGTTTTCGCAGACTTATTTTATCGAGTGACAAACTGTTCAAAACAACTCTTCTGTTGTCTCTTATGATAGCATCTTCTCCATTTGCCGATAATTTATGAGTAGGTCCTCATAATTAGCGCTTCGGTGTTTCTTCCTCATAATTAGGTGTTTCTTCCTAATAATTAGCGCAACCGTGTTTCTCCGCCGCAGGTTAGTAGGGACCTTAAGCAAACCACGACGGCGACTGCAACGTGGACGTGGAAAAACAAAAGATCTAATTAGCAGAACAATAGCTCAGCACGTGCGTTTTAAAACTTTGTACATTTCTCAGCCGTCCTATGCAAAGCAACAACGTGAAATCACCACAATTTGCGTCGTCTACGAACCGAGACCGCGACGACAAATTATTTTAATTTCCATTTGGAACTCAACGCTTCTTTTATACGGTATGCTGAAGTTGAGGTGTGGCGCTGTATGAGACGGTAAACAAATGCAGCCATTTTTGAAATTCTAATTTAAGGCAGAAATTCATTTTTTAATCGAAGTTTTCCTTGGCGTTACCGTCCTGACTGCTTAAGGTCCCTAGTATGAGGCCGTGAGCAACTTGAGCCAACAAGAGGTCTGGACCGGGTCTACAATTGATAGTTGGTACCAGACCCCTGGCAGACCCCCAAGCAGACGATTAGGCGAATACGTTGTCTTCAAGATACAGCATTTCTATCGATAGTTCAAATTATGATCTCCAAACACAGTTTTTTCCAAATGCAAGGGTCATTAAATTTCTTGAACTTCTCCCTGTAATGACTAACCTTTGAAACAGCCATCATCATCCACATCGCTTGTTGTGGGTACGTCACTAATAGTTTGGCGATGATCTCCTAAACAATAAAAAGGAAGAATGAGGACAACACAGCAAAAAATGTTTCCACAGAAGAACAAAGCAAAAAAATTAATAGCGCTAACGATTGAAAATACTGCGTCTAAAAATCACAGGACATGAAATAGGGTAACGAGATGTTATACCACTCAACACAAAATGGCACATTAGTAAAACCCACCCTGCTCAAGCATATGCATGGCTGCATCATATTTTATACGATATGGTGAATTAACCATTCAACCCCTGAGGGTGACTAGCGTCTAATTTCTCCTTACCATATCACCCCTGAATCACACATTAGCGTCACAAGAATAAATAAAATGATCACCAGCCAAAGAAGCCCTTGACTGTTTAACAAATTCTCCTTGTCAGCACCTTAGTAAATGGATAGAGAACAGTACGGAAGATGTACTACTGAATAGAGAAGGGCAATATTGAGCCAGTTTCTCACTACTACTTACCTCGAGCTGATGAAAGACCGTTTGGTTCGCATGGCAAATGCGAGAAATAAGTAGAGAGAACGCTGTGAGGAACTGGTACGCTGGTAGTTTGTTGGTCAGATCTGACATGATCTGTAGTAAAGAGCAAGAGAGAAAAAATATAGTTATAATCGATCACGATATAAGTCTTAATAAATTAACCGGGCTTCATGGTTAAATTTCATTCATGGTTTACGGTTTGCTTTCCATTGTTTCAAAATATAACCCATACCGAAAAAGTAACGATGGTGAACTAAAGTCATTCAAACCTCGTTGCAATCCGCTAACTTTTGCCTCTTTCCTCCTCTATCAGATGCTTTGGTCTGTCGACCTTCGTTGAGCATAAAAATGTTGGTAAGTTCGACATTAGCAAAGTTCACACAGTATATCAAAATTATTTATATTTTCAAAACAAGAAACAGTTCCATCATGGCATGGCGTAAGTAGCTGTCTTGTGGACTACTAACTACTAACTTGAGCTTCATGGGAAACAGTCGCTGAAGTGAGTAACAAAGGTACGAACAGTAGAAAAAAAAAGGCTGTGGCAAAGGAATTCATATTAAACCATCAACTGTTTTGAAACAATTGTGCATTTCTCGTCTACACTACCATGGATTCAAGCATGAGTATGGGTGGATATCATATAAATTCAGTGTATGTATACAGTATATGTAAATTCAGTATATGTATAAAGATGCTGAAACCTCTTGAGCCATAGAGAGTGCTCCTCTACGCAAAAAAAAAGGAAGCGCCTCTCTGTCAAAAAATCGTCAAGTTTACTGTGAGCTTGTATCTACATGAAGTTAATGAAAAAGAAAAATTGAAAAATCAATTGTGAAAAGCTGCCCTCCAACCCGCACGCTGCTGTATAATAATTTGTATCCATAATTTTTTTTTCATTAATTGATCAATTTTTTCATTTTTAAAATAAGGACGCCTTACCTTGATCAGAAACTGTAGCGCCAAAGTTAAGCCAAATAGTTAGGAGACGAGGCATGGATTGATAGATAAATTTGTTTCCAAACTGAAGAGACAGTCCGTAATGTTTGAGAACAAATGGAATGAAGTCCCTGGAAAGATAATGATTCAAGCATAGAATAAGCATTAAAGAGATTCAAACTGTTAAACAAGGTTAAAAGGCCGGAGCAACAATAATGAAGGGTAGATGTCGTTAAGGTAGCAGAAGAGAGGACAGCGATTTCCATAGTGTCGAGGAAGTCAACATGGTAACTACACCACAGCTCTCCTCTAGGAGAACTTGACGGTATGTGCGGGGAACATAAATTATAAAACAAAGCGAGTAAAACAACTGAAGACAGTTATGATACCAATAGCACCATAAATTACTTGTACTTACACATAAACTTTGTTCGATTTTTCTTCTCCTTCCGGACAGGCTGACATTAGCTTGTCATAGTATTTTCCCAAATAGAAATGGCCATTTTCCCAGCTACCATGAAGTGCAGTCACTTCCTACGATAAAAGCGGTAAGAATGACCACTGCAGGGTTTTTATAAAAAAGAAACGGGTGCACAATGTAGGCACATGAGCAAAAAAAATTAACACTCAAATTAAGTCTTAATCTGGTCTATTGAAGAAGTGATTTGTGTAAGGGCAATTATATACACATCGGTAAACTGCAATCAAAGTAATTTGCAGAGCTTTAGGGCTCGCACAAAACAACAACAAAAACAACAAATCCTCCGACCCGTCTTTAAGGAGACAGCGGTTGAATAGCGGTCGGGATGCATCCACTAAATCCAATCTGAAAATGAGTGACCCAATACCGATTCAACTGTCGGCTTGTATCTTTTCGTTATGAAAAGATGGTCGTAAATGTTGGGACGAGGCAAGTTAGTCATTAAAACCAAGTGAAAGGCATCACATTACCTTGTACTGTTGAATGGCACGATTAGCTGCATAGTGAGCCGTCTCCTCAATCCATCGGCCGATAAGTAGCAAGGCCTGGACGAAAAAAATAATGTTAATGTTGTGGTCTGCTTTTTTTTGTAGCTTAAAACTTTCTATCCATTTTAATTTTCAGTTTTTGTTTGTTTGTTTGTTTGTTTGTTTGTTTGTTTGTTTGTTTGGACCGGAAATCTCGCGCCACTTTCCCAACCAATCAGATTTCAACCAAAACGAATGGCGCGTTTTCCCGCACTTCAGACAGTTTGTTTTTGTTAACTTTAAGCTATCATTGGCTTCTTATGTATTTTCCTTCCTTCTCATCGGCTCCCGTGATAATTCCGGTTTTTGTTTAACGAGATTTAGTCAAAAACCCAATAACTCACTGCAAAAGGTCTCCAAATACCAGATTTTAATAACAAAACTTTCTTGCTTCCGCGCTTCCAAAACCCGAAAACGTCCCCGAGATGTTTAAACTTGAGGTAAAGTAATTTGCATGAGGTGAGGTTGCTAAGTTAACTTGTCACGAACTCGTCAGGCAATGTAAACGAAAAAGTTGACAGCACCATGAAATGCTAAAAGCATTGGTGCACGTAGCTTACACTCGACACGATTCCATCGTTATCCATTGAAGAGGGCACCAGAGGATTATCTCGTTCTAGGAACCACGAGGTAAGACAAGCGCTAGACTTTTAATAATATCTCGCTCTAACTAAGGTATGAAGCACACGCGCGCGAAACAGAGAGGTGAAGTCCACAAAGCTACCAACCTTTGCATGGATGAATCTGTCCAGTCCCCCATCTGACACTGTACTGCTGCCATGCGGCCACTGTTCACTTTTAAGAAATAAGACCAAAAACCATAATGTTTATTTTGAAAGGATGTTTCTGACTAGTGAAATCGCCTAATCATGATAGAAAAGGAAAAAATCTGCCAGGCCTCATGGCATAGTGCGGAATATCCTGTTTTATCGTGATTCCGTGAATTCTATTCCATAATTTTCTAAACTTTCGTTCGATGTGTTGAGTCCACTTTTTAAAAAAATTAATCAAAATTAGGAAAGCGAACGGAGAATATTGTTTTCATAAACTCTGGATTTATAGCTTTTATTCTGCCCGAATCCTTCTGCATCGTTTTTTGTACCAGCAAGGTGTTTCAAAAAGTTACTGCGTATACAGGAGTGGCTATCCGAAAACTGACTATAAATTTACCAACTATTCGGAAACAGGGAAAAATTCTCTTCAAATATAAATACAAAATGTTACAGAGCTTACCTGACAGCCCGTTGCAAACTTATCAGAGCGTTATGAACATCACCCTATGACAAAACAAAAGGGATACCCAACTCTTTAGTAAGAAAGATAACACCCAAATATGATTACTAATGTTCTACATGGAACTGTACAGTGATAGGACCCTTACGTTTTCCCTCGCCTCTTGTAATCGAATGTTGTCGAAAAAGGACACTAGTAAAAACGTGACGGAATGCAAAAGTTTATAATTCCAAGATTCTTGTATATGGAGCGGCTATTTTGGTCGCCGTGGGGAATACTATAAAATTTTGGCGACGGAGATTTTAGCATAAGTCGTCGAATTCGTGATCTGTGTTCGGCGGTCATGTACATTATTCAGTTTCGACGTTTTCATAAGTTAGTTTTCATGGCCTGAAGTCTAAGAGGGACAAATATTTAAATAAAATTATTGCTCAATCTCCTTTGTTCCTTCTATAAAAAATTGCCTCTTTCTGCTCGGTTCCCCGAATTCTATATATGCCTTGAGTCACGTGAATCAGCGAAAACGAATGGCAGGCATAATGCTTACCCGAAAGACAGGCGATGTGGTTTTTTCTGACGACTAAAATGCTATTTGACTTTAGGTCGCCATATGGAAGAGGTTGAGCTTCGAGACTCTCAAGTGATCAAGAAACAAAAGCGACTCCTCCTTAGTCTTGCATTTCTAGTATACAATCCACAAAGTAAATATCTTACTGATAAGATGACTGATTCGCTGTTCCTACCTGGCTGGCCATCCATTTCGCACGTTCAATGCATAAACTTGGCAAAGCGAAGGCACTAGCACTTAAAAGCGAACTGTCAGCAGTTTGGACGTGACCCGCTCTAAATGAAAGAATAAAATGTCCTCATCATTTGTAAGCTGAAGTCTATCATACTTTTCTTCACAAGAAAACATTAATAAAGAGTAAATTCCACTTTTCGAAGTAACTGTCGACCGATACATTCATTACAAGGATAATAACTTGGGAGTGGTCGTTTAGTAGAAGTTTAACCAAACCCGAGAGTAGAGATTCCGTCTTTTTAAAAGAAAAAAAAATGACACGAAGAGGCTCTTCAGCATACTCCCTAAATACACTGCAACTGACCGAAAAATGGAGCGACACTTACACCCTAGCTGCTTTTGCACTTTGAAGCCAGCTTTTCCCTTGTTCTTTCTGTAACTCTTCAGAACTAAAGGCAATTTAAAAACACAAAACATTGTTTCAAAAATTTCACTCCTTGTCTTGGTAATCGTCCCCACATCCTCTGGGATCTGCTGTGTGAGATATTCAACTGCCGGTGTATAATTTCAGCTGAGCAGTCTTAATCTATAGTCAAAATGTATAAGACTGGTTTCCTGCAAACACCTTACAGAAAAAGACAAAATCAGTGGGAAGGGGAAAGAACATTAATGTTAAATGGAAGTTTCGTTTACGGTATTCACTTGTTAAGATATCTAGTAAAACCAATGCTAACAACAATATGCTGATAAACCTATTCAAGGGGACAATTAGGTTTTATCAACTGAGTTGATGATGTAAAATTGCTGCCGTAAAGAGTTTCCGAAACTGAGGTTTCGAGCGTTAGAACTTCGTCTGCCTGCTAGTTAGGAAAGCCGCAAAACTCTAAAATGTTCCCACCAATAGCGAAGCTCCATGTTCGGCATATAAGCACGCACACAACCCACAATTCCTCTGTTTGCTCTGACAAAGGGCTAACGCTCCAAACGTCAGCTTTAGAGACTCTTTACCGTGGTCAATTCATATTATCAACTCAATTGATATCCCCAAATTATCTGGGATTACTCCCCACTGACGCAGCACCACAGTTTCTTTGAAAACTTAACTTTTAATTCAAGGAGACACTAACCTTGGTAACAGTTTTAAAACAACTCGTCTCAAATTTAAGATTGGTTCCCTCGTGCGAAATGATGTCTACAATAGGTCATTCAGTTGGTATATGAGAAAAAAGAAATGTAAAAAGGTTCATAACTAAAATATCACAAGAAGTTCTAAAGTACTCTGAGTAAAAACAAAAAAATAAGAAAACAATAATTCTGCTGATGACATAATGAGGATGGTAAATATGTGATTTCAGTAAAAGATAATGTATTCGTTGAATGTCACAGGGATACTCGGCGAAAAGAACTACTAATTGGAAGGTCGTAGGTTCGACTCCTGTTCGGAGCACTCGGAGCTCTTTTTCTCCGATTACGCCTGCGTCATGCACTGAATAACATCGCCTTTCAATTATTCTACTGCATATGAGCCATACGACCTTAAAGAGTTAATAGATTTCCATAATTTACCGTTGCAAGAAATCGAGATTTTCCATAGCGAAAACTTAACGAGAGTCTCGCGTCTTTTCTTGTTTTTATAAATACTTTTTACGCATGTGTTGTCCAAACTTGCCATATTGTCCTTTTGTGTTTCCAATGGCCGAGCACTTCATTTTATCTTACCTCTCTATGTAATTGGACGGTACGGGACCTTTACGGCCGCAGTTGGAGAGACTATTAAGTTCATTTTCTCATTAGAAGAAAACAACATACAAGCCAGCTGCTATGTTTTATTTTCGATGAACACGATTGATCGATGAGTATTTCTATCATAGTTTTTATTTCTTAGTAACAGGGGTTTGTGTCGTCCAATTCTGTCCGTAAGCATATTCTTGATAAGCAAATTGGACTCTCGCTTCGTAGATGTCTGATTTAGTGAATCACTCGTATGTGCGATTAGAGACCGAGTGGAGACTCGGTCCTATTCACCAGTATTAGTCTCCTCTATAAACTGTAATAATGATAAACTGCTGTCACAAACCTGCGAGATGTGCAAACGTGACTGCCAGCTATTTGTCACGCCTATGGTATCGATTCCATCAGCTGCTACAAGGAAATTCCTTTGCACTGCCTCCTCCACCTCGCGAAGCATGTGCAGCCTTAGCGTTCCGTTCGGTTGAGAAGGAAATAGAAGTGAACATTGTTGTCAAAATCGGAGCATTTTTGAAACGGAAAAATATAGCACACACAAATTGATGGAGAAGGAAGATCTTGAAAAATCTCCGCTGAGTTTTCCTAGAAGCTCCGACCAAGATGAAGGCTCTGACAATATTCACAGCTATTCAGTGTACAGAACTGATCTTTGCAGTTGAGCTGCGATTAACAAAAACCGTCGGGAAGCAGCCTAAGAAAACTCGTGCTTCGAGGAGATTCCATATGTAGCTTCGTGGCTCGACCAAGAAGTGTTCGACCGGTATCTGCGAGGCATGGGTTCGAGAAGCGTTCAGGCCTTAATTTTTCCAGGCCTCTCATCTACAATTTCTTTCACAGCAGCTTAAATTCCTTCTATTCTCTTCGCGGATCAGAATATTATATATTTTATTTTGAGTAACTTATCACTGTATACCTCACAATGTGTTCATAACCACGTTGATAGGACCCAGACTCCATACTTGCCGCGGACAAGAATCCCATCTGTTGACTGCGAACTACCTTTAGTTGACGTCTAAATTCATTCTCATTCTGGTGACAAAAGAAATAATATAGATATCAATAAATAAAGAAAAGGATAATAAATCTTTCTAAATATTGTGGCACTTTTGAATACATATCTGATTACGCCCAAGATAACTTGAATATTGGATTGTTAAAAGTAATAAAAATTCCTTGGTTAAATTTCGCTGACAGATCACTGGTGCCCATTTATACCCTTACCAATGTACGAATAAAGAGCCCTTCCCAATAACACAACACCATGATACGTCGAGGGCTTATTCCACAACTTCCTGGAAAGTAACTACGAGGCCAACGCAGAAGAAGCTGATAAATGGTGTGATAGTCGACACAAAACCCAAAACACAATTACTATTCCTTCACAGATTCACATCGTGAAAATTTAGTTCAAACCTTTTCTTTAGCAGCCAACAGGATCCGTCCTAATCCAACATCCCAGTCACCAACACCTCTTTCCTAAATACAAGTAAAGATTATAAAATCCATAAAAGAATAACCACAAAAAAGCTAGGTAATTGCATAGATAAGCGCATAAAAAAAAGGAATGCAAGAGTATATAGAGTGGCCTAAAAAGCACATCACTCTTGTATAAGTTCTGTACATAGGAGGTCCATTCTGTATTAGTAAGAATAATACCAGTTTAAGATAACTTTCAAGCGAGTCCCACTGTCCTAGTCTCCAAGAAGCCTCAACACGGTACGCATTCAGGGACTTCTCCCATTCAGGTCTAATATAAACGAATTAAAAAAACATTAGATATCGAATAACATAGAAAAACAAACAAAGTAACACATCATGGTCAGCTTACAAGAGAGTGGTAAGAAAAATAATAAGAAAAAAATTAGTAGGTGGAGTAGCTTCACTTGAAAGATCTTACATGAATGGCTGAATACATTTTAAGGAAGTATTAAGACTATATAATGACAAAACACCTTAACAGCGGATAAAACCTGAGGTAATCCGAGCGCAGACTTAATGCAAATTATTTCAAAATGATTTTAGTCATGGTGGCGCCACATCGTGGAATAATCTTCCTCGCGAGGCTAGGTGCGCGGAATCCATCGTGTCGTTCAAACGAGAAAATCAACAAAGTTCTCTAAAGCACGGTATTCATGGAAAGCAGTAATATAGTGAAATTAATAGTATTTTTATAATCATTAATAACTAATAGTTTTTAATTATTTTTAAATAGCTCATGAATTGCCTATGATTAAGTAAATGAATATATAAAATTTAAACTCTACGACCAATAAAATACCAGGCTTGTAAAAGCTTTGAAACTTCGAGTTATACCTTTGCCATGAGTGTGGAGTCCACGGTGAGAAATCAGGCGCGATTACTCACTGTAGGAATATGAATTCGCAATATAAGATGCAGCTTATGCACAGTTCACAGAACACAGACTTTTCATCTGAGTTACTGTTTCAACAAACCTTCGAGTAACCACTCCATCCACATGAGTGAGAGCAGTCGTCACTTGACCAAGATCAATAAAACACTGTAACAGGCCCTTGAAAAAGAATGAGGAATAGCGTAAATGACAATCAAAACTGCTCTTTGCGAAAAGTTGCTACAAATGTGGTCCAAATGTGTGCCAAAGTATAGAATAAGTTCCCTTTGATTTTTCCAACCTCAGCCAGCTCTGATTTCACTATCCGATGTTACAGCAGCTGGACTGCAGCGACTCTTTGGTAACATATATCTAAGATTAGTAATTTAACACTCGCAACGACTCTAAGAGTGTTAATTGAGAGTTAAAAATTACCTAGAATGATGAATATTAATTTACTGTCCTCCTTTGAAAATCCCGGTGTCAACTATTCTTTTCAATTGCCCAGAAACAGAACTCGTTTTTGAAACAGATGAAAGACTGTTAATTCCAGCTTCAGCAAACCCTATCCTCACCTTGTGATGTCCAATCTCATCTGGTTCTTCTTGAATTGCTCTCTCATAACGAGCAGAAACATCGCACAACTTCCCTACACCATTCAGATCAGAAAGTAGGCTAGTGTAAACATAAAACTATCTTTTCATTAATCCTTTTCAAATTTCAACCAACGTTTTTAAATTGCTCTCTCATAACGGGCGGAAACATCACAAAGTTTTCCTACAGTTTTTAAGAAGGAAAGGTTGCTAGCCTAAACACAAAAATATATGTTGATTCATCCTTTTCAAAGTTAAACTCACCTTCTCCCGACTAAAACAGCACCTGACCAGAAAATGCTTTGTAAAATTAACGCCTTAGGGCACTGCTTATCTAGATACTGGTACAAATTTGCTGTGCAAGTTTCTATTTAATGGTTTGCACTTTCAACCAACATTTGTAAGATGGATCTGTTCGGTCGTGGAATTCAACAACCAACGTCAAAACAAACATCTTCACTATCTACCATACAATTCTTATGATGTCAGTTTGGAGAATTTGGTATTGAATCAATTAATAATCCACAAATTGACATTTTTCTCTTCCACACCACTTCTATGCTTGTTGTTCATTGATCTTGTAAGAAGAAATTCTGCCTTGGTCAAGTTAAGAACAATGACCTTGTATTACCTCATCTTAGCTTCTTACAAGCGTGAAGCTGTGGAGCCTTCTATACTTCATTGGGTCCTACCTGAGCTTTTCTGATCGAGGATCTGTTCATGGAGAGTGGGTTCCTGCTTCCTGCTGGCTGCAACCCCAGCTACTCCATCAGGTTCGTCCAAAACTATGTAGAGCTTCTGAACAAACCCTAAATGGCGGTGGACATCCTGCTTCTGACTTGAGATGAATGCCTCAAAGTGCATCAAGGCACGGGCATATGCCTTGCAGTGGAATGATGCGTAAGCCAGCACATCCTGTAACACAATAAAGGTTTCAAATCACTTTTATTGCAAACACAAACATCAAAAACCCTTTCTTATTTCGCTCGCTTTCCTCCCAATCCTGGCGACCAAACCGCATCAAGTAAATCCCAACAGATTCCATCCATGGATAAAGTATTTGTATCTTGAATGTGTTCACTTCACCCACAAACTAATTTCGAATTTCAGCATCATTAAGTGGTGAATTTATTATCCAAAACAAACTCTCAAGCTTCTTTGATTGTGATACCAATGCCTCCATTGAAAGTTAAATCCTTCAAGGATGTGAGCCACTTTCTGATTTACCTGGGGGATTTTTTCCAGGAACTTTTCCACGGCTTTTTGCTCATCTTGGATACCTTGAAATGCATAAGGCATGTTGAACTATTACGATTAACAGTTTTTCGGTTCTTTTTACTTTACATATTCTTTTATCCACACTATTTAGCCCCACGTGAACCCGGAAGTGAGAAAGACGTGACGCAATGTGTAATGTCAACTTTCAAGTAGGAGCGGTCATAGAACTGTTGTCGGTAACACTTACTGACGATTTGATTCATTTCTCTTCGGGAATATCCTCACGCGAGCAATAACGTAGGATATGAAAGCATTACGATGGAAGTACATTTTAGGCCGATCAGGGTTCCTTCATACATGAAACACATACTTTGTAATGGTAATAGGACTGAGTGTAGTCCAATGCGGTCTGTAATGGTACGAGTGATAACATTTGTTGATCACGAGTATGATTACAGACCGAATAAGACGACACCAAGTAATCATAAAAATTATAATTTCCGAGAAGAATAGCCAAGTTATGAAAGAAAGGGTGATTTTGCATTAAAAGACTTTCACTACAACTGATTTAAACTAAAACTTTGAAAGTGATTGGTTGATTTAAACTTAAACTTTGCATGTGATTGGTTTATTGAACTGACCGACAATAAACTGTCCGATAACAAACTGTCCTATAACAGACTGTTCGATAACAACTTGGCAAGTAAATTAGTGGAAAATACGAGTTTTTTAAACCAATCAATCGAGGAAATTTTAATTTTTGTGATTAACAGTATTAATATATACAACCAAGCCCCTCCACCTAAAGCCCCTCCACCTAAAAGTAGAATTCATATTCTCCAAACTGTTCTCGGTACTGACGAGAAGAATTTGTTTGACAATCAGGAACTTTTAAAATTGGCGATCATTTCCTTTCTTGTCATGACCTTTACATTTGATTTAAGGGTGACAATGTAAGGCGAAATTAGAAGCAAGTCATTCGTCTGATTGGTCGAGAAGGAACATAAGTTTTCTTGACAAATCAGAGAGAAACCTAAAGAAAAACTTATGAAATCCCTCTCTTCTGAGAATTGTTTTTTCTTTTCGAAGACAGCTAAAGATATACAGGTACCTGAGACTGATGGACTGTTTCGGTGTTTGGAAGTCACCAACTGTGTCTTTAGGGCCAATCTGTAAGCCTTTGCTCTTGCCCAACGGTTCAAATAATCCAGGGCTGAAAATATTGTCTGAGCACTCATCTGGCGGAAATCTTAAAAGAAACAAAGACTGTATTCGAGCCATATTTACATAGCTGTCGGAGTAAAATCTGGTTTCTAAAGTTCAGAGTACTACACCCCTCCCCCCTCCCCCCTCTACCTCCCTAGTAGAATTCTCCGCCATAAAAAGAAAAAAGAAAAAAAATTGGTAGATCCCGCGTGGAGAGAAGAACTGTGAGAGAAAGGTTCCTTTCTCAAGGACTTTATACACAAGCCATCTTAGGCACATACATGCACATACCTGCACCGTTACATCTAGCTTCCAGCGCGCTAACTATTAGGTATTCTATTCTTTAAAACAAAGCTTCACAAAAAGAGCATTGCGCTCTTTCAGGCAGACTTACCTGAGGATGGGGCAGGAAGCTCTTCGTTTCTTTGCAGATGAGTGAGAACTGCCATGATCTCTCCGTAAACCTGGTTATGAAATGACGTAAGTAAAACCGAGCTTGAAAGAGGCTCTTATGTATTTGCTTTCCTGTTTACAAGTGAAAGAGAGACTTTCTTAGCTCATAAGGATAAGTTGCGCCTTCATCAGTTTTTTTTCTTCTACATTAGATACTTTTGCGAACATGAAATTGTTTCGCTGCTCTTCTTTTTATCTTTTTTTCACCGATCTGACTGCTAATAGCTGATCGCGCATCCTCCAACTCACCTCTTCGACGTCCTCTTTTGTGCCATCCAACAGAACATACAGCAACACGTGGGGAAGCAAGAATAACGCGGTCTTAACGTCGTGCTGCAAAAATAATAGCTTCAAAGGATTAACAGATATTCACATACTTTCTGTCATCCGATAATAACATAGCAAGTTCACATAAATTTCCATAAATTAATAACTGTACACATATGAAATCATACGGCTTGTTAGCACAGTTTGTAGGCGCACTGCACCGGTTTTGCAGAGGTCGTGGGTTCAAATCCCGTACAGGCCTGAAATTTTTTCTGGCCTCATTTTCACTACTGCTTAAATCGTGTTCATTATTGCTAAGATCACTTCCAAATTAAGAAGTTTCCATGTTCGGAAAATAGACCAGTATAACTATCTACTTGAACAGGGTCTACCTTAAAAATTTTACTGCAAGCCTGGAATGTATGGGATGGTTTCTGGCCCTTGACCTAAAAAAAAAACAATAAATGAATTAAAACAAACAGAGTAAATGACGAACAATTCAATTTGTCTCCCATCCCAAAATTGGTCTAAACCAACAGATATACCTTTAAAGTCGGCATCTGTTAAAAGCATACCTTGGTGATCATATATGATGTCCATGTGCTGACCCACTCATTATACACCCTGCCCTTAGTGCTTCTGTAGATCGGTTTGGGGAGACCAGACCAATTGGGAGTGCTGGAGCTAAGGTATCTGTTATTGCAACAAGAACTTAATTCAGAGAGGATAGGAGATGACAGTTTACAGAGCTATGAATCGAATTGCCACTTGTTCACAAATATGACCCAAAGATATAAATTTACGTCTGACGATCTGATTGTTTTTTAATATCTACAGTACAATGTATTTACAATTTATTATCTTAATCATACTAACGGTTTTTGACATTTATAACTGCTTAAGGCAAAAACAAATTGTTAAAAAAAAGTGAAAGAGGATGGTCCTTTCTTCAAATAAAAATGTTACTTACTTTGAATATAAATGAGGCCGAAGAACTTCTTGGATATGCTCTGGAAATTTCTGCCACAGGTCATAGCCAGCCCTATGTGGAGTAAAAAGGTTTATGAAAACCTGATACGTTTCCTTAGAGACCTAAAGCAATTTAATTACAACTTGCTAACCAAGGAGAAATCGTGTTATCATTTCTACATTCAATTCCGGATTAATCTAGTGCCGCGAAAAACCAAAACATGAACTGTAAGAAAATAGTAGAATACCACAAGGATGGGCCAGCCAAGGTAAGTATGAATAAAAAGCATTAAAAAGGAAAGCTGCCTGGAGCGGGAGTAAACGCGACAGATCAAGTCATCATGAGTTTTACTTTTACAAACTAACATCAAAAAGCATATTGTCCATACTGTTCTCTATGCATTTTCTTAAGGAGCTGACAAGGAGAATTCACGTGACAATCGAGAGGTTTCTTTAGTTGGTGATCATTTCTTTTATTCTCGTGACCTTAATTTTTGATTCAAGGGTGATACTGTTAGGGGAAATTAGAAGCCAATCGCTCTTAGGGATCTAGGGGTTGAACCTATCACTGACCAAAGGAGAACAAAACCAAGGCGATCTCGGATTATTTTCGATATTTCACTGAAAAAATTTAGACCAATTCATATAACCAACATTTACCTGTATCTCATGAAAGTCTTGTCGTTTGTGCTGAAAGCGATTGCTAAAAGAACGATAGACGGGAGGGCAAGATAAAAATTTAACAACACTCACCCGTCCTTCTTTGATTCACTACAGCCATAAGTTAACAGAACTTCTTGAATAGCATAGGCAGAGCAGTCCTGGTAACAAAAATGCAAAACGCACGTGCATTAAAACAACCAAACGAATTTCTGATTATAGTGTAAATACAAGAACATCACAAAAAACAGTGGAAACGCTTATAGTTCCTCTCAGGACTGAGGACATAAAATTAATCATGCGATTACTTTAGCCGATAAGGAACAACCAAACTGCCTAAAGCGCGGGAAATAGCGGACGGCCAAGTCATGATCGTTTTGCATCTGATTCGTGGCATGAAGGTTTTCTAGACCACTGAAAGAGCGAAGTAAAGCAAAATCAAAGAAATTCCGGATTATTTTCGACACTCAATTGAAAATTGCTCGGGTAAAAAAGATGACCCAGGTGGTCTTAACTAATCGCTGGAAAAAATGAAGAAAAAGCAACGCAATCACAAATTGTTCTTGGTAATTCCTGTTGCCTTCTCTTACCTGTGCTCTTGTATCATGAGCTGCTAAGAAGGCCTGTACCAGCTTATTAATAAGCTCAACAGCAAACTCCTTATCATCACAACCACTCTGTAAACAGATTTAGTGATAGAAAAAACTTCAATTTTACATAAATACTAAAGGAACTAGCTAAACAGTGGTATTTTATTGTGAGTATGCCTCTGTCCAAGTATACCTGAGGCGGTAATAATCAAAAGTATCATTTCTAAGAAACAAAGCTTTAACTTTAAATTCTGTCACTATTCTCAACGCTCATAACGATATGCAAAGTTAAATTACGCAATAACAAATAAGTTTTATCGGCTTGGTGATCATACCTCGCACTGCTTACGTTAGAGCTCAATATAATACCAAGAAAATTCGTTCACTTCATTCCCACTCAGTTTTTCCAGAGGAACGCAGAGAAAAGAAAAGTCCTCCCTTCTCCCTCCCACGGCGTTTGGGCCGTAACGCTAAATTCATCACCGCTAGGCCAAGCTGTTCTAGCTTCCGCCGATCAACAATTATTTCCATATTTTAATTCGGCAGAGTATAATTCGTTAATTCGTTGTGTGATAGAATACTGTGCCAGAAGTTTACTGGACAAGGTAAATTTAGCGCTCAAGCTCGTGTCACTGACTGAGGAAACATTATCTTTCAAACAGAGCCACCCCTCCTGACCACAATACAATAATTCCATAATACAATAATCATGCAATGTGTGTCTCTGAGTACTTGAGGAGCACTATCTACAAACGGGCATACAGCAAATGTATGTTACCTCAAAAACTGTTTGTTCATCCACAGGATCGTGCGTAAGCTTATCCAGTCTAACAACAAAATACATTAACTTAATCATCTTAATCATGGCGTAAAAAACAAGAACTTTGTCGTTCATCAGTTTGATATAGGAAAGCAATTGCTATCTTTTAATAGCAATGCTTAAAGTACTATTTTAATAAACTGAAAACCAGCAATAAATTAGACGAAACAAGAATGGTGAAGGTTAAAGCTTCCCACAGAATGCACACATAAGAACACCGTCTTAATGATAGCGAGGTGTGTGTCTATTTAAGGGATTCTTTTTCACATCCTGCCACACCATTAAAACCACCAAATACACTAAAACTAATCAATTCTGGTTTAGTAACCACCCTAGTTGTTCGAAAAGTGGATAACGTTGTCTCTATCCGATGGATAGCACAGAACATGTTGTTAACACGTATCCACTGGATAGCAATTTATCCGTTGGAAAACATTATCCAATCTTCGAATAACTGGGGCGTGCTGTTCTGTGGCAGATCTAAGCACATACGTATGAAGTAATGTAACTAGCTTGGGAAGAAAGACACATGAACAAGATCAAATGTAAACTAACCTGCCAGGATCGACAGCCCCCAGCTCACCGAGACATTCAGCGACAAGAATTTTCACTTCAGCATCAGTCACACGACAACTGGACATGAGCTGTTCATAATCAAAATTTCCTTGTCATACAAGATGTTGTTCAGTTTCTACATCATCTTTAACCCTTTTACTCTCAAGATCTCATAAGTAATTTTACTTACTGTCAGCCATACAATTCTTCTGATATTAGTTCGGATAACTTATTTCCTGTATGAACTGATTATACTGATAATTTTCTATATTCCCATCACTTGTCTGTTTGTTATTATATTGATTTTGTTAGGAGGAATTATTTCTTGGTCAGCCATGGGAATTAATGATGCAAATTACACACATCATTTGAGCTCAGATAATCAAGAACTAACCCATAATTCTATGATTCATGTTGTATTTGGTCGCCTGATTATGAATAAAAATCAAGACCGGTGGTACAGTTAAAAGTCGCATCTTTGACAGAAATACTTAAGACTCACTTGAATAAAACTGGGAATTTTGAAAAATGTCCAAATCAACAGTTATACCATGGTAATTAAAACTCTTATCATATGTGATGTAAGTCATTTTTTATATCCGGTTAAAACTACAAACAGGAGTTGTAGGGATTGTCAACAAGCTATCGTTTCTTACCACACTAATAAGCTGCGGAATGATGGGATCGACGGTTTCATTACTAAGGACATAACCATGTAAGGTGGCCTGGAAAAAGGTAAAGAACACCATGGACAAATTCATGTATGAACACACATGTAAGTACACGGCTGTGGCTGAATTTTTGAAAAACGGGTCGGCGAAAATACGGCGCATCAAACAGCTGAGCAATAGATAAAAAAAAATTTAAAAAAAAACAGTTTGAACTTTTTCGGTCAACGTCAATGTCCGAGCAACTATGAACCTACCCCTTCCCTGAACCACCATCAACCCTAATTGTTATCAGTAGACTGTTGTTGGGTTAGGGGTGGAGTAGGTGCCCAATTGCTTAGACACTGATATTGATCAAACTTTTTTCTGGAATTAATTAAAAAAAAATCTTATTCCACGGGTTCCACAGGTTCCACAGGTTGCTCAGAAGTTTAAGAAAAAGAGCCGATGGAATGAGCAACTGAGGGTTTGTTTAGCGGTGTAAGATCAATATTGAAGGTTTTAGATGCGACGATCTGGATGGGAAAAGCCTGAAAAGCAAAATTTACCTGGTTATCATGAAGCAGCTGTTTGAGTTTTGACAATGCATGCCTTTGCACATCAACACTTTCATGAGATATTCCTTTCAGGGATTGTCTCAACTGAGCTCGCAAGTCCATTTTTTTGGCAGCATTCCCACTACACGTCCTCAGCACTGCACTGACTCGGCGTAGTTCGGGAATATCGGGTAGAAAATAGATCTCATGAAAATAACCTTGTAGAGCAGCTTTGTTCTCAACAATCAGAAAGTGGAAAATCTGTGTGACTCTTGCTGGAAGCTTGTTCAGATATGGTAAAAGGGTCACAATGATCTGGCTCAGCATGGGCCCAAGATTTGAGAGTTCAACATTCCGCACAAAGTTCTCCCATGCATCACACGATAGCTCAGGAAAGCCTTCATCTTGGAATCTCAGACACAACCGCAGGATACCCATGACTTTCACTCGTACGTAAGTGATGTACTTCCGCCCCATCACTTGCATCAGTTTGGTGAGACTCTGAAGAGCTAATCTCTTCTCTTCCAGATCAGTGTTTGTTAGAAGTACAGTGTTGTAGAAGGCTAGGATACCCAGCAGTCTAGATTGCAGAAAATTAGCCTAGAGGAAGAAAATGTAGGTGTTATTCTGCACACAAACTATTAATTTTGGTTAAAACGTCAAGATTCATAGTACGGTCAAATATTGTTATGGGAAAATGAGGAAAATAAAATTTTTCTTTTATTTTTCTTCTGATTGCGAAAGCACCTTTCTGAACATCTAGATAAGAGCGAAGAAAAATAGGACAAGGAAGAGGAGCTAAGAGATCGCGTGACAATTTTGAATTTCGTGTTTATGTTCTGTCACACAATCCATCGTCTATCGTCTACAGTCTACCGTCTGTCGTCTATCGTCTATCGTCTATCGTCTATCGTCTATCGTCTATCGTCTATCGTCTATCGTCTATCGTCTATCGTCTATCGTCTATCGTCTATCGTCTATCGTCTATCGTCTATCGTCTACCGTCTAAGTTTTCGGACAAGCCCACCGAGTATGTAAAAGTAATTTGCTTGAAGGTCGGAAAAACACGGGTGACCAGGTCACGAATAGTTTAAGTCTTACATTTACTTGGTCGAAAGAGAGTCGCAAGTTTCTGGACTAATCACACTGCGACGTACAGATAAATGATAAAATCCCAGTATACTCTATTGGAATTCCCTTTAAGCCAAGTTAGGGAGCTTGGGCAATCAGGTTGGCAACGGCGAGGAAGACGTCAAATAAAAAATGAATTTATATTTTTAGCGTTGAGATCCAAATGGAAAATTAAATAATTTATCTTCGGGGTTTCTGTTTTCAGACCACGCAAATTTTGGTGATTTCACGCTGTTGTTTTGCATTGGACAGCTAAAAATGAACACAGCTTTAAACGCACGTGCTGAGCTATTGTTCTGACCATTAGATCTTTTATTTGCCGTCGCCGTAATATTTTCCTTTATTTCCCTGTTGGTATGGGGAAGGGAGGAGATTGAAGAAGTTGTTGTTGCTAATAGCAAAAAAAGAAAGAGTGGTCTTACACTTTTGCCGATTGAAGATCGTAGCCTGACTTTCTCTTAGCATTATTTTATATAAACGATGAATTGTGGTTTGGCTTCAACAACACTTAGATAGTAAAGCCCCTACCAGATGTTGATCAGTTTTAAGGTCCTTTGGCCCAGAGTAAGTGTCATCCTTCGAGGCCAGCATTGCCAGTCCACTAAACACCTTGCTGTAGCTAACACTTAGATACAGTAAAAGCTGATTATAAACACTCTGTGCCTCCGATCTCAATAGACTACCAAGCTCTACATCCGTCTCTTTCTGAAATAAACAACGCATAACAAAACATATCCTGTACCAGCAAGGTCAGTCTGCTTTAGAGAATGACTTGCATTACTGCCCGAGCTTATCTCGGTTTCTATTGCATGAAGCGACCGGAGGTATTGCTGATTTTCCTGAATTGCATGCTGGTCTTTAGAACGTAATGATCAAACATCGGTCATGTGCAAGTAAAGTACTTTTGGCCAGGCGCGCCCAGAAAATCCAAAGGAAAAACTTTAGAAACAACTATCACGCAATCAATACGAAAAAAGATACGGAAAGTTTCATAGAAATCTTTAGAGGTGAACTTTATTTAGTAGTCAAGGAAAAGCCAGCAAAAGTCGACCTCGTAGAAGCTCCAAAACACAAAAGGTTTGACCTCAGATTATCATAGCCCTATACCGAGAGATCATCGTTATGTTCGTTGTAGATACAAATTGTGGGTCAGTGACCTGCTATTAGGGGCGGTTAATAGTTAAGTTTTCAATAACTTTTCAGTAATACATCCGGAACTACTCAACCAAATTAAAGAAAATTTGGGAAGGTGATGTAACTTTGGTTGGTTGACCGTTACTATGGCAAAGGTTGCAATGGAAACCAAGTAAAATCGAGATTTTGTAAAATATAGCAAAAAAAAAGCTGTTCACTCTAAAAATACCTTACCATTGGTCTTGATTTGTATACAAAGGCAAATGAAATTCAGAGGACACCCTGAAGGGTGAGAGAAAGTCATGATTTCTTTAGAGGATTTCATATTGAGTACAGCTTTCTAGCTGCAATGGCCCAGACATTTCAAGAGAGTAGGGAAGAAGATATATTCACAGAACCCGGTCCCAATGCTTTCTCTCTGCGGAGTAATACCACATAAGATTTTAATGTAGTTTGCAATGGAAAGTAACAACGTAATATCCGCACACACAAAGAGGAATCTACCACAGAAAAGAGGAGAGATAAGTACCTTCTGCGAAGTGATACATCGAAAAACTTTCCTGTCCTGTTCAGCAGACTTAAGAAACAGAGTTCAACTCCACAGGTTTTGGAAACAACGACATAAAGATGGCGCTGCTCTGATAAGAGCTCCCAGTTGCAAGAAGTTTATAGGTCGATCGGGGAGTCAATGAGCTCTGATAAAACCTCCTACCTTTTAATGGATAATAATATTTGGTTGAGCAGTTCCGTAGATTTGTCGTTTCTGAACCCATTCAAATCGGTACTCCCAAAAACACCTTCCCTACCTCTAAAATCAGTGTGTAGCAAGTAACCGACCCCACGATTTGTGACTATGACTGACGTAGCGATGAGCTATTGGTATTAGCCTATCATGATCTAATGACAATCCTAAATTGTAGTGAGAGTGCTACTTAGTGCCCTTGTTAGGCCTCTTTTAGGCCTCTTTTTTTAAATCTCCTGACATCAACCATAAAGTTAGGAAAAGGAAACTCGAGACCTGACGGACATAAAGCTCATTTAGTACGAATATCCTATTGATTCGTCATTTTGTTCCAAGCTTTATCAAAACATTTGTTCGCTTGCACCTAGTTGTAGGTCCCTAAATGTATACTACACTGACTTACCTGTACATAACCCAGAGCTTTCTCTAGCTCAGATGCTGAACATGTTCTCACAAGGAAAGAAAAAATAAACTTGAAATTCTCCAACAGCATCTCCCTTCTGTTCATCTTCAGCTCTTTAGCAATATGTCTTAAGATTGCCGATGAGGAAGGCGATGCTTTCTTGACCAAGTAGGGGATTACAAAACGCAGTGTATTCTGTAGGACAGAGAAATTTAGAAATGCAGTATTGAATAAATCGATTCCATGTTGCCATGCGTCCGTTCTGTAATAAATCACAGACTACGTAAAAACATGGTAAGGACAGAAAAGTTGCACATGAGGCGCAGCTGAGTGAGTCGCTGATGTTCTTGCCATAATTTGACGTTTTCTGCCATCTATTATAGAACAAACCCACAGCAAAATAGAATCTAGTTATTTTATACAATAAAGAAGCAATATATTTTATTTAACTCTTTGAACGCTGAGAGTGACTAGCATCTAATTTCTCCTTACAATATCGCCCCTGAATCCCTCATTAAGGTCATGAGAATAAAGAAAACGGTCACCAGCCAAATAAGCTCTTGATTTTTAAACAAATTCTCCTTGTCAGCACATTAGGAAATGTATTGAGAAAAGTATGGAGAATATGCATACTGATGTCAGGATGTAAAAGGTTAAGGTGACGTCATCTATGTGTCTGTCCTTCAATAGATTATAGGGAAGAACCAATCAAAATGTGTGCATAACTCAGTGAATCATTTTAAGTGTAAAGAACAATAATAAATAAGAGGATATTTACTAAGCCTTGTAAACAATGGAGAATGGATCCCAAATAATGAACGTTGGACAAAAAGAAAAAGAAAAAGAAAACCACAATTCTCGCACTTGCTCGTGATAGAGAAATTTTCAACTAAGTGTCAAAAGTAATCCAGGATTGAGTGGGTTTTAATTTACTCCGCTCTGTGATTGGTCCAGAAAACTTGCGCCACTCTCTTAACCAATCAGATGCAAACGAAAACCAATCGCGCCTTGGTCGCCCGCATTTTCCCGCGCTTTGGGCAGTTTGCACGGTTTTAATTTGAATTCTCATTGGTTCTTAGGGGTATTTTCCCTTATTCTGATTGGTCGTTGCGATAACTCTGGTTTTGGTTTTACAACACTCGATCGAAGAGCGCTCTAGCGTGAGATGTTTGTATTACCTTTAGAAATGAATGGACATCCCTAAACTCAAACACACTGGCAACTTCTGAGACAACATCCAAAGAAACTTTAGAAGAGGGATTCAAGCTTTGTATTTCATCCATTGCATCTACCACAAATTTACAAATCGGTTGCTTGAATCCAGCAAACAAATCCTTGAGTTGTTTGCCCTGAAACCTGGCCACCTCTTGGACCTTATAGAAACACAAAAAGGCCAGGGTTAATTTTGAGCGTAACGTTGGAAATGCTCATTGAACTGTGCTTGTCTTCTAGAAGAAACAACAATCAGTCATTAACCATGAGTGAATTACAATTCATACGAAATTCTCTAATCAGACAGTGTTCTATCGCGACCACTTGAAGGCTACAATCTTCCTTTTTCGCAAATTTAGGATTTACAAAAGACGGTAACAAGGCGTTATCCTTGAGCCTGAGAAAACGTTTATTCGACTTGTCAAGAGCGTGAGACAAAGAAAGACATTGAAGTCCCCGTGAGGAATCGATCCTCAGGATCAATCATCTTATAGTACAGGCTACAAAGTTTCTTCATTAAGTAGACGCCGATCAGAGACATGAGCTTTGCTGTAGCAAAGTTACGAAAAGATTTACCTGTACAAACGCACTAAATGTCTCTTCTCCTGAAGAAAACCTCATTAACTTAACAAAAAAACCAAAAAAACTAATAGAATTATCCAAAATGGGTTCGCAGTTACAGATTTTTGGATGAACACAACATCCAAAGAAGCGAATCCATACCTGACGTTTCGAGTGTTCGCCCTTCATCATCTGCCCTACCAAAGGGCTAACTTTCGAAAATCTTTACGGTGACCACTTTACATTACCCTCTCATGTGATAAAACCAAATGGTCTTGTTATACCCTAACGATGCAATACAAAATTTTATTTACAAACTTACCCCCTTTGTTCGTATACATACCTGTTTGAAAGCTGCAGCTCTAATAAGCTGAGAGTGCGCAGTCAGGCTCTCTAGCAAACTAACAATAACAACAAGCAATAGCTCCCCTTCGGCAACTTTTCCCAGTTGACCAATTGTTAAAACCACCGTCTCCTGCAGTTTGCAGTTGCCTTGCGAGGACGCTTCAAGGAACACTTTTTTCAGCTTGGAAATGACATTTTGTTGCGTGCTCTCATCTGAATCGGCTCCTCCAGGTTTAACAACATAAGGGACGACGTTGCTGTCAAACATCAAGCAAACTATTTGCAACTGCCGAGTATATTGAATTTCAATGTTTACAGTCTTACACAGGTATATTGATCGATAGTGCATTAATACCGATTATTCCTGTTTCTATAACAAAAAGGTAAGAGCCTATTAGACGCAAGTAACTCAGCGGCCAAATGTCGGGCATGCGCGGCTGGATTGATTTTGGCCGATCGTGCGCCAATTCCCCGCGCAAATTTCATAAGAAAAAAATTCAAAAGATAACTGTAAAATTAAGTAAAAATACGAAAATAAACCTCGACACTTGTCGAACTCAAAAGTTCTTTAATTAAGGCCATCCTGTTGATTTTCTCACTCGTTTTGAGCACTATCAAAAAAGTTATACTGTTTTAAAACAACGTGATCATTGTCTTGTGCGGCTGTTTATCACTCCTGAGAGAAAAATGGGTTCTGACTGTCTATGTGAGAGTACACCTCCTTGCAAATACAACCGTCGCGCATCCGCAGGCATTTGACTACTTCGTTGACGTTGGTAGCCACCAACATTTCAAATGTAAAGAACATTTTACAAGTCGAGATTGCTTAATCTGAACAAGATTATTTGGTATTATCACCTGAGTTGATAATGTAACTTGGCCACCGTAAAGAGTTTAAAAAGCTAATGTTTCAGGCGTTAGCACTTCCTCGGAGCAATGGACGAAGGGCTAACGTTAAAAACGTCAGCGTTGAAACTCTTTTCGGTGGCCAATTTACGTTATCAACTCAGTTGATAATACCAAATTACCCTGAATGACGATTTTAGATATATGAAATTCATATATTTGCACTGCGGTGAAGAGATGAAATTAAGAGATCCTCGCAGCTAAGAATACTACTGAAACGAGTAGTTGAAAATAGGACCTGAAAAAAATTCAGGCCCGTACGGGATTTGAACCCATGACCTCTTCGATACCGGTGCAGCGCTATACCTGACCAACTGAGCTAACAAGCCAACTAGGAGCTGGTCAATGTGTTGGGTCCAAATAAACCATCCAAGTAATGAATTATGATTTTAGATATATGAAATTCATATATTTGCACGGCGGTGAAGAGATGAAATTAAGAGATCCTCGCAGCTAAGAACACTACTGAAACGAGTAGTTGTAGTTACCCTGTTTTACTCTTCCACCAACACAACACCACAGTTTCTTTAGAAACTTAGCCCCTTTATTCATTTGTTTAATCTGAAGTTCACCGCGTATGCCATTTAGCCACCACATCTTCAATCAGTTAAGCTTACAGGTATCTATCACTGACCTGAACTGCATCCTGACCTCAAAATCGGGGTCCTCAATAAGATCAAAGCACGTTGCACTAACTATAGATCTTTGAGCTTCATTATCAGGTGCCACAGCCATGTGTGTAAACATTCTTTTCATGCTTTTAATGAAAGCACACTTGACAGAAGAGCTTGCTTCAGGAGAGATAAGTTGAAGGTAAGGAATGAAGTTTGCTGCATTTACTATGGCATGAGGTTTAGTTCCCTCCAAGTCATCTAGAAAGGAATAAAAGGGTAAGTTTCTAGAGAAACTTCTGTGCTACGTCAGTGTGGATGTTACATGATAATTTGGTTTTGTCGACTGAGTTGATAATGTAACTTGGCCACTGTAAAGAATATAAAGCTGACGTTTCGAGCGTGAACCCTTCGTCAGAACAAAGGGCTCGCGGTGGCAAAATTACATTACTGCACAGCATAATCACATATCCCCTTTCAAATGACATGTAAATGTCGTGATTTAGTTAAATAGTATAGATCCAATTCGTTAAAAACTGATTGGCCCCTTCTGCCTTAGAGATACACTCAAGAGCATTCTTTCAACTCATTGGTCAGTTTGATTGGTCAAGATTCCTCGTTCGGTTCGTTGGTTACTGTTGTTCTTGATGTCAAGAAGTTGGTTCTGCATAGAGGTTAAGGCATAAAAATGCTTGAAATCTGTTGAAAAGAGTCTGTTCTGAGTCAGAAAAGCAGCTTTCTTAAGTCTAAAGTCGTTTAAGTCGTGAGTTTTCTTTACAGCATTACCTATTTCGTTATACCAAAAACCATTTCAATTTGTTACCTGCTTTGTTTTGAATAACAGAATCACAATCAGGGCAAAGAAATGTGATGCTGCCGGAGATGGACTTATGAGAAGGCAGTTCGTTCCTCAACTTCTTTATTACTGTATTCTCTGTAAGCACGCAGGCTAATGAGCCAATAGTTTTGGCAATTTCTACTTGGACACCTTCACCGCAGGAGAGGAGCCCAGGAAGAATATTATTGATCAAGTGGAAAGAGTAGGAGCCAAGAGAGGACAGCAACAGAGGTAAATGCTTGAGAGCCACAATCTTCATGTCACTTGTATCTTTCTGTGTGAAAGAATAAACGACAGCAATGTTGAATTTCAAGCAAAGAAATAATCCTAGCAGGTGGACTGCACTTAAGTAATTGTAGAAAAAGAAGCCTAAAAAATTCATGGTTCGACGGGATTGGGCTTACCATCAACTGAGCTGCAAAGCCACACGATGGAAGGGAGGTAAATTTTCGAGGGCTCATCTTTCCCATAGAGGAATCTGATCGCAATTTTGATTAAAATAAACTTCAATTGAGTTGCAGATAAAAATCAAGTGAAGGAATTGCGAAGATTATGATTTCTTTGCTTAGTTTTCATCCGCAGGTCAATTGAAATTTCTTTCATTAGAAAATAAATTGTAGCGTGCAATGTATTACTGTTTTGTAAGGGAAAACAATGTGAGTAAAAAGTAACGATAATCTTTTCAAAAGACACAAATCACCATTATTAAGGCCTATCCTAATGAAAGCTACTGCCAGGATCTAAAGGCGCCAACGGAAGGCCAAGGTGAGAAAACGTAGAAGACCTTAAGCGTCGATAAATACCAGCGCGCAAATCATAATTACTCCTCTGCTAACTTGTAATTTGCCGTGAGAGTGACGCAAGTCTGCCACTCCAATCAAACGGAGGCGACACCTGTCGGAGCCACATGAACATTACACATTCATTTAAAAACTTTCCTTTGAACCTCAAACAAATGAGTGCAATCACTTAATAATATCATTCACGCACGAAAACTTTGAAAGAAATGCCCCTTACAAGAACTAGAAGAAGCACTTGCATTCTCCAGGTTGGCGCTGCATCCAGAACTGCCATTAAATGAAGACAATCGACCCTACTGTCTCTGTCAATCACAGGATCAAGTGACCTCCCGACTCTGACCATACCGTCCAGCGAGAGACCAAACCCATGCGGAAGATCAACCCACGGAGGATCACTCTTTGACAGCCAAGGAATGGATACCAGAAATATAAAGAACTGGCATAATGCCAGAGGGATGTGAATGACATCTGATATGCTGTACAATGCTCCGCAGAGCTGTACAAGTTTTCTAAAAGACGAATCAAGGATATCAAATTTCCCTGTGTCTTGCGGCGACAGCTCTGCAGTCTGGACAATGACTTGAAGAGATATTTTAAACATGGAGAAAAGGTGGCCGAGATCCAAGCTTGTAAAAAACTCTAAAAAAGAAAAAATAAGTTTCAATTAAAACGGAAATCAAAGTTGTTTTATGTATCTACTTAAATGTAATTGTCTGTAATTCAGCTGCCATATTCCATTGAGGACGGTGTGTTTCATGGTTTAAGGATGTTTTGTGTCAACTCTGTGTTTGTTCAGTTACATGTTCGATGTTTCGATGAAGGCGACTTTGCTCAGAATTTGCGGTAAAAACAAGTTTAACATCATAACAGCGATATATTTAATCTCGACAGCCAACAACATGAATCATAGTGAACACCAGAAGTAGAAAAGTCTGCATCTTTAAACATAATAAGTGACAAACTCGAAAACTAGTTACAAAACAATAACGCAAATCAGAAGACACGATACAATACAATATCAATACAATATCAAGTATACAAGTGACGAGAATAAAGAAATATATCAGTCAAGGGACTATTAGTTGATCCAATACCAAATTCTCTGAACTAACATCACAAGAACTGTATGGCAGACGGTAAGAAGAGTTACGAATGAGATCTTAGGAGTGAAAGGGTTAACTAATCACGTACGAATTTTGAGGGGTTTCTCACTTATGATCTACTGGAGGGGGGTCGTATAAATGACGTCAACCCATAACAATACTCCGCTATACAGAAATCAAAGGCTTGGCAACTAAGCACACAACTGTAAAATGACCTATTCTTTGCTTCTTTACCGTATAAAACAAATAGATTTTATGTTACAGTGCGTCTGTTCAGAAGACGTCAAAATGTGGCGAGAAATCAGTGATACACTCAGCTATGCCTCGTGCGCCATTTTTTTGTTCTTACCACACTTTGACGTCATCGGAGATTATTAACAGACGCACGGTAACATGGAACCTATTTGACAAATAGTACAAATGCACATGTTAGTCATGTTTTCCATGACTGTACTTTATTCTTTTTGTCATATTGGTGAGTAAATAGTAACCTATGACCGATCTCTTCCAGACGCAGATCCCTCCTTTCGGTAGTGTAGCTAAACAACTTAACCCTTTCCACCCTAACATCAGTATGCATATTCTCCATACTGTTCTTTGTACATTTCCAAAAGTGCTGACAAGGAGAATTTGTTTAACAATCAACAGCCTTTTTCAGTTGGTGATCATTTCCGTTATTCTCATGACCTTTATATGTGTTTCAGGGGTTATATTGTAAGAAGAAATTAGATGTTAGTCACTCTTAGGGGGCAAAGGGTTAATAGCTGGAGACTAACAGGCTGCGACTTTCGGTGCCAGTCAAACAGTATCAGATATCTTTCCCGCGCTAAATAATCTTGAAAGTGCCTTTTCAAGTTTTAAAATGTATTTTCAAGTTTTAAAATAAATGAAAACCTTTAGAGACATTGATTTAGATACAATAATGGTAAATGGAAAGTAAGAGATTAGTACTTTTCCAAAGTGAATAATACATTTATTAATTTCCCAAACTGCCATATACTGTGCTTCACAAGATCACCTTTAATCTCACTTAAGTCACTTGGATTCTCCGTGCTGAGGTTCCTTGTTTGCTGACTACAAAGGTGAACCATCACTTCCACAGTGACTCTGACGCCTTCCAGCTCACAGGCGAACTCATCCTTACGATAAAAATCAGTACAAACAAATTAGAGTGGAGAAAGTTTTTTTTTCAAACAGTTTCAGTAGTTTAGTTTCCACTCGGAATAATGTAAGACCAGCGCTGTGGTATAGCAGATACTTTTTAATTTTTAGCATAATCCTCTGCCTCTCACTCCGCCCTACCCCCCCCCTCCCCCACCAGCCAATCCCACGCAAAACAAAAAGCAAATTAATTCTAACTTACCAAATTAGGCAACTTTTCTTCTCCCTTACGTATTATAGACATGTTAAGTACTTTGATTCTTTCAAGAAGTCTTCTCATTGTTCCTGAACTTGAGTCATTCGTTTTCTTTTTGCTTGGCAGAGAAGGCTGTAAATTGGTGGTCATTTTTCTTTTCTTTGATGAGCTAGTCTTACTGTGCAAGAGAGAAAGCATTTACAAAACTATTTATAAACTGTGCCAAGAATACTTAAAGCAACTGAACTGCACCCAAATTATTACAAAATCACCACTGGATAGTTAGGTACAGTATGCGTTACTAAGCATGCATAAGGTCAAGATGACTGTATATTGACCGCGGTCGTTTTCAAGCACCGAGACGAAGTCAAGGGCCATAAAAACACCAAAAGGAAACGAGGGTAATATCCAGAAGTTTTTAACGATCAAACTTGGTCAATAACGGTTGTATCATATAGCATAATTATTTCACTTTAATTAGAATCAAGAATTCGAGAGCCGGGAAAGAAATCCACCTGTTTTTGTGGCATACTAAACCCACGAGAATCGTTTATGTTTTTTACTTGTTTTGAATGACTCCTGCTGCTTTTAGGGACTTCATCGCCTACATTGTTCAAAACTTACGAACTTTTTAAGTCCGCTCCACACTAATTTTTTTTTCTTGCGCTAGCAGGCAAGAGGGGATGTCTTGTCTGCTCAGGTAGCCAATGATACGACGGGATTCGCTTCATACTACCCACGGACGACCCAAGCTATAATTATGATAAAGATAGATATTAATGATTAAACGTTGTCACAAACCTCTCCATTGTTTCTTCACTTGAGACCCCATCTGTTCCTAAGGCATCAGACTAAAAGATAAAAAAGAAAACATTGGCTACAGGGAATAAATACTCCTTGTTCACACTTTAAGAAAAGGGATGGTTGAAGACTGAGATTTTAAAAGGCATCGAAGAAGACGGAAGTGAAGACTGGGACAACAGGAAAGACGGAGGTGGAGACGCAACAAAAAGTTGGCAAAGGAGACAAAGATGATGAATAAAAGAAACAAATGAACAAATGGGGTGAAGGAGATGACACCATAGACATTATAGCAATGACATGTCCATTTTACTAGTGAAAATGGTTTTGGTGTTATATACTTGAATTTCTTTCAAACCAAAGTTTATGGCTTTAAACCTTAGGTCACTTCTCCCAGATAGACTGACATTTAGAAATGTGACCAACATGTAAATGTGTATCCAAGGATTGTTTTCAGTTACCTTGACACAAGTTGTGCCCTTCTTGTTGCACCTATCTGCAATCACTGCCTCAAATAAGCACTTAACCAAGAACTATAGAAAAAAATACAATCATGACATTTCTCAAAAAAAAAAAAAATTAAAGCTTCATCACTAGGCGTTGTGAAAGAATTGCATGGAGCAAGATAATAACAAAAAAATCAATCCCTCAATGCTATTTCTCCTGAATGGAAAATTTATTTGTAAAGAAGCTGTCACAAGCTGGACTTAGATGGCTTAATCATAAGAAGATCATCATGAATTCCTCTCCCTTTGAGTACACTTTAAATGTATGGTTCGTTGTTTCCCCTTTTTTTAAGTACAAGTATACCCTTTAGCTGCAGGTGAAATGGTGGTATAGTCATTAGTTCTCTGGGTTCAAGAACAGAAACACCTTGGCCAGGATCCTTGTGTTGAGTCTCTAAGAAAGACACAACACAAGGCTCCTGGTTCCAAAGTTCCACAACGTGAGTTCTTCTCCCCACCCACAAAATGCTGAAGGGGGTAACCTAAATGGACTTAACCCTTTAACTCCCAGAAGTGATTCACATGTAATTTCTCCCTACAATATTCATCCACCATCCAGCAAACTGGTATTGAGAGTACTCAAATGTATCAGGTAGAAGCTGCTATCTTGATCTAACACCAAATTCTTGTGACTAATTCACAAGTAGGAGTAGCAGCTAGAGGGGAGAATTAACAATCAGATCTTGAGGGTTAAAGGGTAAACCCCCTAAAAAGAGGTTCCTACTCACTCCTGTCTATGAAGACAAGCCCCAGAGATGTAGACCTCTTAGATTGTGAGCAGAAAATTAATTTACAGCTTAAAGCTGCATTTCTATAAATTCCTGTGACAACTTAGCAGTTTAGAAACACTTTTACATGTTTGGTGCTGAATGTGCATGTCCTTCTCCCTGAAACTTTTTCCAAATAAAAGCACTTACCTGTTGCTGTTGTTCAGTGCCAAGGTAACTAACTATACACTTATTTATGTCATCTCTGACATGGTGTTGCGTTAAAAGACTAGTCTTTCCAGCATTGGTGGGCACATCTTTGTAAATGCCAGAAATGAACTGACATACAGCCACCTGACAACAAGAAAATTAAAACAATCATACAGTTAGCAAGTGTAAGACAAAGAAACTGGGCCTAGTAATTTAAAGGGAAGATATTGTGAACCATTTAACTCCTATGAGTGACCAAGACAGAATTTCTCCTCACATTATTAATGTTAGTGAGGCAGACTAGTGATAAGAATAAAGAAAAATATCAGTTAGCGGATTATTAGCTGATGCAATACCAAATTCTCCAAACTAACATAATAAGAATTGTATAACAGACTGTAAGGACAATTACTAATGAGATCCTTGGAATGAAAGGGTTAATGGACAAATACCTATCCAACAACTAAGTGTTCACTAAAAGGACTGCACTATCCACTGGATAGAGATTTATCCAGTGAATAGCATCATCCACCCTCCCTACAACTGGGGCCTGATAGTTTGCATACTGGTTAAGGGTTGTAGCTACTGCAATAGCAGGTGACTTCTTGGCAAGAAGGAAAAGTCACTCAACTGTTGCAAACGGTACTCAGGCACTGCTTGAAACTGACTTGGTTCAATTCATGCACATGTAACTTTTGTTAGGAAAAAAAGTATTGCACCTTTAACTCTTTGGTCAGAAATTTCTGCAGACCACCTCCACGAAAAACACCTCTAAGCTTCAAAAGAAAATATTTCACATGCCATGCAGGAAATGCATTGAGAGATCTTTCTGATGTTGAGCCTGTGGGCTGCAGTGGATCTCTTTTCCCTGATGGAAGGTCTGTTGATAGGACATCTAAGCACTTAGCTACACTGACCTCCAATGTGGCGAGTTTTTCTCTGTAGACATTAAGAGGGGAAAGGAAAGTTAAGTCTGCATACAGTTTTAGAAGGTTACACAAGACTATCTACATGGTTCTCCAGCGAGTAGGAGATTCCTTTCTGAATGGAGTGGCAGTCCACTGCAGTCTCGTGGATATCTTCAGTCAATCTTTCCCAATATTTGGTAAGAAAAGGACCTGTAGTGCATTACCTTTATAACTCCCAAAATAAATACATATGTTTGCTAAGCTAACCCTAAAAGAGCTTTGGTTAAATTAAGGCTGAGATAATTATTTCCATTCCTTCTTTTAAACCTGCTTACCTAGAAATACAGCAGTAGGGTCTAAGAGAATGATAAGAGGGCTTCCATATTCTTTTATTACAATATAAAAACTGTCTTTCACTACATTAATACTCAACAAGACATGAAAACATATTTACCGCCCATCTACTGGGATTTTAAAGGCAACTCCTGATACCAAAAGCTCTAGCAAAGAGCAAAGGCATTTGACAAATTTGTCCAGAAGTGGTACACAGGGAAGTCCACTCCAAGGTAGCAGGCCTGTTATTATATCTAGTGCTGCCTGAATGAAAAAGGTTAACTGGCACCTAAGCAAAATGAAATACCTGAGAACTCTACATTATCAAACAGCCAACAAAAGGGGTGAAAAAGATATCTTCTGCAGGTAATGGAACAATAGAAGTATTAAAATCAACATTTGATCAAATTTTGTAATGGATGCTAAGCAATTAATTTTCTGTTGCTGCATTTTTCAAGTATCCCAAGAAACTCTTTAACAGAGTTAAAATAATGAACCTGATGTTAGTAATACTAAGTAATGAATTATTTGATTAATGTTAGTATTGTAAGTAGGTAATAATTGTGGGAAATTAATTGTAAGCAGATCATTGTAAGTAGTGCATTGTAAGTGATACATTGTAGGTAATATATTGTAAGTAATGTGTTGCAAGAGAGTTAATGAATACATCATATATTGTATACTGTCAGTAGCCTAAGCAGTTGTAAAGAAAAGAAAGAAAAAAAACCTTACACCTTTCAAATTTTGGTCAAGTCTTAAAAGATTGTAGCAGCCTATTAATACTATGCATAAATTATGGATCAATATCAGTATCTGGATAACTGCCCACCTACCCCTCCCCAACCCAACATTAACCCTAAGTTTTTATCAATTGACTGTTGTTGAGTTAGGGGAGGGGTAGGTGGGCAGTTGCCCAGATACTGATATTGATCCCAAATTATTTTACTGGAAAGGATGGATGGGAAAATGAACTCGAATTTTAGATGACTGATGACCCATGGAAACAAACCTGCTTAATGCGAAATAGACCAGTCTGAAGAAGGTGGCAGCAGATGGTCCATAAACTTGTTACACTGCTGTGATTATATTGGTACATATCACAAACCAAATGGCTGATAATTTTACTGAAAGAATCAAGAAATAAATATCATTTTTAGTTTTAGATAGGAATAAAAAAAAATATTTTCTCAAAGATTTTGTGTCATGAAATCTGCAAACCCTATAATGAACTGTTATTTGCTAAACAGTAAAAGCTAAGTTTCTCATTTGTCTCACGATGTAGTCACATGTGATGTAGATCAAGATGTTTCAACTGCATACTGCTAGTCTTCTCTAGGCGACAAGGTTGACTGGTCATGGGTGGTCTTATAAAGATTTATTTGTTGTTTGTTTTTTTTTTGTCAATTTTAATCTTACTTTATTTGATTTGTGTTGAATGTAACATCAGTTTTATAGCTAGCCATACAAAACTGCATTTTAACTCCATTATGTCAGTCAAAAAATTAGTATCAAATTTCATTAGTACATGCATTCAGTTGACCTCAGTTTCTTTGATAGGATGATCAGAGCCTTAATGAGAAGTTCACATAAACTTTTACTTCTAACTGAGTTGAAACTATAACTCTATATACTGTACTAACATCTGCAGTGAACAACGAACCTTGTTCCTTCTTGTAAAGTATGGCAATCTTCCGCATGCTTGATACAAATGAACTTCTTTACCATGTTGAGCTCCTCCTATAAAAAGATAAACATATTTTAAAATGTGAAATGATAACTGATAATGTTAATAAAATAAAAAACCCAGCTTAAAAGCTCACAACCAGTCACTATCAATTATTATCAGTGTACAATGTAGGTTTGAACTGAACTACATTTAATTACTCAGGTTAGTTTGAGATTTAACAACCCTTTAATACCACTCTGATAGGAAGTCACCACTCGTTTCATTCTTTACTTAGAAATATGTGATGGACCTCTCAAACACAATAACCATACCTCTTTATCACAGGTTTCTGTGTACTGAAAATGACCAAGATAGAGAGGCAAAGCATCAACAGGACAGGTGCCAGATGAAAACAATTTTTCATCAATCATTACAAGGTCTGAAGTGAGAAATTGATAAAATGATCATAAACAATCAGTCATAAAATGGAAGTCTTACCCTTAACTAGTAAATGTATAGGTCTTCCCAACAATCAAATCAAGTGTACAATTTGTGGTCTCATTTGATTTACTGGCTAATGTAGTGACAGTTAGTTGAGCTATAAGTTGTTCAATAGTAAGTCAATAATTGGTGTATACTTGGTCACTAACGAGTCAAAAGTCCAAGGCTAGTAAGCCACCTGTGTGACCAACAGAGAGCCAATAAATGAATAAGAAAACAAACTTCAGAATAAAGCACACCACTTATTAATCAAGCAGAAGAAGTGAAAAAATTCAGGACCTGAAAAAATTTGATCCCATGACCTCTGCCATACTGGTGCAGTGCCCTATCAACTGAGTTAACAGGCATTATTTTCACTACTGCTTAAATAGGGTTCACTATTGCAAAGATCACTTTCAAATTCATTTCAGAATCCACAGTTCACATATTAATATGATTTTCATATATCCACAGTCAGAGAGCCAACATGTGTACAGTTGAAAAGTTAGCCCACTATCAGAACATTAAGACACTGGATACACAGTGCTGTTGGATAATCAATCTTCATTGGACTTTTTTATTACTTACCCTCCCAAAGTGAAACAAATTCTGTAAGACATGTGTTGTAATATACAAGGTCTTTCCCTTTAACAAGCTGTTTTGGAGACAAGTAGAGGTGATCAGTGATGGTAAACACAATAACTTAAAATGAGCCAGTCATACACATAACTCATTATTGAGAGTTATACAATGTAAACAATCATTAAATAAATGTTTATCTTTCAATATAGTTAGAAAGATGGTGAATTTTTGGCTTGCTAGTAGAATAAGAAGATTTATTATTTGGTTTGTCACAAGCCATAGACAAAGGAAAAATACAGAGTTCCCATATATGGATTCAAACCTCAGACCTCTAGCACTTCAATTTTCTAAAATTTATTTTATAATGTATGTTAGAGAACTCTACAGTCAGTTTGGCCATTACTATTTGTGTAGGTTTATGTGTGGCATGTGTCCCAAATAATACTAGAATTAGCTGGTCTGATTTGAGCAAATAGACCAGCGTAAAACCTAGCAACAGCCTAACTCACCATCAAATCCTTCGTGGTTCAGTGATAAAGCATTTAGGTACAGAGTGCATCTACATGTACCAGACAAACAGTTACTTCTCATACTCACCTGCATTAATGACAGAATGGCAGACACAGATTTGTCATGCAACTGAGAGCAATCTGGCTCAGCAAGAACACAAAGAATTCTTGAGAGGATCCATGATGTAAAAACTGTCAGAAGAAGACTTAGGTAAGTAACATGATGCAAACTCTTAAAAATATCATTTTTTACTGTTTTATATTCTGCTTGTGCATCAGTGAAGAGAGACTTGTGTGTAATGACACAGCTGACCCAAGGTCTACCATTGGTACAAAAACTCATGATAACACCACTCCCTCATTAATTTATCACCTCTCTTTTTCCTAACAGTATTGTGGAAACAAATTGTTAGGTTTGGCTAAGAGTTTGCATTGATAAAGGCTACAGTTTTAGTAAACTGGGGTTTGTAAAAGAAATCAAGTAAGAATTAATAATGAAATCTTTAAATTTCTGTTTACCTTTTCCTGATTTGCAGATCTTGTTACCCTGTGAACTGGATGTTCCAATGGCAAGTATCCCATCATTTGTATTCTGGGGTTCTAAACTAACAAAGCATTCTGGGAATGCATCCAGGCAATGATGCAAGAATTGCCAAAAGATCTCAGAATGAGGTGTACCTCCAGTCTTTCGTGATAACTGGACAGCAACTGTAAATTTAAGTACACAAAAATTAAAGACATTTGCAACCAATGTGATTGTCCTGGTCATAACAACAGTAAATTAAGGTAAAGACTGAATGCAATGACAGCTTTCATAGCCCATTCCAGTTCCTGTGGTAGGAGGTGGGAGATAGGATATTGGCTCAAAACCCCTCCCCCCATCCCCCCTTTCTCCTCCTCCCCCATTAATCATCAAGTTTCCACATCAGTTTAAATACACCTTATTTGCATGGATATATTGTAAATTGTGTAGCATTTTTCCAAGCTCTACAAAAGTAAGGAAAAATTAAAGATATGAGCAAGATTTCCACTTGTATTTTAAGTTAAACCGGTAAATAAGGGATTCTTAATTCCACTTCTATTCCACTTTCTTTTTCTGTACTATGAGAAATACATCCCATGGTCTATCTGAGCATAGTATTGATCAAATATGGCCTGTGTAAAAGATGAAAAAAAAAAAACAAGCTGAACCACTGAGGTGTTTTCCCAAGACTAACAAAAAATGTGATGCATTTTAGAGTTAAGTTCATAGACCCTCTTGCTTATAGCTCTAATACTAATCAAAGTGCAGAAGTTTACACCAATTAACAAATTGTACATACCAGCATCAAGATCAGTCAATATGCTATTCACAAACTCACACAGAAGTTTCTTCATTTGGTTTGCTGAAGTATAGTGTTCTTGAGTACTAAGACTGGATAAATATGGAATTGAAAAAAGGGGAAAAAAAAACCTCACGTGAGTCAGCAAAATATAAACTTAACTTCATCAATACTTGATATGCATACAGCAAGATTACTTCACTAAATCGCAGTTTTTATTACAAATTTCGGGATTATTGTGTAACAAGTTAAAACATTGCAATCCCATGTCCCCATTTTTTTACATCAACACTCTTGTGTCTGCACCTTCGACAGTCAGCCTCAAATCAATCGACATCATCTCCCAAGTCACATTCTTAAACCTTCCACCCCTGCGGGTGACAAGCATCTAATTTCTGTAAATGTAAGGGCCATGACGAGAAAGGCAATGATCTCCGATGAATAAGCTTATGATTCTTAAGCAAAATCTCCTTGTCAGTACCACTGGAAATGTAGACAGATCAGTGTGAAGATATAAATACTGATGTTCGGTAGCTACAAATAACGAAATCAACATGGTAAATTAAAAAAACCGATTTCCACGTACCTTTCGGGATTTCGTCTAGCGATTAATGTCGCCATAATGGGGGCGAGTTTCTCGCTCATAGAACTAGAAGTATTTGCCATTCCTAAATCGTAGATTTTCTTTATTTCTCCTGGCTATTCATTCAAGAGGCAATTTGCTACAAACCCAGGCATAATGATACACTCCACTACAATTCTCCCGCCATCTTGCTAAAATACCGCGCTAATGCTGGGTATGACTCGCTCTAGTCCCCCAGCATTTATAAAATGTAGGAATACATGGCGTGCAAAATGCGTTTGAGGTACATGTGTTTTCGCTCATACCAGTTCTACTACAACGCAGCTGTTTCAGGAAGAAAAAAAAGTCAAAGGTATAAAAATCTATCCGTCAAAATAAAAGAAAGGCTTTGAATAAAGGTAAAAACTGTTGACATTTGAAAAAATGTCAATCATTTGTTGATAAACAACTCACGGAACAAAAAAAAACACCCGTTAGATTACATATGCCTGCGGGACGTGAATACCAAGGGAGGCACGAAAGGGGGAAGGCGCGATCAGTAGGATCTGGTGGAATACACCAGAGAGGAGACCATGGATGTGTACTCTTTCGGATTGAAAAATCAGGGGAAGCTGCAACCAAGAGAAAACCACTGAAACAATGAAACTTAATGCCCGGCAATAAAGACATCATTTAATTTGGCACAACCTAGAAGGTGTCTCTTTCTGATCAAATCGAGATAGCTTTTCATAGTTTTGAAGAAGAAGGGTTAGATGGGTTTCCTTGGGGAAAAATGTGTATCTCAGGGATCCTTTCTAAAGTCGTATTTTGTTTCACTCTATTTCAGGAGCAAGCGTGTACGTGTACAAACTTGCTCGTGTTGTATGTGGATGTGCATTCTATGACTTATGACCTATCTCTTTATCGAATTATTTTAATTGTTATTTGTTTCATTTTCTACTCCGATGATTGCTTCCGCTCAAGTTATCGATGCGTCAGGCCCTACTAACGACCACGGTCTTTCTCAGGACTTCACTCACCCAGACGATCAGACTACACTATCAAAGAACGTGTACGTCAAAAAAATGTGATTAGAATGTATTAAGTCGCTGCTATTACTTTAATATCTCAAAATAAATGTAATAAAATCCTTTTTTTTTTTTTAATTTCGCGTACGTTTTTAAAGTAAGGTTATAGGAGCTCGTGTTAACTTTGAATAACAAATCAGGATTGTGTAACATATCTGCCGGCTTTTTTTTAAGTGAAAATTTTCCGCGAAAAATTATAGCGATATCTTCTTCAACGTGAACTAGTGTTCTGTCATCTACAGTCCATGTAAGGCTAATGGAAGAGAATGATGTTATTTTTTTTTATCCAAAGAAGTGTGATTCGCTAAGTATGAAGCCACAACAGCAGTACATATATTAGCAATTGTAAATACATATCACGAAGAAGAAATTCAAAACACTTCCAATCAAGCAGCAAAAGTTCTTCGGTTTACATTATTGCAAAAACGGCTTAAAGACGGGCAGCAAAATAAAGTATCATTATAATTTGCGGTTCTAAAGCTCAAATAATTGCCACATTCGGAATTTAACGAGATATTAACTTTTTGGTTTTAGCACGAGTACATTTATCCTCACTGAGTGATATTGCAAAAGGTGCTTTGTTAAATCGCGGGTGATGTGTTTTCTGTATTCCCCTGCTCTTTGATTCCTGCAATTTCTAGACCCACCAAATACAGGAGCACCAAAAGAAACAGCAAATGAGGAAATCCACCGACAGTTCACCTCTTTGTGCTCTGAGCACCATTTCCTCATCTTCCTTCCAGCTTTCTTGGCCGTGATCCTTTTGTTTTGGCATGAAAAATCGATTTTTCTGCTTGCAGTTAGTACTTGAAGTAAACAGCACAAGCTCCTGTTCTTCCTTAAAATTAATTTCCTCGAATTTCTGGGGATAGATGTGCAGTCACCTCTGAGAATTGTTTTGATTCTTGAGTTTTTTCCACCGAATGCGAGCTTACTAGACATATGTAAACGACACCCGCAATCTACCTGTTACAGAATAAACGAAATACAATGTTCGTTCAAATGAACTTGAAACATTTCCAAAACGTTTTGCATCGTGATAGGTGAATCAATAGTTAAAAAACGTCAAAATAAAGGTTTCAGTGATGTAAATTAGCAAGCCAAGTTTTTCAATTGTTTGAAATTTTTCCAAAAATTACTATGCAGATTTCAAAACTGGGCCCAGGTACAATTTAACTAAAAAATGAAGCTGAAGAACTGTTCAAATATTTTATTTCCATCATTCATTGTGGAGATGATTTATAAAGCGTGAAAGGATATCGAATTACTTAAACTAATTTACTTTATTGGCCCAATGGCTAGCACTCTCTCGTAAATATAGAGTTAAAAATTGCCTTAATGCGCAAAAAATGTTCGTTGTGCAAAACGTGTTCCCCTAAATATACATGAAACGCGTTAACCATTTACACCCTAACCTAAGTATTTATATTCTCCACAGTGTTCTCTTTACATTTCCTCTAGTCCTGAAAAGGAGAATTTGGTTGACAATCAGCAGCTTCTGGAATCAGTGATCATTATCTTTATTCTCATGAACTTTGTATTTGATTCAAGGAAGATAATGTAAGGAGAAATTAAAGGCCAATCACTCTTAAGGATTAAAGGAATAATAAGTTCTTCTTACTACTAATTTGTACAATAGAGAAAAACAGCATCACGTTTACCAAATCGCTCGAAATACCGATTAATTCACTAAGGTGCTCAAGTCCATGCGTATCACAAATCTAAGTCAGACTCGTGACTAGGACTGGTGCCATGACTATCTCGACGTTCTGCTTGTGAAGTAGAAACGCTTGACATTAAATCTTGAACTTAAAATTAGACTAGCTTTATATCTTAATTGCGCTTTTACTGTTAATTAATGATATATTTATGTTTTGTTATTACTTGAGGATGATTTGATTCTAACAGTTTATGTTGGAAACGACAGCACTTAGAGTCTCTAAAACACTATTTTAAAGAAGGCTCACTCCGTTGGCATATGGATGCGATGCAATATAGTGCGTCTTTAGGGCGTTCTTTTGATAAAATGCTTTACTACAAAACTGACATTGGAAAGGTTTCTTTGGAGCGTGTGTTCTCTTGTGCGTGTTCAAAGTGGAAGCCAGTGTAAATCCTTTCCCACAGATCTGGCATTTGAAAGGCCGTTCACCGGTATGGCCATAGATGTGAGCCTGCAAGTTTCCCTTCTGGTTAAAACCCTTTCCACAATACTCGCACTGGTACATGCGCATCTCGGAATGGGTTCTCAGATGGTACGTCAAATGTGTCAACTGCTTGAAGCCCCGCCCACATTTGTCGCACTTGTGGGGCTTCTCTCCCGTGTGAGTGTAGCGATGGATCTTCATGTCAATTTTCTGATGGAATCCCTTTCCGCAGAAGTCGCACACAAATGGCTTGTAATTAGTATGCGTGCGCATATGTGTATGCAAGTTAGACGCACGGTTGAAGGCTTTGTTGCACTGCACGCACACGTACGGTTTTACGGTGGTGTGCGTCAGTCGGTGACGTGTCAGGTTTCCCGGCTGCCTGAAGGCGCGGCCACACTGCTCACAGATAAATGGTTTATCTCCAGTGTGGATGCGTTTATGAGTCGTTAACGTATTCGAGCGGCTGAAAGATTTGTCGCATACATCACAAGTGTAGCGGTATTTCTTGCTGGAGGAAGCATTTGTCTTGGCAGGTTTTTGTTGCAAATTCGTCTCTACATTGCTTGCAGTTTCGCCATTCTGCGGACCCAGTTTCAAATCTTCTTCAGAACTTGACGGGAGGAACGTGGAATACTCGGGAAGAACTGCTGATGTTTTCTCTTGTTTTACAAATCTACCGAGGTCGCTGAATTGAAGGAAAGAAGACAGTTCGAACTTTCCGTCTCCATCCTCTTCGAAGTTGACACTTAAGGCAGAGTTGCATTGTGAGACACTGTTGTCCACATCTGATTGATGGCGCACCAATTTTTCGTTAAAGAACTCTCGTGAAATGCTTTCAGTAACATGACCTTCCCAGCCATCTCTCTCCAATTCTATGTCTTGTAAATCGTCTCCACCATCCCTGACTTCTTGTTTTATTCTTAACGGTACAAAAGTGCTGTTTGACTTTAACAGTTGTACGTCATCAACGGTTTCACCGTGAAAGTTTATATCACTAGAGTCGCGCTCAACCTTCATGGGTGCGCTGAGGTACTGGAAGGCGCTCTGATTGGCTGTGAAAATTCTCTCCTTTGATTGGTGAAACTCAAGATTTGAGGACTTTTGAAAATGATTCAATTCCAACCCTCTCTCTTTCAGGAAAGGGCCTTGGATGTCAACTGTGTGAGGGTCTTCGATCTCGGTCGCTTTTACTTCAGCATGCGGCAGCTTTTCGATGAATGCTTCTTCTGTACAGATAAAGAATAGGAAAATGTAAGTTGCTTCTGTTGGACTACCGTGGAGTAAAGATTTCTAAAATAATTTTCCATGAACCAATATTTTCAGCCTAACATCAGCATGAACATTCTCCACACTAATCTCCATAAATTCTTAAGGTGCTGATAAGGAGAATTTTCCTTTGAGCAATTAAGAGTTCCTTGCTTGGTGATCATTTCCTTTGTTCTCGTTACCTTAGTGTTTGATTCAGAGGTGATATGTTGAGGAGAAATTAGATGTCAGTCACTCTGAGAGGTTAAAGGGTATTAAACATAGGTAGAAAAAACTGGGCGCTTTATCTAGGAGCATGTTGCATGTGGAAGCACACAAATATAAAACCCTGAAAATATTTTCGATGGAAGAGTGCATTCCATGCTATTTTTTTTCTTCGAAGAGCCTTCGAAGTTAGAAAACGCTCGCATCTAGGCTGAGGACATGGTTTGTACTAAGTTAGAAAACGCTCGCATCTAGGCTGAGGACATGGTTGGTTTTCATTCTATAACTGGTGAATGAAAAAGCACAGATGGTGGTTTATTCTTTCAATAAGTGATTGCAACTGTTGGAGTAAAAGGGGTCGTTGAGGTATCCCTTTTAACTCCATAAGTGACCAAGACAGAATTTCTCCTTAAATATCGATACCATATCAAGCAGACAAGCGATGAGAATAAGGAAAGATTTCAATTCCCCAAACTACTATCAAAATAATTGTAAGGTAGACAGTTATGAGAATTGCTAATGAGATCTGGGAGTGAAAGTGTTAACTATGTTAACAATTTTTTAAAAAATGTCAAATATCAAATATCTGCTCTGATTGGTTACTCAAACTCTGAATATCCTTGGTTATTCACCTCTGAGCTAAGCGCGCGCGATTTTCGCCCGAAAAAATTGTAATAAAATATTGCACAAATAAATGAGTTAAAATGATTTTTTTTGTGTGTGTGTGTGTGTTTATGTTATCTAACCTTTTTAGTGTACATGTATACCAAAACAGTTTTTTACCTCCACTTCTGTGAATAGTGGTAAAATATTCTTTGGAACCGTTTCAAATCGTTCGAGGAAATCTTTTGATTTTTCTTTGAAATTAAATTAAAAATTTAGTCATTGTTTAAGATATGGTATGAAACCAGAAACGTTAGGCGGCTTATCCTTTAAACCGGTTTATTTTTTAATGAACTTTATTTAACCGAATGGATAAACTGAAAAATCGGCTTACATTTAATTTGATATCAACCTATTCTCCACCGAGACCAAAGAGTTGATTCTCCTCTCTAACTGGCGCACATTGCCTTATCAGCCAGTGGCGAGAATTTCTTTATCTATCATAGAAGTAAACAGTTCCTCTTTCGATGAAAACAGTTCTGATTTTAAGTAACTATCAATTGAAAAGGATTTTGTTAAAAAGAAAACATAGAATTTTTTTTTCAGGATAATCTCTTTTCATTAACAGTCGTAGGTGGAACAGAACCTAAAATACTTTCTTCTCAAAATTAATTCGTAGTTTGTCACGCTAATATTAGTTACCTAAAATGGAACCGCTCGCTTTTAATTACTTTTTCAGAACTTTCGTTTATCAGAAGAAAATCCGCTCTCGCAGTTGATCTTCTCATGCGTTCAATGCGCTCTTTCGTCAAAAACTTGTCATGGTGGTGCACTTGGCTTTCAAATAAATCTTTAAGTGCGTAATTATAGCAAATTTGGATTCCAGACAAGGCCGAGGGAACCATTAAGTATCAGTTTTCCTCTTAAAAATCATAACTCTTAAGTATAAAGGTTTGAAGACTGTCTGTAACCACGCGGTCTTACTCTGAGCTACCTCCAAGCTCGCACATGAAACTTGCGGAGGAGAACTGATATCGTGAATCAGTAGATCTAGAGCAAATTTTTGAGACCAGAGGTTCATTTATATCGTTTTACCAGTGTTCTTTTCTTCTGTTTTCTTCTTCTTTTTTTCATACTCGCATCAACGTTTTTCGTTTGAAGGGTGATAGATACATAGTCGAAAAAACCACAAAGGAAAACTCTATGCATTAAGAAATAGCTTCCTGGACTAACCTTGAGAACTGAGTGAGGTTGCTTCCACTGAGGAATTCCCAACATCGAAAGTCCTCTTTTTCAGATTGGAGTTTTGCGTCGTTTTCTTTACGAGAAAGGATCTTGGCATCTTGACGGATCTTTTTGAACTGCAAAAGAGCAAAGCAAAGGCTATTTACTTTCCAAACTTAACGTGGCATATTTGATTTTGGCATGGGAATGAAACGAAACCTCACAAACATATTCACAGGACAGCCGACGGATCTCTCTCCCTCTCTCTTTCTCTCTCCAGATTTCTCGAAGTTCTTCACTTTCTGCCCTTTCGTAAAAGCTGACCCTTGTGAAATATAAAAGCCTATCAAACCCTTACAGATTATTATTTACCGGGAAAACCAGCAAACTTCTTCTTTGTCTTGCGGATTTGTACTGGAGTTCAGAAGGTTACGACGGTGAATGATACAAGTTTGGTTAAGCCGTGTTTACTTATCTGCATCAGCTGACATAACAACGATTTACTGGACACTGCGATTGGCGGAAGAGTTTAAACACATTTTCTTTAATTTGTGGACAATGAAGAAACCTCTTTCATTTACAGGAGTAGTCGTTAATTCATGTTACTTATAGCACGGCATCCCTTAATTAACAATTCTTTTTCATGACAACAATATAATCGGACCAAAAGGCAAATAATTATAACTCTTTGTTAAATGAAAGAACATATTTCTGACTACAGAGACAGTTACTTGGAGATAAAACTCGGTAATTCGCTGTTCTTTTTCTAGCAATATATGCTTTGCAAATTTTCGGCATGTTATTTACTTTTCTATATTTCCAGTTTTACTGAGAAAGACGACAATTTTTTTTTCTTCTTTCGTGCGATTGAAAAGGTCCAGTCTGCGAGACGCCGAAAAATCTTAGCGCTCTCACCTCCGCGATCTCACTGTCTCAAACTTTTAATCAACTTCAGACCAACCTAGAGTCTTTCCTTTCAGCTTACAGCATCAAAGGATCACTTGTTAAGTGTACTTGATTTCTAGAAATCAAAATTGAATTTAGAAGTCATGAAGGTACCACCTTTATTGAGACTCCTGAAAGTTTCAATAATTAAGTCCAACTATGATCGATGGAACACACACAGGTGAAATCGAAAGTCTCCAACAAACAATGAGTGGGTCTTTTTTCGTAGGCGATGTCGCCGAAATTTTTGAAGCAGCTAAATGTCACCTTTTTAAGCCCTAGATAAATTCAGAAGAGTCTCCAAGCGGAATATTCTCTTAAAACAACTTGTTTTCCACTTACCCTCACTTCTTAAGATCTCTTCACAGCCTTAATAATTTTTTTTCGTTTATGTGAACGGGTTCAAAGGTGTTGCCTGTCTCACAGGAACATCAAGTATACGTTTACAGATTGTTTCTCGTTGGTTACATGGATATAATACATGCAAAATACTTTGGTGTTTGCTCAGCTTTTGCGAAATTCGAATCTAAATTATGTTATTGTTCTTTGAATACTATTTGCGACAAAAGCCGAACGAGATTTTTCAGTTGTAACAGCTCACATTTACAAATTCTTGTTCAAACGATTTTAGTTCACACTACCGGGCAAATTAAAATAGAAGCGAGTGAGATATTTCTTTAAAATCCAATATTTAACTTGATCAGATCATAGGCGCTTCAACTCAAGTCATCGGCATTTGGCAACAAAAAGAAGATTCGATCAAAAAATATCTTTATGTACTAAGTTATACTTAGACAAAGAATATAAAAGCTCTTTTAGCAGTACGACGAATTTTAAATAACGTTATTGAACCTAAGAATTCATTTACCGATTTCATTGTAATTCAGTATTTTTACACTTTGTATTTGATATTTTGGAACAAAGAGCTAATTTTCTCCTGTATAGCTAATTTTTATTTGGAATAATTACATAGATTTGAAGCTCCTAGCAGCGGCAAGAAATCTAGACTAGCTGGCGGCCGGGCGGAAAGTTTTCAACCGTTTTTCTTGTCAACTTCCTTTGCGTTCATCTGAGTGTGAATAGTTTTTACGGGGCGACGGTTACATGCATTCAATTTTATCGGGAGCTTTTGCCCATCAAACGAAAGCCTAGAACAAACATGAAGTGATTTATTGATTTTGCTTGACCAAGTAAATTGCATTTTGGTGTTCTTATCAAAACTGTACTAGGATAGTAGAGATTGACGAATTGAAACTCAGAACCGACTTCGAATCGCGTTGAAATTTACTTTTCGTGCGTCACTTAGCTTTACTCGTTGTCATGAAGGGAAGCACGACGACACACCCGTTAAATTAAATACAGAATTTCCAGTCATTGGCTCAGTTTAAGAAAATCAATATCAAATTCTCATAAATATGAAATTACTTTTTTAGACGTAGTTTGCACTCTAGCCTCCGAAAACGTATTATCATCAATACAAATTTATTTTCATTAAAAAAAAAAAATTACCGAGAAAATAATAGGCTTCATAAATATTTTTTAATACCACATGACGTTCCACGCTACTCAGTGGTCAACCCATTGGGAATGTTACTTTCGTCGATTTTTTTTTTTCGGCCTTGTCAGTCAAAGAATCACTATCAAGTGATTGAGATCACAGCAGAAGAAAGGTTTTATACTCTGAGTAAGATACATTAATAGCCACTCAAAATGGTCGCCTAGTAACTAGCCGCTGAATGAATTCACCGAAGACTCAAATTCTGTCTCGATTCTGTAGGTCATAGCCAGCTTGTGTGCTTTCGCATTCTCAAAGAGCATTCATGATGCAATAAAACCCTGTACGTAAGCGCAGTGAAAAAAAAACTTGAAATATTACTTAGTTGATTCAGGAGAGTTTTTCTGTGGCAAATTATATTAATAAAAGCTGAAAATAGGGGAAACTTTTCATTTTTTTCTGTCAAATCTACAGTTCAATCATAATTACTCGGCCATGACGCCATGACGCTGAGATAGCTACTTCTGACTGCACATGTCAGTATTATTAACAAAAGCTATCAAAACCTTGATCATCAGTGGTCTTTAAGATGCACAACAAAATATTCCATCTGTTCGAAATGAGAATACAATAATAATGGTATCACTAAAGTATGATGCAGTTTTAAGCCCCTCTATGTAAACAAATAAAAAGCTCTTTTAAAAAGCCGGCTAGTTGTTACTGTGAATAAAACCTGCCGTAAATAAAGAATTCTCTCCAAGAAAAAGTAGCAAAATAATTATAAAGCTAAAAAAATTACAATAAATTATTCGTATTTTGACTTTTCCACTTATTTAGGGCTAACTGAATGGAATTGTGTGTCGATTCGATTCCTCTTATGACGTTCTTAGTCCAAAGTACATTTTTGACTTAGCAAAGAGAGACCAAAACACGCGCCAGATGACATAATAACCTCACTTTTAATTCAAAGCTTGGTAAGCTTTGTTAGTAATTGGAAACTACCGTGAGTCTAACACTATCTTTTCCCCGTAAATTTTCGTATCCAACTCACATCCTTTTACTCAGGTTTGTTAGGGCAAGATACACGCAAAATATCTATTTAGCGGTACAAGGGAGTACTTACGGAGCAGGTGTGATCTGAGAGAAGTGTAACTAATTTGATACGTTTAGTATGATTTAGGGCCTCCTTCACCCTAACGATCTGCTTAAAAAAAAAAAACTGTACGTTTGGTCCACGATATATTGGCGAAGAAAATCAAAAAGCTTAAATTGGATCGCGTCTCTATTCATTCATTCAAATACAAGCCATACAGAATTATCATGCACGCCCACCACACTGAGAATATTTTTTTTCTTGGCTCACCTTGAATGTTTTATACAAATGTGATATTTTTTTTTTTTTTTTTTTTTACGTGTGAAATCTTGGTGGAATGATCAACCAAAGATAACATCCTTACCTCTCTGGAGAAACTCCTTTAAGTCAAGAGAGTCAAGAGCAAATAGGTCTTTCAATGTGATATTCAATTTCTAGACGTTGGTTCAATAATGATTAGCACACGCCTGTTTTGTAAAGAAACTACGTACGATAAAAGGCTGTGAAAACAATGGCACACGGGGTAACATATCGCTATGGAAACCTTTATTTTTCAAAAATATATTTTGAACGGAGCATTTAAACAGAGCGCTACGTTTTAGCCACAGGAAAGACGGCAATAAGTTGACTTCATTTTCACGTTTTTTTCTTCGATGCACATTCTGCCTTTTTTTTTTCTTTTTTTTTTTTTTTTTTTTTCCTAAAGAGCTAGTTATTTCATTGCCTCTTATTTCATCGATCAATTACCTGTTTATCACACATTCAAAGTCGACATTGAGAGGTGCCTTTGTTTATGTAGCTCGACTGATTCGCTGAAAAGAGACGTTCGCGGCGAAATGTCCACTTATGTAAATTTCATCTCAGTGATTCTTGAATAATTGAAAAAGCTTTAGAAGTCACGAACTTGAATTTTGCTCGATCCCTCCACAGCGTCTTCGTCGAACGCCAATTTTACCTAAACTTCACGTGAATGTTGAACCGCGGCATGGCAAAACATATCAAGTGTCGTGGGAAAATGAAACCATCTATTGAAAGTAATTTGAACTTGTTTCTTTCAAGTAACTTTCACCTGCTCTCACTTAAACAGCTGATTCACCGTTGTCAGCCAATTGAAAGGCGGCGAATAAGAGTTTCGCGTATCGTTTCAACTCCTAAAGCCCTGTTTCATGAAATCAGCTGCTAAACCCCGTAGGACAACTACTTTCCGGTCAATTGAAATTTTTTTCCCGTACATAAAAGCGTCGATTTATGAACAATTTAATTCTATGTTTGCACAGCTCTCGGACAGTGTTTATACATTCTGTCTGTTTCACTTAATGGCAGTAATAATAGTGGCTGTCATTTCGGTTAAAGAGTGATTTTCTTTGTACTAAAACCAAGCTTGACATTGCAATGATCGCCCCACGTAGTTTTTTCTTTTTCCGATTGCCATCTCAACTCGCTTTAGAATTCAATCAATATTACTGATGTTCAAGAAAAATGTTTTAGCAAAACAAAAATTTTGAAAACATTAATTATCCTGAGGTGTGACGAAGGAAAAAAATTCTGAAGCTGTTCCCTGCCTCAGCGCCTCTGGTTTATCGATTTATACTCCTCAGTCAACATGAAAGTTAACTAATTTTAGTGACCTACACTGCGACTTCGGTGGCTTTCTAAGATAGCCTTTATAAAGATGAAAATATCGTAAAAACCCATCATACTGAGAAAATAGCTTGTCGTGTGACGATCCTACAATGGTAATTACGCACCTTTAATACGCGTGTACGTGCAGCTGCCTCAATCTCCCTTATATGGGGTCTTCTGGATACTAATTCATTCTTTCTCTCCAAATATTCCCCTCGTATTTACAGTTGACCGTTGTGAAACCAAAATGATTAAAAAGGTTCATTAAAAATAAAATGTTTATTTAACGACTCAGCAGAGAAAAAGTCAACGCTACCAGGACTCGAGGAAAGCTCATTTAAACACACTTTACAAATCTCTAACGCGCTGCAGTGCGAACGACCTGGTCACCAACGGTTCTGTTTTGATCTGATTGCTCGAGAAGGGCAGGGACGGTTTTGGAATTCTTAGTATATTCCTGACGTCGAGTCAGCAAAATGGAGCGAAATAATAACCTGCGCGATATATAGTAGCGGAGAAGTGAAAAAGCGATGGAGGTTTAGCAACCCGACCCAGACCTCTCTCGTTTCTTCACTCCTCCGCTTCTCGCGCGCCGTTTAATATCGCGCTTCATTATACCAACTGTCTAGTTCAGGCTACCCCCGCCAACATTTCAGCAGGTTTGCTTGATGGTTCTTTAGCAGCTACTTGTGCTACTATGAGGATGGACGAGGTAGGAATAAAGTTCTCTTCGGCCCCCGCCGCAAACGAAAAAAGGCAAAGACCCTGGCTAGGGATTAAACCAGAATTTTTTTTGCAACTACAAATTTCCTCTCCTTGATGAAGGAAAATCAAATGACAATGGTCGTTGATCGTCGTTCCATAAATAATAGCAGGGCCTGGCCGGTTTTAACATCTTAGTCTCCTACTTCTAAACTCACTGTTAGGATAATTTTATAAGCCTTAACTTGCCATGGACTTTGAAGATTTGATAACGAGCGTAGTTACACCAATTTTAAGAGATAGCCCGTTCCACCGGCACTATCACCTTCATGACCCCTAGTAACCTGAGCTGGCTCGTTTTAATGAAAAAATTTGCTATATATGGGGAAGCTGTAACCGGCTGGCCAGCTGAAATTTCAGCCGAGCTCTTGTTCATTGGAAAACTTTCGCTCGGTTACAGAGATAAAAACAAACAAACTAAAGCGAAGAGCAAAACAAAGCAACAAAAACGAAAAACTGAATAAAACAAATAAGCACTTTTGCAAATAGAATAAAAAAAGATGGTAAAGCTTGAGTTCGGTAAAGCAGCGTGGGACAAATATAATTCTTTTGTTCACATTTTATCCCAGGAAATGGGCTGAGGCGCTGAAATGGAAAAAATTTTTAACCCGGCAATTGGGAATCAACTTAAACTCCCGAAAAAGATCTGAGTAATCCTGCTAGTCCGCCTTTTCATCGAGTTTTTTTTACTGGAACTTAAGAAAGAATGACGCTGAGGAAGTTTACATACTTGCATGTATAAACAGTGCTTACTTTGGCCTCAACCTGACTTGCGCGTCATTTACTGCGGCACATTACTTTTCAGCGTGTGTGATGAACAAAGTTTTATCTGGCAATGTCTCGCGATAAATCGTAATTTTAAATGATCCCCGATGAACGATTCTCATTTTTCTGTCATCATCCTTCGCAAACTTTTTCAATTTTTTTTTTTACATGAATATACAAAAGAAAAATATGATACCTGTTAGACGTTTCTTTACAAATGAGTTGACGACAACCTCGTGAATTTTACACACGAGTGTCTTAGGGACATGAAACAATGGCCCAATTGCACGGCATTTTGAGGTTTTCGAGTAGACCTACTGATCCCTGTTACAAAATTTTGATGTGTCTCCTAAATTATCTCGTTCTTTGACACGGATAAGCAGATGGTATGTTACAACAACCAATCCAAAACTTCACATTATGCGACGTTTTCCATTCACTTTTCAGATGAGAAAGTGACGATTAGTTTTCATAACAATCTTTACAGCTGAAATCACTGCAAAGAAATTACTTTGAACAACTGCCCAAAGCCAGGCACTGCGATTGAAGTGCTGCTAAAGCTGGGCATACTTTTATCTTTCTTGGATTTTTGACTGGCTGCGTTACCGAGCGAAGCGAAGCAACGCAAAGCCCTTGTTCTCCTCGGGTACCCAAACGAATTTTTCTCAATCGAAATAAATGCTTTCACCCTGTTAAGTTCTTCGCGATTTTATCACACTATAACTTTCGAAAAATAATTTCACAGCAAACAAGTGACACAAACACAACAACCGCCTGTCCAAAAGACATTCAAAACAACGAAAACTGTACAGGGAACTCCGTTGATTTGATTCATAAATCATTTTGGGATATCTTTTAGTCAGATATTAAATCTTTTATTGACCAACCTCTTCTCAGTCAAATTGGACTGAAACTGACAAACTTCTTTTTTTCATACAAAAGCGCAAAATGAAAAGAAACTGGCTGACGTAAGGCCATATGAACCACACGCTTGGGAAATAGCACATATAAGGTCCTATAACTCAATGAAGAAACATAGAATGATCGATGATATGCAGCGAGAAATCCACCTTAAGTAACCACAACCAACCGTCCTCTATAGATTTATTTCACAGAAAGACAAAGTCAAAGAAAGTCTTTTAATCCTTTACTTCTCAAGATCTGGTTATTCATTCTTTCTTCTAGCTGCTACACATTTCCTTGTAAATTAATTACGAGAATTTGGGGCTGGATCAAGATAGCAACTTAAACCTGATAAGTTGGAGTATTTTCATCGACTATTTGCTGGATGATATTGGATATTATAGGGAGAAGTTACACGTTAATCACTCCTGGGAGTTAAAAGGGTAAGCATTGTCTACGAGCATTACACAGTAAATATAATTGAAGCAGTTCTCTCTATTTAACGCGACATGTTTCCAATTCGCATTCGTTTCACATTTGCTCTGACGAAGGGCCAACGCTCGAAACTTCATCTTCGAAACTCTTTACGGTGGTCAATTTACGTTATCGGCTTAGTTGATAACACAAAATTACCCTGTTATACTCTCCCACCGACGCAACACCACAGTTTTTTAAGAAACTTGCCCCTTTATTCATGTTTCCCACATTGCTTGGTTGAAATGAATTCTGTTCGCCAGATTTCGAAATACAGCGTTCGATGAGAGTGCCCAGAAACGCGTCGAACGAAAGAAAAAAAGGCTTTCAAGCTTTGAGCACCGATAGTACATCAGGTTTATACACTATTAATGAGATGAGAAAAATACAAAATGGAAATTCACTTCTCATAACTATTTGAAGAGGTAACTGAAGTTTAATCCACCTTTCTTTAAATAATTGTATCAAGTAGTTACTCTATGAAAGCAAATGGCTGCCGTGGCGTGCAAGTGGAAAATCTAATTGTTAAAATGAGTTTCTAGGATTGAATTACTTGCTGTAGGGAAGTAACGAGATTAAAAACTGACCAAGCAAGGGTGATGTATTTGTCTCTGCTACGACCTAGAGTGCAAGTTCGTTTTTTACCTTTACGCGCAAATTAGCGAGAGTTACCTTGACTATACAATTTACCGCATGTGTTTCCAAAAAAACGATATGTTTAAAAAGGTTTAACTAGGATCAACACCTGTGTACCAAAACGAGTGATTTTTGCTTATTCTCCGGCGATGTCTTTGAATGTTTACACTGTATGTACATTGAGAGGATATAATTAAAATGTGGGGCAAAGCAGCAGGCTGGGTTAGGATCAACACTAATACTGCATCAGAGCAATTTTCTATTGAGCGTCGAAAGTAATCCGGGACTATTTCGTTATGTGATTGGTCCAGACAGTTTGCTGGGCGGTCCAGAAAACTCGCACCATCTTCTCAACCAATCAGACTTAAACTAACATCAATCACGACTTGGTCGCCCGCGTTTTCCCGTGTTACAGGCAGTTCGCTTGTTTTTACCTTAAGCTCTCATTGGCTCCTCGTGGAACTTCCCTTTCTATGATTGGCTGATATGATTGCCTTGGTTTTGGTTTTTACGACACTCAATCGAAAAGAGCTCTTTTACCGTATTTCACCATGAGGAATTGCCACAACTTTCTTACGCTGTTTTCTGCAAACTTGTTCAATCGCTAATATGAATCAAAATGCCATTGTATGGCAATTCCTCCTAAATCTTCGGTAACACGAAAGAAGTTTTTCAGCTCTGTCTTTAAGTTATAGTAACGATGCAACATAAACTAGATCTGCGCATGGCAAAGTGGGCAGTAGTTGAGGGCACTGATCTCTTGCTCGTAGGCTCGATGTTTGCAGGTGCCACACAACCAGAACTGATAGTCCATAAGCGGGCGTCCACTCACAATGCACGTTGGAAACTTCGTGTCACAGTTAGGACAAATTTGGCTCCTAGGGGTGGGGAGGAAGGTGTACAGAAATGTCACAAATAATTCCATTTATGAAGTTACTAAGCAGGTATCTTTCTACAAACCTACAAACAAATATCGGTCGTTGTAAGTTCTCTCAAAGAGGTACCCAAGGTATTCTTTTCCCTAAAACGTCATTCAAATTCATGAAGCATGCACGAGTACATCGTAGTAACGACTATTACATGAATGCCACGATGCGAAAATTGCAAATGCAGTTGGAAGGAGAACATCTCTGCAGAAGAACACAATCTCCCTGAATGAAGGAGTACACGGTAGTATACGCGCTGGACCTGGGACTGAAAGATCTGGTTTTGGCCAGACTCTTTCCCAGTCTCTTCACGATATAAACAGCTGGATAAGTCCTAGAAATAATGAGTCACAGGGCCCATAAGGCTTGACATCAACCACACCACATCCCCATCCCTCCACTCTTCCCGCCGCCGCCCCCCCCCCCCCCTTTCCTCTACAACACCCTAAATTAAGGTAAACTTACCAATCGGGTATCATGGTTTCGCAGCTAGTGCACTCTGCTTTGTTACCACGTGAGTCCTTTGGTGAGTGTCTAAAAATATAGCACGGAAAAAAGGGTTCACATAACTTTTTCATTAAAAGTGTAGAAGAAAAATGCGAGACTTGACCAATTCCCAACAGGGAAGCACAAAAAAAACACAATTGTCCCAAACAAAACTCTTGCAAAATTTCCAAGCCATTCAGTATTGAAACAGTGGAATTTCAACAATTTCACTTTCCAAGATCTAAGTATCAGTTCTCCACAGAACTCGCAGTGGGAGAAGCAGTGACCCTATCTTTATTGCACTGGACGCCGGGTCATTCTATTGTATTCTTGGGCAAAACACGTTACTCTCACAGTAGCTCTCTCCAGTGGCGAACTGTCAGGGGGGCCTGATGAAATGTTGGAGGGTAAAGTTGCAATTGACAGGCATCTTATCCAGTGAGAGAGGTTGGGGGAGGGAGAGGGCGGGGGTAATAATAACCCCAGTCGCTTCATGCTGAGGAAACCGGAAAAAGCTATTGTGGGATGTGCCACTTGGCTCGCGCGCTAAAGAATCAACGTTCACATACTTTGTAAATATTTCCAGGGCCAGCTCTTCATACGATTTTTTTTGTTCCTGAGTCAGACTATCAATTGACTCCAACTTTATGAAGGCCTGCAAAGATACAGAAACAAATTTAACCTAATAATTCCACACCTCGATTCGTAACTCTCTCCTCTAGCTGCTCTTACAGTAAAAAAGTTCAGAGAATTCGGTAACCATACGACAACAACCTCTAGACTGCCTTTTGTGCAAAGCAACACTTCACTAGATACTCTTAAAATAGGCTTTTCTGATCTAATTTACAACATGATAATTCTATACAATAATGATACTTACTACTCATAGGAATAAAACTGTAAGATGAATAGCAGGTACAATGATGCCTAACCCTTTAACCCCTAAGAGTGATTAGCACCTTATTTCTCCTCACAATATCAACCCTGAATCACACACTAAGGTCATGAGAATAAAGGAAATGATCAAAAACTACAGAAATTCTGGATAGTTAAGCTAATTCTCCTTGTCAGCACCTTAGGAAATGTACAGAGAACAGTATGGAGAATATGCATGCTGATGTTAGGGTGTAAAGGGTTAATAATGCATCTAGGATACTAGGCCACCACCTACTCATGTGTGTCCACTTCTTAAATCCAGTTAACGTTCTAGAGTTTTCTCCTACAGTAGCACGTTGCACGAAGTTTTACTTTTTCACGCGAGGCCTTGAACAATTGCTTTTGGTCATTTCAAGTTTCAAGATTATTTTGTCCCTGTAAACAAAATTACAGGGGTATTGGCAGCAAGGATGCTCGGCTTAAACCTTCAATCCATGTCATTATTGTCCGCGGGTTAGTGATAGATTAACTGACCAAACATACATATCGTAGCTAACGACGTAACAACACGCGCATGATTTTTAGGAGAAAAGTCGAAAAGCTAGAGAATCGTTCGCCTTTAGCTCGGTAAACCTCTAGAAAGTGCAGTTTATGGTGAAATGGCTAAAGCTTTATCGGTGTGATTAGCAATAGTTCTTGATCAATCTGAGCGCGCGGAGTTTAATTTTAGTCCCAGAAGCGTAACGACGCCGCAGCGGTATAATACTCGGTGGTACATACTGATAAAAGAAAAATTTTTACCTTAGAGCAAGTCCCGAATGCCCTGTTGGCACAACTGACAAGTGCTAGAAGGGAGTGAATGCATACTGGATCCAGGACATCTTCATAATCACACAAGTGCAGGGCCTGGAGAGAGGCGGAGAACCAGATTAGTTTAAAGAATAGCAATTTCCAGTTCGACAGAAATTGTGCCGTGAAATTCTTACCGTTTTCATTGCAGCGTCAATTGCTCCCTCGTACATTTGTCTTTGTGCCAAGAGGAAAAAGTGGTATGCCTACAAAAGGAGAGAAAGCAATAAAAATGCTTCAGTAATGCGAGTCATAAGCATATTAACTAGCACCTCAGAAGAGTCTTTAAAAAAGTTGAGCTTAGTACCCTGCTGCAAAACCACTTCACGAGGTCGTTGCAGTTGGCGTATTACCGATCTCGGGAAACTTGGTCGCTTGATTTTTTTCATACTGCCGTTTTACTTGGAACCTAATACTGCCTTTACATGGCCATCTATGAAAGAGACAAAGCAGCGAGAGCTACACGCAAAATCAGAAATATTATCCAAACGAGTGTCAATCGAGGGTTGACTGTTGTCGACTGAGTCTAATCACAACGACATTAAGAGATCCAATAAGGTCTCGAAATAACAACAAGAAAACTTCCTGAGCCACGGAAAGACGAACCAGCGACAAACTAGCGATTGCTTTCAGTAGAGCATCTGATTAGGATAGAGGATGGTACGTGTTCCTTAAAACAATCACAGAACAAAGTAGAGCGAGCGCAATTCTATCCTTTCTATCCTCAATTGAAAACTGCTCTATTTGACGCATTCATGGTGGTCGCCGACGTGATCACCCAGGGTCTAAATAAAGTTGTGAGAGGAAAAAAAAAAAAAACCTCGGCTCCTCTCCATGCGTTGTCAATGAGTTTACTCTCATCTGTGGCAATGGAGTCCTCTTCAAGCAAACCAGCCAGCGCTGACGTCGCCTGAACAAAAAAATAAACAAACAAAAAATTACTGATAGTAAAGCCCCAAGTTGGAAACATAGCGAAGGGAAGGTATCAGGAAACATGCTACGCAAAATTACTGTTATTCTACCTCCCCGGTTCCACTGTCTACCTTTCCTCACCTGGCTGTTCAATAATTGCACTATTAAAAATGGGGTTTGTGTGAAAAGAAAAAAAGTAGCTCAAGCGAAGAAACGTCTGCGGAGAAACCTTTATCTAACAATGAGAAATATTCCCGAATAGTATTTCTTACAAACGTTGCAGTAACCGGACGAAAATTACCTCTATCTAAATAGATTTAATGCTACATCAGATATACCAACCTCTATTGCACCTCTCTTTTCTTTTCCAGAAGCTGTTCTCATCTTTGTCATCTTAATGTGTTCATGGTAATTTTCCACCTTAAATCAACGCAAAATAGCGATAATGGCATAAAGTACACTTTGCGTTGTTACCTTAGTTGTGGAAGGTAAAAAGATAAAGACAGCCTTGTACTCCATCTGATACGAGCTCATACCGACATCAGTTGAATAAAGCGCAGTTTGATTGAATAACGCCAAAACCAAAACCAATTAAACACACCAACCACACAGAACAATGGAAATATCCCTGTAGGCCAATGAGAGCTCGAAGTAAAAACAAGAAAAATGCCAGAAGGGCGGGAAAGATTGATTTTGAGTTTTCTGGAACAATAACATAGCCTATCAAAGCAAAACAGAGACAAGCCTGGATAACTTCCGACCCTTAATTGCTCAGGATGCTAGTCTACACAAAGCTCGAACCCAGACCTCTCAAACCCGAGCCCAGTCCGCTGACCAATAATAACAATGAGATTTTTACACATACCAGCAGAGCAGCCAAAACGTACATTTTCTTGGCACGAAGTGGGTTTGTCTTGGCATCTGACACGTCGGCAGTAACCTAAATTAAACAAAAGAGAAAGTTCCGGCTCAGACGCAAGATAAACTTCTAAAAAACAGACATTGTCTCTTCATGGGCTATACACGGAGAAAAAGTTGTTGATGCTCAGAGACGAGTTTGTCAGTAATTTGTAACTAACAACACCGATAGAAAAATCTGACGAAAAATGGAACTCGTGCGTTGCTGTTTACGCAAAATCCCGTTGGAAGAGGACTTGTTGCATTTTTAACTTTTTTTGTTCCATTAAAGATCTTGTGACAGCACCAGAGAGATTATGTTCGTTGAAAATTAGTCGTTGGTCTCCATTGAACGGTTAGAATACGAAGCGAAAATTGCGTATTCCTATTACAGATTTGTCTCTGTTGTTTCTCTGTCTCAGTATAACCTCTGTGAAAAGTAAACGAATCCTCACCTTGAAAAGGAGTTTAGCAGCATCAATAAAGTGGTTTGCTTTGCGGTATCTACACATGGTCAAGAATCGGTTCAAAAAGGGTTTTGCACGAGCCACGCCTAAGCTGCATAAACGTTTTAATACAATAAAACAAAGACGCCATTATACATACATATCAGTCAAATGGTGCTGTAATCAATATGTGATTTTGGCGCTGGCTCGGAGTCGAGCCGGATAAATGAGAGATAAAATTTACTGTCACAATCTAACAACACTGTTGCATTGTTACAAGGATACAGTTCAATGGCATCAAGAGTCTTTTTCTTTTCCAGCAGGTATGAAGCGTACTTGGCGAGTAAATTATCAATCTCTTTAACATTGTGCTTCTGTGCCAGACTAATGGCTTGATCCCACTCGTTGAGCTGAACACAGCAGTCAATGGCTTCCTTTACCTTGCCCGTCTAAACATAATGCATAAACAATGAATAACTCTAAATGAATAGAAAAATTGTTTAGCGAGTGAAACGGAGGAAGATCCCTAAAATGCATGGACCAGAAAGTTCACTATCCAGCAAATAGATAATAAGAATGCCGTGTCAAAATACAAACAGAGAGTAAAAATAATCAGCAACACTACATACAACAACGTTTAATACGTTATTTATTATTCAACAGCTTCACTTAATTCGCTTTTCTTAAAATGTGGGAAAAGCGAAGCAGATTTAAGCGTAGCGCGCGCAGCCCATTGGCTGGAAAGGTTTTTTACAATACAAAATAACCAACTGTCATATATCGCAGAACATTTGTACTCGACTCGCGCGTTTTTTGTACTCTATTAAGTGCTGATGGATAATAAACTTATCAGGTAGAATTTGTTATTTCATTCTAACACCAAATTCTCGCAACTCATTGAATGTGTAGCATCTAGAAAGAAGAATCAACAATCAGATCTTAGGAGTCAATATGATGGGGTATAGGGAAAGATTGACACTGATTGCAAATGATGGTTATTCCACGACGCAGCTCCTTTAAGGCTGTTTAAACGATTTTCCTTTCTGCCCTACACGGGATGCAGGTCAGTAGAGGCGATTGGACCTCTAGAAGCTGCTTTTGGTAGTTTGTACACCAACGTAAAATGGGCGAGAGAGTGCGTGATTTGCGTACCTTAGTAAAAGCGAGTACTGCTTGCTCGCACATTCCAACTGCAGAAAACATACCAGCAATCTCCTGCAAAAACAAGGAAAAATTTTCCCGCAAAAACAAAATTTTAGTAAAAATGACACTTCGCATTACACCATGCATTGCCAAACATTTAAATCTCACCCAACCCTTAGAATCTACTGACCGTCAACAAGACGTGATTTTCTGGCAGTGTGTTCACCATTTTTTCCAATCCATTATAATCTTCCAGCATATAGTAACACTCCGCCAGCCGAGCCTGGTTTCTTCCTTGCACGTAATAGGTGACCGCGTTCTGCCACTTTTGCCGGTCAGCGTAGTAATCACCAATTGCGTTCCAGGCCTGCTCAAGGAGTTGGTCATCACCTGAACGAGGCACAATTTTCGAAGATTATCAGGGTCGGATTTTGTATCAAGTGAAGATTAAGTTATTACCTAAGACTCAGACTGCATGAACTACGCGCTGTTTCATGTGAACAAAACTCCTAAAAACGTGTTGGGAAACATTTTGGCTGCGTCGAGGGACAAATGAAACGAGTAGTGGTTTAAAATGCTTGTTATGTTGATCATGCTCAAATGATCAACTTGACACAGTTTACTCGGACTTCGACATAATAGGGGCGTTTGCTTTGAAACCCGGTCAGTTCTAAGGACGACTACCACATGGTTAAAAGATGATGATCACTAAAAAAAGGAAAAAAGTAAAGAGTAAAAAAAAACGTGGAAATATTTGTCATAAAAACAAGGAATACAACCAAATCTTGTCATTATCGAGGTAAGATAACTCGGATGCATTGTATAAAAGGAAGGACTAACTAAGCAATTTTTTCTTTCCACCTTTCAGTGGCGAAAGTTTTTTTTTTAAAAATAATTTCCTCGTGCAAACTGGTTAGAATTGGTCACAATGAGCAAAAATGGTTGTTTGTATTGTAATGTAGCCTACATGTCTAATATTACTTACCACCTCCCCCTCCGGTCTTAAGAAGTTGAACAACTCTAAACCAGTCCCCTAGCTTCAGTCTCAAGTCAACAGCAAGATCTCTGAGTAAGAAACAATAACGATGACAAAACGATCAAGATGTGCCTTGGGAGGACTCAATATATTTGGAATCAATCTACACTGCAAAACGTAAAAATAAGTTCTGTAGCAGGTTCTGTAAGCTCTGTTTTAGTAACAAAATTATCTGGTATAACAATTACTGTAAACGTTACCTCCTGTCCATTTCTAAGTATAGTCTTTCTGCCTCCTCAAATCGCTTGAAATATGCAGCGACCTCAGCTTTCTTCTTGGTTTCATTCTGTTAAAAATACAAAAGCACCTCACAACTACTTCTTCTTTAACTCTCTACACCTTAAGATCAATATGCATATTCTCCACACTTTTCTCCACACATTTCTTGAGGAACTGACGAGGAGAATTTGTTTTACAATCAAAAGCTTCTTTAGTTGGTAATCATTTCCTTTATTCTCGTGACCTAAATGTTTGATTTAAGGTTGATATTGTAAGGAGAAAGTGAATGCTAATCACACTTAGAAGCTAAAGGGTTAAGCTCTGGTCTGGTTGGACATCCCAGGTTTGAGTCAAATCTCTAAGGCTTGTAATTGGAGCTCCTCTCCCCAATCCCCTCTCGTTTAGATATCCATTTGACAATTCAACTCCCGAAAGTGATTGACGATGCATTATCTAGCAAACGAGTGATAAGAATAGACAGAAAGAAATTTTAAACTGCGATTCGAAGGTGGTTCAGGATTTACCACACTCAACTCGAAATGCACACAGCTTTAATAGAGCAGATTCTATGTTGCAGTGAATTTGAACGAAGAGTTAAACATCACAGACAGAATGCGTACGAGCAAAAAAAAAAATACAATATGCGTAACTACCGCTAATACCACATTTTGACGTCCTCTGTAATCTTTTACTGTACAGACGCACAGCAACATGCAATCTAATTGTTCTACAAAAATGGTTACGTCATCCATGTGTCTCCTCTCCAATAGATCATAAAAAACGACCAATCAAAATGCGTGTACAATTCAGCTTATTACATGAACCAAAAGTGAATCACGCCAAACTCACGTCTAACTTGGTAAGTCTCTTGACGAACTTGATTCCCTGATAATCCTGACACCGAACAAAGGCTTTCTCAGCGACTTCAAGATCCAGCCTTTCGAGCGACGATTCAGCTAGGAGACGCCTGTAATAATAAAAAGATAAAAAATCATAATTTGGTTTTATCAACTGAGTTGGTAATGTAAATTGGCCACCGTAGAGACTTCAGTTCTAAAGCTGACATTTTGAACGTTAGCACTTCGTCAACTTATTTGATAAAGCCAATTATCTTGCCCCTGATAAATAATTACGGACACGATGATGATAAAGACATCCATCTGGGTTTCAACTGCTCCCCATTCCCCCTCCCCCGGTCTTTGGTATCAAAGAGTAACGATTCGTAATTTTTACGATATGACGTATCCTAAGGCCCGTCTCTCGAAAGTCCTGGTAATTTAACGGGCCCGAAACTATAGTTGTATCATTTCCAAACCTCTTTCAACCCTTCTCCTGAATGACAACAGAACAGCTTTGCGAGCCCGATAAGTTACCGGGACCTTCGAGAAACGGGTCCCTGGTACACTACTATATTCCAAGGAGGTATTTTTGTGGCTCTTATCTCCCTCCCCCAAGGAGGCATTTCTGTGGCTCTTCTTCCCCCCCCCCCTTGGAATTTCTGTGGCTCTTCCCTTCCTCCCCTCCTTTCCCTGCTTAATTATCATATTTAACTACTTATGTTCGTTGTGATATAAAGGACGTTACTATGCAAGGCGGTTACGTAATAACGTATCTACACTCTCTCCAACGAACACTATATCTTACCATAGCCGGGGATGAGGATTATCTTCAATAAACTGGTAGGCATCTGGAATACCGACTTTTTCCAACAAATCGCGTGCATCTCTCAAGGACTGCGAACAAAAGCGAAAAGTTATAGGGATACTACTACTAAAACCAAGGAAAGTTTGAGCTACCACGGTGCAAATGTTTAAAAAACAGTTTCTACAAAAGTCCGTAGTGCTTTCATCGATATATTTTGAAGGTAATTGGGAAGTTCGAAGAGTTCCTTACCTTAACTTCTAAGTCGATCAAGCTTTCTTTGTTTGGATGGTCAGGATCCTGTGTGTAAAGCAAAGCATGTTATCAGTGCAGACGTTAGTAAAATGCGTCTTCCGAACTTTCAACTTCGAAACATCATCAGCAATTAAAGGAGCTGGTACGGTTTTCAAATGGGGAAGGTTTCCACCTCACTCAACGTTTTACCTTCATGATCTCGTCTAAAAGCACAGCCTTCACCTCCAGGTCGTTAAACTGACATATATATCCCGAACTCAAAATCGGCTCCTACAATCAGAATATCGTTACATTTCAAATTTCTAAATACTAGAACATATATGTACAGTAGCATTAAAAAAAAAAAAAAAAAGTTGACGAGCTCGAAAAAGTTTCTCAAGAGGAAAAAGTTTATACTACTGCCAATTAGAAGCAAGAGAAAGTTTTAGGCCATGTGTTAAATTAAGAAATGGAAATAACTTTTATTGTTCACAGACTAGACAAAATTTGGTGACTTCACGTTGTTGTTTTGCATAGGAAAGCTAGGAAATGTACACGGTTTTAAACCGCACGTGCTGAGCTATTGTTTTGTTCATTAAATCTTTTGACAAGGGACTTAAATAAAAAAAAACAACACGAAGACAAGGAGGACATCGCGAAACAAAATATTTAATGAGCAGAGCTTTAGCTCAGCTAGTACACTTTCAACTTTTGTAAACAATAAATCGAAATCATCAAATTTTGCATAGTTCGAGAACGGGTACCCCTAAGGAAATTACCTATGTTTCTTATTTCAAATTCGACGCTGCAATGAGATGCTCTGCTGAAGAAGAGATCTGGCGCCGTAAAAGACGTTTGACGCATCATTCACAAGGTATGCACGTAATTCTTAAGAGAAAGCAAAGTTCATTTTATAAGGGGCGTTTTAAATCAGTTAAGGATGTAAAGCATACCTCAGGGTCTAGGTTCCGGAATATGTACATTCTCGTCTTCTCCATCATCGCAAACAGCTCAGCGTTATCCTGCGGGATAAAACAGTATTGATAAGCTTTAATCATTTGCTAGCCCCACTACCGGGGACTAGACGAGGCGAATATTTTGTTTCGAATAGTTTCGCCCCTGTACCTACAAGAGATTTACCGCTATACTCCACAGAACGTTTGCACAGCGCTTCTATCCGGTTAACATGCTTGAAACTTCATTTTTGTCATAGTTTCTAGGTTTGGATTACGCAAATAAAAGGAAGACGCGATTGGAATTGAATTGATAAAAATTGTTACCCTGTACTTAAAACAGTGCGCACGAACGATTTTTATTCACGAGTTGTGATGTATAAAAAATGAACGAGCGAACGCAGCGAACGAGTGAGATTTTTGATGCATCGTAACGAATGCATAAAAACCGTTCAAGCACTTTCTATGGTATGATGTTTTTATTTCATACGTACTGATATTTACACTGTGAAGTACGCAGCGAACGATTGTGAAAATAATCGTTCGTCCAATCAGAGACACGAACGATAGCACATTACAGTGTAAATCGCTGTAAGTATGAAGAAAAGTCGAGTTGTGAAAAATTATCAGTGTTTGTAGAAATACGTCTAATAATATTAGGGCGCTGTGTAGCCCTTTGGGTGAATAAAGTCTTGATTCTTGAGTCAAAATTATACGTACACAGGACAGCAAATACAGTTCATGATCTCTTGACTTGCAGAACTGCAAACTGCTTTGATTGCCAATTATGCGGTTCTTCAACTGTTCCTAGATACTGCTATCTAGATTTTTCCTGTGACTGCGTTCCTCAACATATTCCCGCGCCTCCCCCAATTTAAGCTCTCATTGGTTACTGGCAACATTTTACTTTGCTCTGATTGGTCGTTGTGACTTATGGTGGTTTAAACTTACGTCAGCCCATTTCATGTCCCACACATCTTTCCTTTCAAACTTCAAATGTTCGCCAACCACATTCTCGTTCTTTTGCGGATCTGTCTTTCTCACTTCCTAAGGAAAAAAAAAGGCAAAAAAAATCAGTTTTACTCTAAAAGAATTAAAATGCGCTTAGAAAAATCATCCACGTTTACTTTTGGTGAGGTTTCCTCCGTTAAATAACAATACTAAAGTGTAAAGTTTCTTTAAAAAAACTTACTAAATCGAAGAATGATAATATTCCAGAAATATCAATGATTGCCAAGCGCCTGAAAAAGAAAAAAAAATACATAATTTGTATTTTAAGATTATGCGGTTAAAGAGGGACAAATATTGAAATGGTGCAACATTGAACCTTTAAACCCTGAATGTGACTAGTCGGTAGCTACTAGCATCTAATTTCTCCTAAAGTATCAAAGCTGAATCAAACATTTGGTTCATGAGAATTAAGGAAATGATCACAAACTTGAAAAGCTCTTGATTTTAAGCTTGATTCCGCTTGTCAGTCTCATGTATAAAGAACATCCTATACTCCACGCCGCTTATGTCTGATTTCGTGCCATATTTATAACTAGTTTTAATAACAAATTAACCATCAATTAAACAATAAATGTTTAGTGCAATTCCCTTGATTCTGATGTTTGAGAAGTGACAGAAAAAAGCAAAAAGGGAAAAACAAAGAAGGCTTAATTCTAGCTTTTCTTACGATGAGGTACAGTTGAGTGACAGCTGGTGAGGACGGCAGTTGAGAACATTTTTCATCTCCAGAGCAAGCTTTGGTAAGGAATAGCGATGAATGGTTCCTGATTCACGTCCCTAAGAAAAGTGTACGAATGAATGAAACAATACTCAGTTTTGAAAGGGTATCACGCATGCCTGAATGTTTGTTTACATGACCAAATGTCTACTTGTCTACCCTCCCGCTTGTATGACTGTCTGTCGATCTGTCTATTTGTAAGTCTATCTGTCTGTCTATCTGTAAGTCTATCAATGTATCTGACTGTGTATGACTGTCTGTCTATCTGTCTATTTGTAAGTCTATCTGTCTGTCTGTCTATCTGTAAGTCTATCAATGTATCTGACTGTGTATGAATGTCTGTCTATTTGTAAGTCTATCTGTCTGTCTATCTGTAAGTCTATCGATGTATCTGACTGTATATGAATGTCTGTCTATTTCTAATCTATCTGTCTGTCTGTGAGTCTGTCAATTTGTCTGACTGTGTATGACTGTCTGTCTATCTTTCTATTTATAAGTCTATCTGTCTGTCTGTCTATCTGTAAGTCTGTCAATGAGTCTAACTGTGTAAGACTGTCTGTCTGCATCTGTCTATGTGTCTGTCAGTCTGTCTGTGAGCCTTTCTACCTACCTATGTAACAAGATGTTGTAAAGCATACAAGGGATGTAACACACTGCCTTTAATCGCTTACCAATATAAGAAGTTTATCAGAAGCAGAAATACAACATACTGGATCGTGAGTTGGCTGCAAAGAAAAAAGAGAGACATGCTAAATATAATAGGTACAAATATCAACAAAATAAATACAAAAACCGAAACAAAAGACAGAAAAAGGTGTGCGAGCTGTGACGAGTACTTCGTCATCGGTAAATAACCATGCGTCGTCAAACCAATCACGACTCGACCACGTGTGTTTCCCGCGCAAGACATCGGTCGTAGAAATTTTTCTCGGTATCGTGATTAGCTAAATGGTTTTAGTCATTGGCTATAGTAGGTGACTCGATTTACGCACCGCTAAAGCCTTGCTCGCGTCTTTTATGCCTTCCCCGGCTCCTGACGGAACGTCGTCAATGTGAAACATTCTGTTCGTGGAAAGAAAAATTATAAATAAGAATTAAGGGAACTTTTTTAAACTTAAGTCATGTCGTTGACATTATCCCCTTATCCTACCGATCCTGCCAAAAATCTGACCCTTGTTTAATGAGTTCCTTGTTATATTTTTTTCCAAAAGAATCCGTCACCAGTAATCGGATCCTTGTGTTTGCGCAAAAATTTCTGGGATTGCAAATATTGCAAAGTGATGGAAGGAAATAGATCATCGTTTTTTCACCTCTTTAAAATTAGAAGTAGATTTAAACAACGTTGATACTAATTGTAAGTTTTTCTTTGAATAACCATGAAGTATTACTTTAAAAACCCTGCTACAGTAAAAAGATCAAATAACGCGCGTGATTAGTACTAGCACAGAAATAAATGGGTAAGATTGGCCCATATCTCTTTGGCAAGCACGGTCACCTATCTTTTTTACCGTAGTTCTCGAAAAAGACACCTGTTGGGAAACATTCAATGAAAGTTTAACAAAATCGTTTTTATCAACTGTTATTTCCGAAGAATCACCTTAAAGTGACACTTAAGGGTCGTAACGCTAAATTTGTTTAGCTAGAAGCGAACCGGAAACTACAACTCCTAAAGGACCCTGTTTAGGACAAAAGGATGACTTCTGATTCTTATCTCGACCGTTATTACAACGCGATTTAAATAGAAATAATTAGAATTCTTACCGGAGATTGGAGTACTCAGGGTAGTAGGTGGTTCCAACATCACTTCGATAGTTTAATGTTAACAAATTTAAAATAAATGTTTATCAGAGAAGAGAAAACTTATGCCACACTATTTACAGTTTATTTATGGAATTTATGTCATATTATTTCTGTCACGTTTCACACAATTTAGGATGCATAGCTTTTTTTTTTTTTACCGCTTTAAAGCGTCACACCAGGGTCGTGGAAACGAGTGGTGTAGACGCGAGGGATCAGAGAAGGAAAAGAGCTCCTTTCGCGAAAGGTTTGGAACGGAAAAGAGCTCCTTTTCGCCTTTTGATACACCCAAAATCGCCCGCTACGCAAGCTACGCACAACTATACTAGGTGTTTATACATGACATTTATTTGTACAATTTCTTGGGGTTGTTTTCGTTTTTAGCACCAGAACTTAAAGCGATCAAATGAAACTCTTTCCTTCCTCAAATTAAGACTGAAATGTTAACCTTTCTCATTTTTTTAGTAATTAATAAGTTTAAAAATGTTATGTTTTTTGATACATGTAATTCACTGTTTAATCGTTTGTTGGCTTCTTTCTCAACTGGAGATCATATTTTCAGTAGAAGAAACAGTGACCTTAACAGTCTGATCATAAGGCAGTCGTCTCTGAATTCATTACCAAGAATCATTAAACCTATGTGTTCACCTTTTTTTTTTTCTTTTCGGTTATTATTTAACCCAAGAAAATTTCAAAGGATACCCATTAAGCCATTATCTTTTAAGATCAAATGTTGCTTTTTAGTTTCATCGTAACTTCAAGTTGGAACGAAAACGACAAGAAAGTGTTGGTAGTCTGCGAGCACGCGGTCAGCACACTCCGCAAGAAAGTATCAGGCCCTGCGCAATGCAAGCCGGGGAGAGTTCTGCGAGGGGTCTGGGACTGATAACCCCATGATTAGTACCGAGCCCCCGGCAAACCCCTCCCCGACGCGTCCCAAATCTTTCCGCGGGTGGAGAATGTAAGCATCTGAGCAACTGCACACCTACCCCTCCCTAACCTATGAAAAAACAATCAACTGATAACAAGTTGGGTTTAATATTGGGTTAGGGGAGGGGTAGGTAATATGTTGTTCAGACACTGATTTTGATCCAAATTTAATGTAAAAAATAACTTCAAGTCTCCTAACTTGTTCGGCAAATCAAACCACACCTTTCTCTGACATCCTTCCTTTTAGAGTGAGTCTGAAGTTCCAGAGCAGTGAGTTTCTTTGGGCTGCGGTATTGCCAGGAATAGAAAGCCTCCTTGGATGAAGCTATCACGTGACTTCGAGTCATGGCAACGAAAAGAGGTTCTATAATGAAGGAATGTGTAACAAGCATCAGTTTGCCTGTTTCAGGCGTTCAGTACGTGAAACGCAGCGGTGCATAAAAGTGTAAGTAGGTTTGGGTTCGGTCACCATTACGTCACTCGACCCAAACCCCCCTTGTTTTTTCGCCCAGTCATTTTTCGTGCCATTTACCATCGCGCTTCGTTTTACTGACTGAACGCCTAGAACAGGTTTCGCATCAGTAAACAACTGAGGGAAGCCTGTGCGCCAGTACAATCGAGTGACAATTTTGAAGAACATGGCAATGAAAAAGGTAAGAGATAGGCGACGTTCTAAAGACCCTTCTGGCTCAAAGGCAGACAGAATTCACGCAAAAAAATTAAATAAATAAAAATACAATTAACTACGCAAATCCCGCTGCCTTCCACGTTCATCTCCTCTTTTAATTAAATTTTATGTACCTTGAAGAGTTTGTAAATACAGAATACAGAATAAAGGTAGTTTTTGTACATTATAAGTATAATGCAAGTACCAGGTTATATAAAAATATTATGCTACATGCATGCTCCTATAGATGCAGCTTACCTATTTCAATATACTTAGAGTCTAATGGAGTACCAATCGCGTTACACAACACAAGAACATGCTGAAAAATAAAAATACGAGTAAGCAACTTCAAATTGGTTTTCGCTTTGGATCTGATTGTTTAAGAGGATTAGGGTCAACTCGCTACCACGGAGAGTCAACTTGTCACCGGCGGGGCGAAGTAGGGACCTTTAGTAGTTAGAACGGCAACGCCGGGCAAAAATGAATATATACTTAAAAACGGAATCTTACGTATGACTTGATGTGTTTACCATCCCTTACGGCGCCACAAGTTAACCTCAGCATAACTTATGAGAGCAGCGTTGAGTTTCGAATGGAAACTTAAATAATTTGCTGTCGGGGTTTCCTTTCTCGAACCACGCAAATTTTGATATCTCACGTTGTTATTTTGCAGAAGACGGCTAAGAAATGTACACTGAATTAAAGCGCACGTGCTGAGCTATTGTTCGGCTCATTAGATCTTTTATTTCACCACGTCCCCGTTGCCGTTGCCATCGCCATCGTGGTTTGCTAAAGGTCACTGTTGACTAGTTGACGAGTTTGTTGTGGTGGTGAGTTGACCGGATACAAATTTTTTGGACTGTTTGAGAGAGTGTTGCGAGTTTTTCAGACCAATCAGAAACTGACCGAGGCGGAGCAAAACTAAAGAATTTTGCATTACTTTAACAATCCACTGAAATTTTCGCCGTATAGCGTATACTGTACCTGTCCGCTACTGTCATCAGCCCTAGTGGCCAGCACGCAGTGTTCCCCACAGGCTGTGATTGACAATAAGTTCCGCACGTACTTTACGTATTTCTAGCGAAGGAAAAACAAAGGAAATTAACATACAGATAAAAAAACATCTGTAGTGTTGGGCATCGAAGACAAGGTATCCTAACGAAACATTAACATTTCCGGGTAAACCCGCTAAAAAACAAGACGAAAACTCATCACGACAATTTGCATCAGGTGACGAATGAAAATTCTTGCTCCAGTTCGACAAAATTTTGTCACTGCTCACACCCATGATTTCAACTCAGTCTTATTAGATGTGACTAGTTGCAGGGACAAAATCATACTGCAGGGTCAACGATTTCTAAATATTCTAAAAGTCACACGAAGCTAGTCTTTCCCTGAGGAAATTACATCGAAATAAACATTCATAATTTAAAAGGAGCAGGCCATCATTTTACTACACATGTACCACTCCTTCATATTTATCCAAATACACACCTCTCCATTCTTTGTATCCCAGAAAACCACACAATGTTCCTGTCTGTCTGGCTTGTTGAATGCATATACCACAGTGTTTGAGAAAAAACCCCACTGAAAAGAAAGTTATAACATTTTATCATAGGAAGATTACCTCCTGGTGATCAAATCAAGTATAATCTGCTTTTATGTGCCTGTCGTACAGTGTATAGTATATATGCATGGTCAATCAGTTTATCTATCATTTCTAAATTCTTTAATTAAAAGAATCAGGAAAGACTGCAAATGAGTAACATTATAGACCTCTTTAGCTTGTTGGTTTTGTTTTGCCCATTTCCAATCATGTGATAACACTTGGTAAAACTTTGTCTTCCAACTTTTGCAAATTATGCATTCATATGCAGGTAAATGAGAGAAAATTTGAAAGATAGAGTTTACTAAAGGACTATCACATGACCTGAAAAGACAAATAAAACATACAAGCTAGGGGGGTTGAATTTATCATTGAAACTTCATGTCCTGTTCCCAGATTACAGATTCTAAATCAATGATTTATAATTCTTGCAGAGCATAGACCAAACACTTCCCTAGTTTTCAGACAATCAATCTTGATTTGTGCTGCAACTGCTCTACATTGTCGTTTACTTAAACCTGAGAGTCTTATAGATTCCACTCACTTTGTAATTAGGCCTGATGTTGGCAAAGTAGATGAATGAATCCACAGCTAAGGCAATGCGCAATCCTCCACCTTCAAAGCATGCTTGCATTATCTGTTTACCAGGTACTTTAAGAGTTCGCAGATGCTAAAAACACAACATATAAATCCATGAAATCTGAGAATTTGTTACTGTATCAAGGTAAAACCCATGAGCCACTTGACACTTTGTTACATGTAACTGGTTAATGTGTTTATATTGTTTAGAGAAGTTGCACATGTTCATCATTTCAAGGAGTTAACCCTTTAACTCCCAAGATCTCATCAGTAATTCTCCTTACTGTCTGCCATATAGTTCTTGTGATGTTAGTTTGGAGAATTGGTATTGGATCAACTAATAATCCCCTGATTAATATTTTTCTTTATTCTCATCACTTGTCTGCTTAATGATATTGTATTGATAATGTTAGGAGAAACTCTGTCTTGGTCACTCATGGGAGTGAAAGGGTTAAGAGGTTACAGGTATATGCGAGTAAGTAAAGGAAAGATAATCCAACACCCACCTCTCCAAAAGGAGTATAAAACTGTACCACATTAACATCCTTTTCCTAGAGGAGAAAAACAAAAAACAAAAAAAACAATTAATAAACAATTAAGACATGCCACATTTAGTTATTAAAGATGCCTTGAAAATAATTTATATTAGGAAAGAGCTGACAGTGTACAACTGTATATAATTAAATACACCTGTACATGAACATAACAAATGATTATACTTCATAATTTTCTGTTCCTTAGATGTTTTGGAAACATGTCAAAAATCTAAGCTAGGCATGTTTTATCAAATACATGCAGCTGACATTTTTTAACAATCTTGCCTAATTAATTTAGTTTACTGGGTAAACATGTCTGAAAAAGGTCCAAATAACATTTAGAGTTCTTGAGGTAATTATTCAAGCATGATAATATAATATAATAAATGAAATATTAATTTTTAATTGACGGCAGTCACTGGTATGACATGTTTTCACACTACATCAACAACTTGGGCCACAACTCTAAACATACTTGAGTAAAACTTAATTTACAACACATTACATAACATTCAAGGTAGCATGGTGCCAATTAATAATGGTATTAGGACCAAGTGGAGTCCTATTCAGTCTGTAATCATAAAAGTGATTAACAAAACCAGTCTACCATGAAGTGGGAAAGTTTGAGAAAGAAACTAGACATTGGCTATACGTTTTCATTAAAAAAAACCAGTTAATTCTGTGAGATGTGAGACAACAGTGCACACACATGATGTGCCCTGTCCACTGACATACGCATGACATGTTAACTGTCCCTTTAACTGTCCTATTACATTGTCCAATTACAAGCATGACACGCACTCTGTCCTATTAGTGCTCAAATCTAGCTGATGATAACCAAGTTTGAGAATTTCACTATAGTTTTGATTAACTTGTGACACAGTTGTACAATCTTATACCTACCTGTCCTGTAGCTCGCTGTACTCCAGCAACAGCCAGAACAGACCCACAATTATTCCATTGAATATTCATCACTGACATTGATGTATCAATCAATATGGGACCTAAGTGCAAAATGCAATACATAGATGTATTACTTAACCTTTTCACTCCCAAGGCTTTATCAGTAACTCTCCAAGTACTATCTGCCATACAGTTCTCATGATGTAAATTTTAGTTCCAACAATCTGGTGTTGGACCAACTAACTTTATTTACATCATTTGTCTGCTTGACATTGTGAGGAGAAATTCTGTCTTGATCACTTACTTAATGTAAGAGCACTTCCATGATCACATTTAGTAAGTCACACTCATCAACCTCACAAAGACTTGTGAAACGGAAAATAAAATTTGACTATAGTACATCACAACATCAGATAAGATTTTCTTTGATCTTTGATCTTGTTAAAACATTTGCAGACTTCTTGAAAATTTCTTGTCGATTCCAGACTTTTCCTTAACCATAGCAACCCTGTGCCACATATTCAGTGTATCACGGTTGTTCAAGACTCAGCCTAATTAACCAAATGGATCCAAACTATGATCCAAACATACTGGTTCCATGCTGAAAATTGAGCCAGTCAAGCATTTGGAATAGCCAATGTGTTTTATGGTGTAGACAGTAAAATGTACCAATCACCAGCTTAAATTCACAATCTTGGTATATCATGAAGGAATGAACACATGCCATCAGTGACAAATAAAAAGGAAAAAAAGAGGCAAAAAAGGAAAAAAGAAACAGACAGGTCCAGGAATTGGACTTATTGGCTTGCTTTTTAAATTTTCTCAACTAATCAGCTTGGCAAAGGCTAAGCACTTTCACAATCCCATTTCAAGTCACTTACTCTCATCCAGTTCATGTCTCATTATCTGCATACGTCCAATATCAAAGCACACTGCCAGGCAAGGACAGTTAGGTTCAACATATCCCTCTCGGCCATCATACCTTGAAACAGGGAAAAATGATTTTAAAAAAATTAATAATATGAACAGATTTCAGCAGGTAAGGACAACAGATGAAATCCTTCAGCTATACAAGCCAATAACCGACTGTAGTCTAAGACAGTTACTTTTGTGCCACACTAAATTACAGAATTATTAAGTTTGTAGAAGAGTTTAACATTTACCACTCAATCCCAGCAATCTTAACAGCTCCAGTAACATTGGTCAAGCAAAACAATGTCATCTTAGTCTACAAAAAAAAATTGATGTTATTTTTAGAATGATTTATACAGTTTGTAAACTGTTCATGAATGCTTACATGTAGTTTGTGTTTAACAAAAATCTTACTTGCTTTAAATTTTTTTTAAACCTTTAAGTCCCCTAAGAGTGACTAACATCTAACTTCTCCTAACAACATCACCCCTGAAGCAAACATTAAGATCATGAGAATAAAGGAGATGATCACCAACTAAAGAATCTCTTGATTGTTGAACAAACTCTCATTGTAAGAACCCTTGAATATGTCTAGGGAGTAGTATGGAGAATATGCATACTGATGTTAGGGAGTAAAGGGTCAACAGACCACCAACAGCTTTACAAATGTACATGTAAGTGTGTTGTGAGTATGACAGAAATTCCTTTATTCTTTAAGTTTCCAGAACTCACACAAAAGTTTCCGGTGTTATCAAAGATTTGAACTTCTCCATTACTTATTCCAAACACAATATTTTTTCCATCTGGGGACCATTCCACATTATTAAGCTGTAGTCCTTTCAGTTCCTTTCCCCAAATCCTGTTTCCATCCACAGAACCAACAATCACTGCCCCTGTAATAATATATTAAAAAGATTCATTGTCACAAACAACCCCAAAAAATTAAAGACAACATTAAAAGTAATCTATGATTGGCTTGATATCATTGGTGGGAGTACAGAATCCAAAGATCTGAGGTTCAAATCCTTAAAGATCCTTTCAACTTTTTTCACACACATACATAGGACAATCATTAAACAAGGGAAAATTGTGTCCATGTAATCAAAGCAATAAAAATCCAGATTACAGATTGCTTATTGAATAGAGGACTCTTCACACATATGTAGATAGCTAATCATCATTCATATTGCTTCGTGTTCCACTAAAAAAAAATGACACACTCAAGGTTGGTCAAAGGTGAACTAAGAGAAGCGCATATACTGACTACAATACACTTACCATCTTCATAAACAATACAGATTCTTTGGCCGTCTGCATTCCATTTCATGTCACGCACAACACTTCTGTTTCTGTTGTTGATCATCTCTTCATACCATGACCCTGAATATTGTAAATTTCACAAAAATTATAAGTCTATTTTTCTTTTTCACTTACCCCTCTTTCAGTTTGAAACTCAGTTGGTCTGATCACACCTCTACAAGATTATTCTCAGACAAGTGATATAAATATTCAATTTTAAAACCCCTAAGACCATTTGCTTTTAGTCTGTGGTTTCAGTTTGAATCCCAGTTGGTCAGATCCCCCTCTCCATGATTATTCCAGACAAGGATATAAATATTTTTCTTATAAAGTCAAAAGACCATTTATCTGTTGTCTGTGGTTGCTATTAGCATCCATAATTAAGCCCAGTTCCCAAGAATTCTAAGAGCACTGCCCTGTTTCTGAGCAGAAAGGGATTTTCTTTCCTTATTTATATAATAGACTTTGATTTTTTTCATATATTAATATATGTATTATTACATATATTATTTTTTTATTTGAAAATAATTTTAAAAATCAATAAAAGTCAAACATACGAATATGAATGTTTATAGATTATGGGACCAGAGAAGCAAGTCCAGATAACTGAAAAATCTGGATAATCCAGGTTCAGATAATTGAGATTTGACTGTACCCATTTAAATTCCTGGGTGCAGCATTCAATACAGTTCAATTGGGCTTGGTAAGAGTAGAGTGTTTTGCACAGGAACACAATATAACGACAAGACCAAATCTCAAATCTAAATCTCTTAATGCAGAGTTAAGTGTCAAGGCATTGTTAGGCCAGTTCCTTTCCCCAGCAGATTAGACAACAGTATAATCTATATTGCTACAAACCTTTGTAAAGTATCCAGACAATGATCAGGCCATATTGGTCGCTTGTGGTCAGTTTTTGAAAATGTTCATTCCAGGTTACTACTTGCACAGCACCTATTGAGGAGTAAAATTTAAACAAAATAGATTTAAGACGTCTAAACATCAAAAAATAGTTGATTAGGGTTAACCCTTTAACTCTCAAGATCTGATTGTTATTTCTCCCCATCTAGGTGCTACAGATTTCCTTGTAACTTAGTTACGAGAGTTTGGTGTTTAAGATCAAGATAACATTTAATTACTACCTGATAAGTTTGAGAATTCTCATGACCAGTTTTCTATATGATGTTTGGATATTTTAGGGAGAGGTTACATGTTCATCACTTCTGGGAGCTGAAGGGTTAACCTTTTATTATTACCTGCATGTGGTAAAGGTTATGATGAAAGGAGAAGAACTTAAATTATCAAAACTGACACACATCTTTGTTTGGCCTACCAGTGTGTCCCTCAAGGGTTTGATTCATAGAGAGATTACTTGGAGCAGCAAGTCCTCTGACTTTGGCATCTTTTCCTGTAAAATAGCAGTATGAATAATACAGAATATAACAATGAAAACATAATTATCACAAAGAATTGTCCTAACTGAGAATTAGAAAGTTAACATATCATGTCCACGATCAAAGTTTATAGCACAAGCATGTAAATTTATGATTTGTTCTTTTCTAAAACCTTTTCTCTCTCACAAATGACCCATAGGTAATTTCTCCCAAAATATCAACACAACATGAACCAGACAAGTGATGAGAAGAAAAATAAATATCAACAAGGGAATACTGTCTGATTTGGCAACAATTTCTCATAGTTAAGATTACCACAAAACCATTCTAGATGGTTAGAGGAAGTACCGTTGAGATATTTTGAATAGAAGGGTTTTAAGCTTTATTATGATTAAAAGAAATCTATAGAAGATGGTTGGGGGAATTGATATTGAGATCTTTGAAATGAAAGGCTGAAGCTTCATACCTGGTTGTGTTTCCAGTTTGAGAACTTTGAGTAATCCATCTTCACCTCCACAAGCAATGTACCCGTGTTCTCGATTCCAAGAAAGGCATCGCAGTCTGACATTATTCGGTATGGCAATCTTATAAAATAAAAAAAAAAAGGTATGAGGTTTAGGAAAAATTCGCCTTGACAACGTTCACAGATGTAAACAAACCTGTGAAAATAGATTAACGAATCAACAAGAGAGAAAGTGACAAACCTTTTTGCTCAGATATATGAACATGTTTACAGGTTATTGTTTCAAACAATTCAAAGATGGAAGTTTGGCTTCATTTGCCGGCAATATTGGAAAATTTATAACAACACCACCTGGCCGCCATTTTATTTTTGAGCAGGAAAATTCCCATGTGCCATTTCGAAAAGGGCTATGATATTGGAGAAGGTTGGAGAAGGTTCCTGCTTGTACTACATGAAGCATCGACCATTGTTCAAGATGGCGGCAAAGATGGCAGTCGGAGCAGCTCCTTGGGTTAGTGCAGTTAGAGATGTACACATAGCTGATACAGTTGATGAACCGTACTTTAAGATTTTAAAGGCTGCCAATACGATATAGATTGGAGGCGAATGGGTTAAGTTGAAGCCTGTAACCCCATCTCGGGTTCAAATGTGCCTCGTCCTCAGTGTAGATATAAACTTCTCGTCCTTCAGCGTTCTTTGATATTGTCATCATCTTGTGAAGTTTCTTATCAGTTAATCATACCATTTTTATAGTGATATCTCCTAAACCTCGTTCGATCAAGAAATGAATGTTTTTGGTTAATTTTAAAGTTTAAACTTTGCATGGTTCAGTCTGTTTTCATTTATCTCAAGCATAATATGATAGACTTTTATCGGTTTTATATATATATAAAAAAATATCAAATTCTATTATATAAATAAGGAAAGAAATCCCCTTCTGCTGAGAAAAAGGGTAGTGCTCTTAGACCTGCTACCACTTTAGTTAGAAAAAAGAGTTCTTAAATTTATAAGTGAGCTACAAGTAGATGGGAAGAAAAGGAATTGAGGGGACAGAAGGCCAACTTTCTTTCTTCTTTTTTTTTCTTTTTTTTTTGCCCCTAAAGAAATCGAGAGAACCACGAACAAACTTCTATATTTTTATTTGTGCTGCTGACCTCCCCAGTTTTTTAATTACCTGTTAAGGCTGGCCATGCAATTTATCTTCCTTTTCCAATTGTTTTTAAATTTTAGTTAAATACCTTTGTAACCAGTGTAATAATGGCATGTTTCTGTGTTTTTTGACACAAATAAATAGAAGAGCAGACTTTTGGTTGCTGTCTCAGTACCTGCCCTTGGTGTTCCTTTCTTGCAAACTGTGAAAGCTGGCTCCATCAAGGTGCATCCCAGAGAGGTAATTACTAACACTTTACCTTCACTTCTATATTACTACACTACAGGATTTTGCTATCCACCAGATAGAGATTTATCCAGTGGATAGCATTATCCAAGCTTCAAACAACAGGTGCCAGATGGGTAACATGGCTCATTAGCTGACGTTAACCAAGTTAACCACTAACCTTTAACTCCCAGAAGCAATCAATATTAAACTTCTCCCTATAATATCATTACATTATCCAGCAAATAGGTAATTATAATATTCAAAGTTATCAGGTAGAAGTTGTTTACTTGATCTAACACAAAATTCTCATAACTAAATTTACAAGGAAATGGGTAGCAGGTAGAGGGGAGAATTAACAATCAGATCTTGAAAGTTAAAGGGTTAAATTAATTTTTGACCAATTGATTTTAGTTGGAGATTTATGATGAGCCAGTTGAAATATCACAAGTCAAGCCTGATGAGGACAAAGTCTCAGCATTTGAGGAGAAAGTTTCAATAGCCAGAAGATTTGTATGGGGCTGGACTTCCAAAGTGAAGGTTGGGAAATAACTTTTAATTTGCAACAAATCTTATGTATAACAGTTCCTAGTTTGTTCTCACTATACTGAAGTTACCATCAAGAACAGGTAGTATTGTCAACTGGTCGGTGCTGTGTTCTCCCTTATCATTAGCTGAGGACAGGTAAAAGAAACTTTCAGAGCAGTAGAGCAATCCTGTTATCCTGTTACCAGTTAATTTTTCAAGAATTCCAAGTGACTGTAGAAAGTAATAAGAGGTACACTGTACTAAAGGCAGTTGTTCTGGAACATAATTGCATACTGGGGCTTTAGTTGTCTGTGGTTTAGCTTTAAAGCCAAAAGAAAATCATTTTTGATTTGTAGCAATGATTTTTATTTTTATTTTTTGTGGTAAAAAATAAATCCTAAACAATTATTAAAGATAATGTTGCTTTCTTCTAACAGAATAGTGTAGAGGAAACAAGAAGAACCTTTTCTTCAGTCGAGGAAAGATCATTAGGTACATGTACATATTATAAATCATGGCTCTTAGATTAGACAACTGTTTCAGAGAGGATAACTATTTTGGTCTCAATTTTTAATGCCCTTGCAGTTCTCATAAACCATTTAGCCTCAAAGATTTACAGGTTCTGATATTTGAAGATTTTGTCTTTTGCCCCTGAACTTTATCATTCTGTTCCCAGTGAAAAAATATCCTGCAAAGCAAAAGAAAAGAAAGTTCCTTGTCCTGTATCTCTGACACATTTTTTGTTGCATCTGTGAAAACAGTGCACGCCTTAGTACTGTGTTTGAACGGAGTCATTTTTTTTCAATAATACAGAATTTGTTCAGCTCCTGCATACTGACAGACAGTTTCAAATGAAAGTTGGTGGAATAACAGCATCTGTGTTTGCCGGTGCACTGCTAGCAGGAAGAGGCCGTAAGTACTTTGAATTCTTTTGCAATTTACCTCTTACCTCCCAAGATTTTCTTTCTGAATCTCTCTTCCAGATATCATACATTTTATTTACACTACTAAGTAGAAAGGAGAATTTGGTCCTATATCAGTGTAACAACCTTCAGCCAATACAATTGACACATTTTCCATCCTCATTAACTTGATGCTGATTAAAATTAGAAGGATTAAGGCCCAGATTTATTCAATTCAATCCATTGGCTTGGCAAATCTGTTGATCTTTTTATTTCAAAATGGTTCATTGGCTGAGTTCAGTGTTTGATTGGCTCATTTTCTAATGATAACAAAAAAACAAATTGACAGCAAACATCGTAAACTTGCTCTTACCTTCCCTTGAGAATTTCCTTATACTGCATGGGAGCAACTACAAGTAAATGTGCCAACCTCACTGGTCAGAAACAGATGATCCACATCAAAGAAAAATGTTTTTAAAAACCTATCAGTTTTGATGTACTCCTGTTGTAATGGTGAACTGTGAAGAAGTACAACACTCATGCCAGTCTGCAAAGAATAGCAGAGCTACTTTGTATAACTTGATCAGATCATCTGCTTGCAGGACCATTTTTACTCTTATGATGACAACATTTAGGCAATTCACCTCACATGTGCATGTGCCACTCTCCACCAGGAAGCAAATATATAGTGGTTTCAGAGAAATTTCTGCTTCACTTGCCAGCCTTATATGTCCCTCTGTGTACTCTGTACATTTTATTTGTAATTTCTCTCATTATTTTTTCCATTTTTTTTTTTGGATTTTATTGACTGCCATGGATTATTGTTTCGTTCCAGGTCGGCCAATAAGGAGAATTTTCTTCTCATCCGTTTTGGGAACAACTGCAGCAGCCATATGTTATCCAAAAGAGGCAGTTCTGATAACACAAACAAATTACCACAGACTAAAAACCTTTGTAATAGAGCAGTGGGAGAAACATAATAAACGACAAGCTGAAAGAGCTGTAAAGGAGGAGCTTAAAACTGCTGTTGATGAAACAAAAACCTTGGGAGGTCAGAAAACCTCCACAGCAGAAGAAGTTAAAGCAGAGACTGCTTCAGTGGATGAAGTCAAAGAAGAGGGTGCTTCAAACCAGGAAATTATTGAGAAGCAAGAAACACAAGAGACAAATGCAGAACCACCAGTTGTGTCCACTGAAAACACATCCAAGGGATCATTCTGGAGTAAGATCCCATTTGTCGACAAGTTTACGGGGGCAAAACCAAGTGAGGCTGATGAAGTGAAGTCAGTCAAAGTGGTAGAGTCTGTTGATAAGACTGGAAGTAGCAAAGATCAAGTGATAGTTCAAGAGAAGACATCAAGTGATGTGCCCAAGCCAGAAGGAGACACAGGGCAATCTAACCCTGAAGACAAAGACATGTACTCTACTCGCTCATAAATATTGACATCTCATCCAGCCACTAACTACAGAGTGATATTATTAACAAAATATTTTTGCTGAAGGCAAATTTAAAGAAGAACAACACTATGTCCAGCTACTTTATTAACCCGCCATTGAGTATGCTGTCTCCATACTGATGTTTATGACACTGTTAAGGAGAATTTGTGTAATAATCAAGAGCTTCTTTTTCCTCTCTTCTTTCATTTACCTTTTTCTTGTGACCTTAAGGTGATATTTTAGCAAGAAGTTCGATGCTAGTCTTTCTTAGGAATCAAAGGATGGTCAAATATTGGTGCTGAACAAAAATCTAAGTTTACAAATAGTTCCTTAAAAGCAGATCTGCTTACATTTTGTATTACACCTGTAAAAAGTCTGATAATTAATTTTTCCAAAGAGTATTTGGCAGAACTTGAGAGCAGTTTGCTGCCTGCGCTTTATTTTGCTTAGCTAAATTTTACTTTATTAGGAAAAGAAAGACTACTAATTTCCACCTCAACTAAGATTTATGTATACTTGCCCCTTTTTTTTTACTTTTTACTTTTAATTAACACTTTTCTGCTTGACCCCTTTGTTCCTTAGATAAACAATGAGAAATGAGATAAGGAAGGAATAAAGAATTTTTAATAGGCACTGTGTTGCATTCAATTGGAATTTTCCATGTCAAATAATTTGATGTTCTGTACAAGTACTACAGGGTGTTGTGATTCCTCTAAATCGTTTTGATATCACTATTTCCAAGTATGCACAACTGAGTATCATACTTTTTGAAAGAAAAACTGGTCAAGAACAATTTTTCTTTCAAAAAGTATGATTCAGATTAACTTTCCTCAAAAAGCAAACAAAACAATCATACTTCTAAAACGTCCTCTTGAATGTACATAATTTATATTTTCAACCATGTGCATACATTTCTGGCTGAATAAATTTCATTCCCACTTTACTTGGCAAAAGAAGCCAGAAGGGGAAACAACTAATGATAGTGTTTTTCTCCTTGCTATAATTATACTGTATTTCCTCAAATAAGCATCCAGGCGTTTATTTAGAAACGCAGCTAAGCGAGGAGGGTTTATTAAAAGGAGGATGCTTAATCAATGAGGGTGCTTACTAACTTAGCACAGCAAAAGGACAAGAATCAACAGAGCAGATAATATACATAAAGGAACTCTGAAAACGCATTGACATAGATGAACTGAAAAAGAAGAGAAACCTCTCTCCTGTAGTGCTTCCACTTTAAGTTGAAGCTTAAAAGTTGAAAATAAAGTAGCAATAGACACAGGTTTTCTTTGTAACCTTACTACTTAAGAAAGCAAGGGAGATGGAGGGGGGCACTTATTTAAGAAAGTGAGAGAGGAGGAGGGGGGGCACTTATTTGGGAAAGTGAGGGAGGAGAGGGGTGGCTCTTATTTAAGAAAGTGAAAGAGGAGGAGGGTGCTTATTTGAAATTATGGCGGGGGGTGCTTATTCAGGGAAAGGTGCTTATCAGAGCATGGGCATTTATTCAAGGAAATACAGTAACTATCAAAAGTAAAATTAGTTACACTTAAATAACATCCAACTCAATACTTTCCAATTAACCCTTTCACTTCCAAGATGTCATCAGTAATTCTCCCCACTGTCTGCTATACAATTCTTATGATATTAGTTTGGAGAGTTTAGTATTGCATCACCTAATTATTCCCTAATTGTTTTATTATTATTATTATTATTAGTGTTACTTGTCTGCTTGCAATAGTATTGACCTTGTAAGGAAATATTCTGTATTGGTCACTCATTAGGGTAAAATGTGAAGGGTTCATGGCATTGACTGAAAAGTATAAAGTTTCAGCTGGAAACGTCAATAACATGAGTATCAAGTAGAGCGTTACTTGTGTCCTGAAATTCAACCTCTGAGTTTTCCTCTTCCTCTGAATCACTGAACAGCATTTCTTCCAAATAATTTATTTGAACTATTCCCTCCTCTCCTGATTCATCAAGACTGCACTCTGGGATATCTTGCATATTTATCTCGACTCCTACTTTACCATTGTCCAAACTTATAATAATAACTCTTTTGAATGCATTTTCATAAGCATGTCTGTAAGCAAGTTTCTTTGCATATCCTAGCAATTCCATCTTTTTAGTGGGGTCTCTTTCTGCAAATAAGGAGATAATATTGTCAAATTGCAGAGCTGATTTTTCTGACATTCTTGTAGCTTTTTTTCATGTGAGCCAAAGTTTAAATTTGAAAATATTACTTTCATACGTAATCCTCCTTGAGCCACGTTGCTCACTTAGCAGTAGTTTATCCCTGTTTCCTAAGCAGTGAAGCAACTAGGAGTGTTACTATTCCTCCCCACCCCCTCCCCATCGCCTGAATATGATGCCAGTACATCACAAGGTTCTCCGCAAGCATTTCAGGCTTCCCTGACATTCATCTGTAACCATGTTATAGACTCCTGGGTATAGAGAGGCTCTATGAGAGAAAAGTGTAAATTTTCCCAAGAACACAACATGAATGAACAGGCCAGGACTCTCAAATACAAGAAAGAAAACAAGGTTCCATAAACTTACAGCATGGAGAAAAGGAAACAAGATTAGTAAGATATTTATTGTATCTCTGGGTTCAAATAGAGGGGAAAAGATTTCAATTCAAACAAAATTTTGAATTTAGAGTACCATAAAGTGAAAAATGGCTCACTAAATGACCAAGTTACAAGTAATAGCCCTCTGTCAGATGCTCTGACAAAGGGCTAATGCTCGAAACATAAGCCTTTAAACTCTTTACAGAGGCCAATTTATGTTTTCAACTCAGTTGATAACACTATGATTACCCTGTTATACTCTTCCACCAATGCAACACCACAGTTTCTTTAGAAACTCGCCACCTTTATTCATTTGACCAGTTTCACTTAGCTATCTTCTATTAAGCCCTTCAATTCTAACCTTGTTCCAGTATGTTTTTATCTCCACCATATCCAGTGCCTTCACAGAAGAATTCACAATCTTTTATCTCCAGCCTTACTACACATCTATAAACAGCATTCTTTTTTTCCTGGCTATCTTCTGTTTCTGACCTATTCTCAAGTCTATCCAACTAAAAGAACAGAACATCTGTTCAGCACTTGTTTGTGACAAAGCAGGATTTGTAGCACAGGGATATGGAACAACTAGCTCTCCGGCAAGGTTTGTCAATGCTCGCTTTATTTTCCTCTTCAAGATGTGCTCTCTTTGTAGATTCTTGCACTTACAATTGATGTATCATTTCTAACAAACCCCCCAGTGTTTGCCAGATTACCTGGCTTGTAGTGTGAACAGTTTCTTTCTCCCAGATAGGTTTATCACCTTGATTATTCAAGGGTTGGAGGGGAGAATTCTTGGGAGGGTGAGGGTTTTACCGACAAGCTTTTCAAAGCATGACCCTCCCTCAAACGAATTCATGTTATTTTCCTCACTTATTTTTGCCAAAACTCAGTTCAAGTGAGATATTTTGGTTATTTCTACTTCCTGAAAAATCAATTTTAATTAGCAATGAAAGGAAAAATACTATTATACCCTTGTGTGCTCTCATAAATCCTATGTGGCACTGATCACTTTTCTCTTATGCAATAGACTCCACTGAGAGAGAGGGATTTCTGACTCAGTGCATGCAATACTGTCCTTAAGCTAAATGTTTGTTGCAGGACTGATGCAAACCAGTTGAAAGCTCTTAGTTATTAAGAACAAAGTTTAAAAAACTCACCTAAATAGCGAAAAAAAATACAGCCAACTGTCTAGTTGTAATGATTAGTTTAGATTGTGGGGATGCAAAAGATCTTTACCTGCATGATTCGAGTTGACCAGCCATTGAATCCTAAATAATAGTTAGCTAGCACAGTACACTTTGCCATGTACAATGGCTGTTGAACAACTTCTGTGAACTTTCTGCGCTGTGCAAATTGAACCTGTGGGTCCCACATATGTGAATTTAGAAATGCATAATAATAATAATAATAATAATAATAATAATAATGATAATGATAATAATAATAATAATAAAGTAGGAACAATCATAATTATTATTATTATCATTCCAGTATTAGCATTAGTATCATGATCATAATTGGGATTGTTTTTGATTCATAATGCACACTAAAGTAATAATCATGTGTTGACAATAATCATAGTAATAATATTTAGTCTTGTATATATTGGGCCTTTTATACATTTGAAGCAAAGACAACATCAAATTTATACTAGCACCTGCACGAACCTCTCAGGTTATGTCCGACACTTATCAACTACTTGTACTCTAACGATATGCCGCAGAAATCACTACCAAACAGTTATCATAAACACATGAATAATCTTTTTACCTTCAAAAACTGTCCTCCTAGAATCCACTTTCCATGTGTGCTTTCCTTTGCCCTTCTTGCTTCCCTTGCGGAATAAAACTTGACAAATGCATATGAAGAAGCACAGTTTGAATTGATCTCCTCTGAAGCTAGAATGATTAGGATTTCTTATAAACATTGAAGTATTGAAAATTGATAAAGGCAAAGTTTAACAAAACTCTCAGTTCGTGTTATAGATCGGAGGAATGAACTGTCTCAGTAAAATACCTTCTGAGTTATCTGATGAGTCCATCACTTGTACTTCGTAGATCAAGCCGAACTGGGAGAATATCTCTAACAGTTTCACCTGTAAACAAATTCAGCTATAAATAGCAATCAAATGTAACCTAAATAGGACTAAAGATCATCTTTAAATTAAACCTCACTTGCACCATTTCTTTCTCAAGCCGCCTTGATATGTTGGTGACATAAAGATTGACTTCGTTTTTGTAAGGGCGGAAAAACTCAATGAGCTCAACTTTTGGCGAGTTCAGGAACTTTGATTCCTCAATGTTGTCTTTAGATTTAGCCATGTTGTTTTTCAAAGTTCCCGCCGACGGTCTGAGCGCAAGGTCAGCGGTATACGTCTTCCGGTGGAATAACACTTCTACAGGCACCCCGGCTATCAATTTTTTTTGTTTTTTTTTTTTTTTTTTTTTTTTGTTTTGTTTTGTTTTGTTTTGTTTTTGTTTTTTTGCTTTTTGTTTTTCAATAGTCCGTGACGCAACGATTAATTTTTATGGTTTGTGCAGGACAACAGTGTATCTGAGCTCTAAATACAACAACTGCGGATTGAGAAATGATTACTAGAGCGATTTTCGCAGTAATGAACACTACTTAATGCTATTTTATTGTGATTAATAAAATGTTATTGGCCACTTACTTTTGTTGTTGTTCAAATGGCATGCTAGTCTGATTTTGTTGATGTATTTTTTTTTTTTCATTCCGTGACGGTATACAGCTCTACACATCCCTATTAATTGTCCTCTCAGGTGCATTTAAACGCGCAAATTTTCCTTGCTTTAGAGGACCTCGATCGGTATCACCTCTTAAACGTCTCTAGTCTCTCTACACGCGACCAAGATCAAGACATCACGCCTGAAAGGCAAGAATTTTTTTATTCAACAGAGAATTAAGTGTCTCAAGCAGATACACAGGAATCAGTGGAGTTAGTCTAACTTTATTTCCTGCGGAGCTTTTTTTTTTTATTAACCTTTGGTGAATGCAATTACATTGTGCTTCTCTTGAAATTACACCCGCGCTTCGCGCTCTTAACATTTACTAAACTGTCTAAATTATTATGTTTTCATTTTTGGAACAAATGTGCATATTTTGATTTGTGCCCAAAAATTCGAATAGATGCGAAAGTATATCAAACAGTTCTCGTCAACGTTTCCAAGAGCTCCCGTCTATAAGTAGTCGTAAGATGTAAGAAACGGATACCTTTCCAGAACACTCTACTTATCGAATGAGTCCGAATAAAAACGCACAAACTAGTGTGGGTAATACCTCAGTTGATCTCTTGTGAAACCATGTTGCGTGACTTTGGTAGTTAAAAACAAAGGTCCTCTGAAAGGATAAATGCGCAATTTGACGAAGTCGAAGTCGAGGTCCATAGAAACGCGAAAAAAGAATCATATGATTTTAAAACGTCGTGTTATTATCGTCCTTTGTTTTCATTAGTTGATTTCGTCACGCCGCCTCAAGGCGATTCAATTTTGTATCATTCAGGTCACCCATCCGTTTCGACTGACAACCAATTTGAGTCACTTGAGTCATTTTGGAAGCTCTGTGAGGTACATCTTAGTTGATGAGAAAAGTTTTGATCATCCAGGCTGTTGTGCAGGACAACGCCGGTGAGGCAACCTCCCTAGGTTGGTAAGAGATGTTCTTGTTCTGAGTAATGCCGGTTCTAAGCGATGTTTCAAAGATAAACCTGTGCGGAACCATATTCGTAAACAAGCTTCAATGTATATTTACATATGGTTGCTACCCTCATTATCTTTGAATTGGAGAACAAGCTGTCTTCAAGATAGTGAAAGGTATAACTAATCGTCTTTCTTGTTGATATGATAGTTTTTATTCCAGTTGTTCCCCTTAAGATAATGCTCTGGTAATATCAGTAAATCAAAGTGCTCTGTGAGCAAACTCGTGAATTGACACATGATTTTTTATCTGGTTTAGGGAATTTTGTGGTTGATTGTCATATCTAGAGTACGAGCAGTAGTTCAGTGTTCGCTAATGTAGCAAAGAAACAAAGTAACGTTGGGATAAGAAGGCATTATAATTGAAATGATCATGCTATTACATTTGACAAGGTGGATGATATCATGTGTTTTAAACGTCTATCATTTTTGTTTCTGGTTCAAAAGAAAAGGTTGGAAGTAAATGTGGGTGAAAAGTGAAATTTACTGTCTTTCGTTGTAAATATTAGAAAATCAAGGCAATACTGTCTTAATGAAAACATTAACGATTCCCTCTTTATCAAATGAGACAAACGGGAACGAGTTTTGAGTGATATAATTAAGCCAAGCCTGCCACCGTCATTTTGGATCTCCGCCTGGGTAGATTTAAGTCACGTGCTAGGCAACGTATAATCAATAACAAGATAGAATTTCATTTCAGGCCTAGTTATCAATTTCGTGGTGTGTAACTTTCGCATTTTAGTACGTTGTATGTATGTTGAATCTTCAAATTGTCTTAAAAACTTAAAAGAAAATTTTTCTTTAAAAATTCACTGAAATCGGTAGCTAAAATTGTTTGTTTAGGTGTTATCTGATTTTCGTGTTAACTTGTTATTTCGTCAGTCGCCGGCATCTTTTGTTGCTTCACACAGGAAAAAACACACGCGACGAAACGTAATGATCAATTTTGTCCTCAATCTCACGCTATAACAGAAAAAGCTTTTGAACATCTGTAAACTCCGAGCGCTTCGCAGTAAGTGATATTTTCAATGAATCTTCGGATTGTTTTCAAAATTGGGATTATTTTAGTTGATGAAAGGCCATTTTCTTACTTGTGACGGGTGCTGATTAAAACCCTATGTACAACCTATTCTAATTAACAAATAGAGAAGCCTTGACTGTGCTCTGTTCTGTTATAAAGCACGCAGGAAGCGGCTAGAGCACGAAAGAAGTGTAGGGAGAAACACGAGACGTAGTCGAGTGTTTCTTCCCACTTCTTGAGTTTCTTCTTCAGCTGTCAAAAGTGTCAAACCACCAAAGTTCACATTCTACGATAGTTTACAAACTAAAATAGTTCGGCAAGTCAAATTCAACACTTTTGCCTGAAGTTTTTAAGTCTCTAATACAAAATCTTGAAGTGAAATGTTCAGTGAACTTCAGCCGAATTATGGCTCATAAAAACACGCGAGTTTTTTCACATGACAAGGTAGAAAACAAACTGTTCAAGGCCAGTGTTTTTTGAGTGAACGACAGCCGAATTCACCGGAACATGAAGATCGCTCGTGATGATAGCGCCGCAAAACTCGGCTGCAGTGACTGATGTGACTTTCCACTCAACGTATCGGAAAGGATATCAGAGCAAGCTCTTATTTTTTTCACTCGAAGGGCGGCTGATGTAGTTTCTGAGGCTTGCTTTACTGTGATGATCGGAGATCGCCATGATGAGCGAGCCGCGATGAACTTCAGCATGATCATATTCGCTCAGACACCGTCATGATTAGTATGAATTTTAACAATTATGCCAGTTTGGTTAAATTTTGCATCATTTCTGTTTTGTTCTGTTTTGTTTTTGAACACTGAACTTTATATACTATACGAGTGTTTAGCTGTATTTGATTTTTATTACCGTACGTAAGCTTGCAATCTAACTGAGCGCGAAAATCTTTAAAACTCGGAATGTTTATTTTGTTTTTCCTTTGAGGATTTTCGTATCTGCTCACGTTTTAATAACGTAAATTACGGCGCCAGGTATGTTTACAAACCTTTGTCGGCTCGCTTCAGTTCCGAAATTTCACTTTCAATTATCGGAAAAAAGCTAAAAAGAAGTCCTGGAAAAGCTCGAACATAGTACAATTGGCAGATGGCGTGACAGCTTTAGCTTTAGCTCAGCTCTATGCTCTATACTCTCATAGAGCACGCTCTTTCAACCAATGACAGCGCGCGTTATATCCGAACTTTATTATAAAATGTAATAAGTGCTAAACGATAACAAATATCAGCCGTTTAACTCCTAGAATAATTATTGTCACTCACTGTGCGCATCTAAAAGAAGGTTCATATGCTGATTAATGTTCCCACTTCCTTCAGTTTTGCAATAATCAGTCACGGTACGTTTCAGTATCAATATATTTTTTTTTATCCCTGTACCATTTTACTCAGATCATTGATCAAATAGCCCAATAGATTCGAAGAAAATTAGAATTTGGGAGATCTTTACTAGTTTTGTGATGTTTCATAGAAGAGGCCGTATTATGTCTTTAACAGCCAGTCTGTCGATGTGATTTGCAGTTGACTGTAAGGGCTAATATTATGATCCGCATGACACTTATTATTAATTGACACTATATTCCTTGCAGGATTGTTGCGATGAATGCAAAATTCATAAACAAATCACCTTCTCGAATTGTTTACCCAGGACGACTGCTCCGAAAGACGATCGAGTAAGATTCGGTCACGGTAATGATTTCATTTTAAATATTCAAAAAATACTTGAAAACTGTTCACAAGCTGAAAGTTAAGCACGCTCAAATCTTTGTCTCGCAGGTGTTGTACCTATGAGCGTTTCTGGGATCGGGCTTTATTATATCTCGTGCAGATATTCAGTTCCGTGTGTAAATTTAGTCTTCATAGCTTCGGTCGTAAAGCATTGCAATGTTATGTGATTTAATTTTGCCGTCTTGGTGATCGGAAGTAACATTGACTTCAGTTCAAAAGCGAAAAAATAAATAAAAATCTATTGACTTCAGGTCGCTTAAATTTAAAAAAAAAATGTAGAGTTAAAATATTTCTAGTAAGCTCCCACAACTATTTTAAAAGTGGAAATTTTTATAAAATAAGTACTCCATTCGCGCTTGTTGGATATGAGATTAATTATAGACAACTCAGCGTAACTCACCTCGTCACCACATTGGCTATTTACTATCTTATATCCAACACAAGCTCATGGAATGAATGTTTTATATCACAGGTCTGTAACTTCACGATTAAGAGCACACTGACAAAACGAAAAAACACAACCCTTCATTTAAATTTGCGATTATTAGGCCCATCTTGACTAAATAGTCGGTGCAGTGATGTTTGTTTCCTTTTTCTTCTTCAGCTGACAAAACTTACTTGATCGTCTGGAATTCAAACGATACTTCGCAATGTTGAGACCCAGTTCTGTTGTGTTAAACTCGTTCAGAGTACTTCTTCTAGGTAAGTGCTTTAAATATGATGGGAAAGGTGTGTGTAGGTTTTAGCAAGGTGGTGCGTATAATTTAAAGCAAAAGAGAATTTCCTCTCTAGCTCTTGTCTACAGAAAAGAGATGAAACAGAGAAAGCAAACGCGCCGAGCATGAGCAATGCATAGGTATAATATGAATCTGATGTAGATCCAAATGTACCATATATAGCGGAGGGAACCAGCACTTCATTGAAATATGATAAAATTAATGACATATCGTTAAAGCTTCATTAAGCAATAGATCTTGTTAAGAATTTACCTCCTCAGTACCCTACATTCTATTTGCATCTCACTGCTTTTTGCGAAATATACCGGCAAATTTGAAACACAAACCACCATTTGTTACTTTCTTCACCATCCGGATCATTCTAATATGTTTGTGACATTTTCGTGCCTTGAGAATTGTGTCTTTACATATTTGTATACAGTTATGAGCATTTATTGTTTAACTATACGTGTGCGTGAATTTTCATGCTTCGCAACCTAAGAGTACACCGTCCTTGTTTAACCCTCCAAGCACCTTTTGTGATTATCTCATGAAATAGGTGGTTCCCGTGTAGGGAAATCGTGGCTGCTTTACAGATGTGTTCATGGCTGGATCTATGAATATATCGATGCCACAATTGGAGGTAAGAGATGCTTTTTCAATCAGAAACAATTGATTAAGTAAGTGTTTTTGACCATTTTTTATATCAACTTCTGTACTTTCAGTCTCCTCTTCTGTTAAGGAAGTAAATCTTGAAGATGGCACAAGAGTGAAGCTTAATATTTGGGATACCGCTGGTGCAGAACGCTCTGACAGTGTGAACTTAAAGCTGTGCGATAGAGCTCATGCTATCATTGTTGTGTATGACATAACAGAGGAACATTCTTTTGAAAGAGCAAAGAATTTGGGTTAGAAAGGTCCAGGAAATGGCCATCCCAAACATTTTTCTGGCACTTGTAGGGAACAAAGCAGACCTTGAAGCTAACAGGAAGGTGAAACGTGAGGTAGTTTGTTTAAAATTTTTTCATGTCATCAAATTGTTTCCTTTGTCTTTTAAGGCCGCATAGTGTTAAATGCCCTCTAGATATCCTAACTAAATAAAGGAAACCATCGATCTCTTCTCCGTCACAGATTAGATGTTTGTTTATCCTTTAAACGTTTATTTTACCTTGTTACAAAAATTGCACAATGTGAAACAGGTTTCTTGCCTTCACAAATATTTGGGGAAAATTCAACAAAATTCTCTCTAGAAGGTCTCTTACTAGGGAACTTGCGCTAGTTGCACGAAAGGTCGGGATCTATCACGCCTGTTGACAAAGACTTTCACAGTAAACTTGACTTCAACACACGTTGTAATCTGCGGTCCTGGCACGTCCAGGTACCAAATTTCTGACCAAAATACTGACCAAATCAATTGACCAAGTATTACGCTTGTTAAAACCAAGTACCACACTTGTTTTTACCAAAAACTACGCTTGTTTTCACCAAAGAAAGCTTTAAAACACACTTCTATTTAAGCTTAACTACAAAGGATTAATTAATGTCATGAGTTATCTTAAGGTTCAGGTCAAGCTTTTGTATTGTCTAATACATTTCAACACAAATGATCGGCCAGAAAGGAATTTCGCCTTTTTAGAAGATCAATCACTGTCAAAACAACGCCGGTTGATAACATCTTAAGAAAAGACTAGAACGGTTACAATTTAACTCTAATTAGAGATATGTTCAACAAGAACTGAAAGCTTGACCGGGATAAGGGGGAGCTGCTTGTGAAAGTTTAATTTGCAATTTGTTCACTCAGAATGCTCAGAGCTATGCAGAATCCAATGGAATAGATCTCTTTACTGAATTGTCAGCCAAGAGTGGCGGCAACATGGAAGAATTGTTATTGGCAATCGGTAAGTAACCCACGTTTATCAAGCGTTAGACAAAAAGAAAATTAAACTCGTGTCCAAAGAACAGCTACGTTCGTGTTAGTAAAACAAAATAGCACTAGAGAAGTTCTGCAGTAACACAACAAAACCAACAGCAACTATTTAAAGCAACCTTCTTTTAAAAAGGTAAACGCGATGCTGTTCATGGTAAAAATTAGTGCACAAGTAATGCTACTATACAAGTGCATCTGTCTTACTGTCTCAGCCATGAAACGTTGCATAGTAAACTAGTAGTATTCCACTATAGCGTTATTGGCTACTCAATGGTTTATGGTTAATTTTCGTAGGGTATAACTTAAAGCTGGCGCGTATATCGGTGACAGATTTGAAGAAGGCAATAGATAAAAATAGCAAGACCTTAGATCTTGGACGAAAAAAGCTGGTGAGAGTTCCTGACTCCGTTGCAGAATTACGCGAAGTACAGACACTGAACCTTTCAGAAAATAATCTCCCACAACTACCAAGATATTTGAAAAATCTGGAGAATGTGACAATGTTGATCTTGAGTCAAAATAAGCTGAAACGGCTGCCAGATGGTATTATTGAAATGACCAAACTGATTTGTCTTAACGTGAGCGACAACCAACTTTCCTGTATACCGAAAGATATCAAACGTCTGCAAAAACTTAAGGTGCTGGAATTGAGGAATAACAAATTACAAAGACTTGATGTAGATATCAGCTGCCTGAAACGACTTGAGAAGCTGTCTGTGAATGGTAACCCCTTAGACTTTGGAGCTGTCAGAAGTCTGATGGACTTAAAGGAGAAATATCAACGAAGGATTCATTTGGATATTGCAGGTGGCCGTAAAAATATAAATTTCTTTTATGGACATCTCCGTTACGAGTAAATTGATTATCATGCAATGAGGGATAGCGTGTAAGGGTGACGTCAATGATGAAAAAAAATTTTGTTCCATGGACACTGATAGGAGTGGGGAAAAGACGTCCACTATCCTAAAACAAGCGATTCGTGCAATAAATGGCTTTTTTCCTCGTTTGTTTTGATCTTCATTCATATTTCCTTCGCTTTTAATGATCATATCAACAGCAGTTAGGTTTATCTTATTCTCCTCAAAACATTTAACGAGTATATTATATTATGTTGCGATCTTCAAAAGAAGCAAAGAGATAATAACCTTTTTGTTACACGGGAAAATTCATAGCTAATTTAAAAATGGTTTCGAACAGCAGCAGTTTCTCTTCCTACTCCTCCTAAGACGCTGGTTTATCAATTGCTGAATTCTTCATGAAAGTTGAAAAAGGAGCGTAAATTTGAAGAATCGTAGTCGACTTTCTTTTCGTTTTCTTTTCTTAATATTTCTTGAATCAGTACACTCCTGGCGACGCTAGACCATTACTAACACGGAGGGAAACATAACATATGATTGCTGTTTAAGTAATTGCTTCATTTTTTATCTTGTAGTTCCGGCCGAAATACTGGCCCAAGGACCCGTTGCAAAACAGCTTTATGAAGACGCTCTAAAGGATGGGTCTGTAAGTGTTTGCCGAGCTCGAATATTGATCATTGGTCAGGATCGTGCTGGCAAAACAAGTTTGAAGAAGTCACTCCTGGGTCAACCGTTTGACCCTGACGAACAGAGTACCGATGGAATTGAGGTCGATCCATCTAAGTGTACCATTGAAGTTGACCAAATTAAGAACTGGAATCCCACTGGTAAAAAAGAATCATGTTTGGGTGAATGTTCTGAAGAGATATCAAGAATGTTGGCTGAAAAAGGTATCAGTGGATTCTTAAAATAGAAGAAACTGAATCAGAAGGAGCACCTTATGAAGAGCCCAAACAAGAACAACCCGTGGAGGACTCCAACATCAAGGATGAAAACGAGGTTTGTTGCAGTGCAAGTTTTGAATTCACACGCTCCATATGATCTCGTGTGAATTTTTTAAGTTTATGACCATATTTTTCCGTACCATTCGATGCATTTTTGCAAGGAAGAAAGATGCTGTTCACCAAACCTTTTTTTTTTTTTTCATTAAGATGTGAATTAGTATAAAAGGAATAATTTACCTGTAAATCGAAAAACACTTAACGATTTTGTGCTATGAGTGCGCATTGGAAAAATGGTAAATAGCTACTAAAGTACATAGCGCCGAGTTAGCCATAACCAATCTCGTATCTGTTGTGGTTCAATTTTATCCTTGGTTCAAATTTTCTTGTCTTTTGTTTGTGGGTATTGTAATGTATGATAATGAGTTTGAAACAAAGGAAAACAAAATTTGAACCAAGGATAAAATTGAACCGCAACATACCCAACAAGCGTAAATGGAATAATAGTTTTATTAATTTTCATTAAATGCTGAACGTTTGGATATATGGAGTCTTTTTTCAGCTTCGAACGGTTGGCGCAATTCATTTCCATATAGGGCGACTCGGAATATGAGCTGACAACTGGTGTTAAATGAACCAATCAAACAATAGAAATACTGTTAAAAATACCATTTTGAGGTTGAAAATTTAACGTCGGGAAAATTTTTCTCGATTTCTATTGCAAAAAAAAATATATATACTTAATTACTGCGTGCAGCACTTTCTTCGGAATGGAAGAAGTAAACATTACTGCGGCCAATACACTTCTCAATGTTAAACATGCATAGCTCCGCTTTTCAGACAAAAACGGTCTACTCATTGTTCTTATGAATTTTACTCTAATTCTTAGACTTAACAACAGCAGCTACCCGGAAAAGAACAGTGTTCCCTAATTTTAGAGAGTAGCTATTTCCGTAAGTTAACGTAGGTAAGACCTAAAAGCCTATCTAAAACCCCTTTATTAGATTCCTTGTACTGAAGACAGTCCTAAGAGTCCGAACGTTTATTCGTCAACAAGTGAAAAGCAAGATGACGAAACAGAAAACCAAACCCGTGGTTGTTCGCAAGAGAAAAGAGGCGATTGCGCAAGTATGGAGTTTGAGTCCGAATTGATACCAGATACAATGGTGGAACATGCTGATAGATTATTGAAGGAAATGATTGACGGTGAGGATAAAAAAAGCCCCCAAGATGACAAAGAATCGATTATAACTATCGATTTGTGGGACTTCGCGGGACAACAATTGTATTATGCCGCTCACTCAGTATTTTTTACTGCAAGAGCCGTGTATATCCTTGTGCATAACCTCAGCAAAGAACTGAATGCCCTAGCTCAGCCTTGTGTGAGACAAGGTTGTCACAACATCATCTTGGAAAACCCTGGCAGAGTAACAAATCTAGAAGATCTGCTTTCATGGCTTGCAACCATTCACAGTATCAAACCGAAAGACGAGGGAACGCCAGTTGACAACTCGGACACACTGATTTCCTACCGTCGACCCCCAGTATTCATTGTCGGCACACATGCTGACCAACCAATAGAAAATACCGAGACTGTGAAGGAAAAGATTCAACAGGCTGTATCTGGTAAGGAGTACGGAAAACATGTGATCCCACCTTTGCTCAACATTGATAACACACAAAGTCACCAGTCATTGATTGGTAAAACACAGCAAAACAAACCTGTGCAAAGCATCTTGAAGAGGTTGTTCAGTCAGCAGTCACAGGGGAGTCATCAGAGAGGTAAAGTGAAAAAGATGTAAATGAAAACAAGTTATATTTTTGACAAGCTGTAAATATATCATAATCTGAACGATCAGTTGTCTTTAAAGCTGTCCACGTTGACTCAGTTCTGGGCAGGAATTAAACTAAATTGATTTCAATTCACCTGTCACTAGATGTTATTCCGTTTTTTGAAATAAAACAAAAAGCGTGGAACCTACCACAATCAGCCGGTTAAATTCGTTATTTGTGGAATAATCTGGCTCTGAAGATAACTACTTCAATGAATGACGAAAAAAGTTCAATATCAAACCATTTTATTATTAAGTATTTCTGTCATAGAGTGTGAGCACAAGAGAGAGCTTCTTTCTTTCTTTTCAATACGTAGATCTGATAGGAGAATTGGCCCTTGGACATACATATAATAGCGGGGTGACCTTAGGGCAGTAATTTAGGATACTAATTAGACACATAAAAAAAATTGCTCAGTTCTGATTACCTAAGATAAATACAGTTTGCAGGTAATTCAATGCAGAAGGGGGTTAATTCAGTGCAAAGAAATAACAAACCAGACTGAACAATTCCTTGAACTGTTTAGCTGGACTTTGAACTTTTTTGTGCCTTAAAGTTGTGAAAATATCATTGTATATTATTGTTTTGATCGCACGCGGTTGTTTTGACCGAGCGCAGAATGTCACTTGCAGAGTTTGAATAAATTATTTTTGCACTTAATGCACACGCTTTGCTTCTGTTATCTCGTATTTTTTATGTATATTAATAATACGCAATCACATGAGTTTTCTCGTGCAATTTGGAATAAAATAAATAATTTTGTTAAGCTTTGAAAAAATTTACTGGTGCTTACTAGTTCCAAATTGCACTCGAAATCATGTAATTACCTATACTAAGTAACGTTTTTATTATTTGTCTCATTCATGATTTTAAGGAAAAAGTGGAGAAAAAGACAAAGCTATTGGTGATGAGATTCATACTCTCCGTGCCAAAATCATGGAAGTTCTGCGAAAGGAGCCATACATGGGAGAGAGGATACCAATTAGGTATAGAGCGTTTTACCTACAGGAGCAACGAAATAAAATTTGATTGCAGAGTTATGAAAATTACAATAAGATTTCCTACAATTGCCGTTTCAAATTTTGCTCTTCAGAATCCCTCAAATTTGCAATGAAACACTTTGGTGGGACTTTGACTGCAGGAGTTAAAAGTACAACGTAGATGTGCCCTCAGCAAATAAGGGGACAGAAAGCAGTCTATTCTTATGCAAGCTTGTTTTGCATCAATGACAATTGCACCTAAGAAGTATTGTTAGCTTGCGTGCGGTAATCACTGCATAAATTGATAAACCTCTAGCCTTTGAGACTATTGTCTTTCTTTTTCTGCAGGTGGTTCAACTTTGAAAAACTTGTGGAGACTTTCGTGGCTAACAATGTTTATTTTATGGACGTGGAGCAGCTTCAAACAGTTGTCAAGAAGGCGAACATAATAGAAGGGGATGAACATTTCAAAACCATGCTTAATTTTTATCACGACTTGGGGATGATTGTTAAGCACCGCAACACGGTCATTCTAAAAGCTCAGTGGCTAATTGATCTGTTCAGGAAGCTGATAACCATTCCCCCATTTGACAAAATGGTAGGAAATCTGTCATTCACGTTAAAATGTGTTTTTTGTCCTATAGGTAATATAAGAAATCAAATAAGTTCAGTTATTGCTATTAGGATAGATAGTAGCCGTGTTTCAAGGTGTTCACAAAATCAACAAATTTAAGTGGGCAACGGTTTTGAAGCACTGAATTGCTTGATATTGCGATGCAAAAGCAATACCAGCCAAACTGGATTTATCAGGGAAAATTCCAAAAATTTTCCTTCAAAAAAATTGATTTCATTGATGCCTTTTTAGATTTACATTCATTTGTGTTCAAACATCTATTTTTTTTATTTGAGATGATATCTTCCCAAGATAGCTAGTGTTGTCGAATTTGTTCTTCCAGCTGGTGTATTTTTTACAATTTTTGGCAAGAAGAGCTCACCTCGCGAGCTCATTGTATTCCTAATTAGGATCCTGTGGAATCAAAGCACTGGCTAGAACTCGAGAGAAATGGTGTCCTCAGCATGGAGCTTGTTGATCACGTGTTTTCAAAATTTCTTCGTCAAGGCGTTATCAAAGAAGACATCTTGGACATGATGGAGCTGTTTGGTTTGATTGCAAAGTTCTCGTCACCATCTCTGCCTGACGTGAAGTATTTTGTACCATGTCAACTAAGATCCCCACCGGAAGAGCTTCGTAAAATGGAGCCATCATCCACTGATCCTTGTCCTCTGTATCTTCACTTCCTCAATGGTTTTGTTCCGCATGGTCTTTTCCCGCGCCTTGTCTCAAGGACGACGGCTTGGGCAGCCGGGAATGGATCATCACACCTGCAAAAACTCTACCAGAATGGAGCTTGGTTTGTTTTAGAGGGAAACAGCATACACGATATGATCCTGATTTGCCAGAAAAGATTCATTAAAATTTTACTGAGAGAAATAAAGGAAGCCAAAGCAGTTCCAGTCTCTCTCTCACCTTCAACATCTGCAGACGTTGCAAGAAGCGTGAAATTGTTCTTGGAGAGTAGCTTAGAACACTTTTCGCAAGAATTCCCATACCTGAGCAAACTGAGGTATGAATTCTCTGTTGAATGTCCGTACTGTTTTCAAAGGGTTCAAGAATGTGCAATCCACAGAAAATCCTCGTGCGCACATGAGGACTGTTTACACCTTCTCGAAATTAAACAAGGAAAACGTTTGGTCTGTATGGAAAGCGTTGGACGTAGTGAAGTCTTAACAGTTCAAGGACAGAATTTGTGGTTTTCATCGGGAGGAACCGAGGTACTATTAAAATATCATAATTTGTTTCATGATAAAGTTCGGATACAACGCGCGCTGTCATTGGTTGAAAGTGCGTGCTCTATGAGAGTATAAAGCGTTGAGCTGAGCTAAAGCTGTCACACCATCTGCTTTCTCCGGGACTTTTCCCCATTTTTTATCTTTAATTGAAAGTGAAATTTCGGAACAGGCAAGTCGCAAATAGCAACAGAATAACCAAACAAAGGTTTGTAAACATGGTAACCATACACTCCATCAAAGAAAGAATGCTATTAGCATTTATTTTTCACTTCGTTAATAATCATTTGTGACCTTGCTGGGCAAAAGAACCTTGAAGGTTCTTCTGTTAAATGGGTAGAAACTACTGGATTGCTAACGGACATTATAATGTTTTTTCTTATCGTTCCAATTGCTGGTTTTCAAGTTCATCGGTAAACTAAAGTGTTCTAATACTCGTGCAAGGTGATCTAAAGGACCGCCTAAGTTCTCAAATTTTGATGGATAACTCACCATTTGAAAGCGCAAAAACGCTAGCCCAACCACGCACCGGAAGTGATCAACGGAGGAGTGACTGATTAAAATGGCATGAACGAGCAAACCATCTGTAACATTTAATTGTGTCTTTTAAGCTGAGAACGTATAAATACCACTTCGTTTTTACCCCATGATATGATGTCATACGACGTCATACAATGAGGTTTAGGTATGGAGGAAAAACTCACTCACTCACCTGATTCTGATTTGTCAGAGAATTAATGTAATCGATCAGCTTGTGAATGCAGATTTATTTCGCACCTTTTCAGTATGTAAATCTTAGTATGTATGTACTAAGGAATAATATGTATTTCTATTTTTTCGAAGGATTTATGCAAAACTGATGCGTCTGAAACATCATGGGATGCAACAGCTCGAATTTACCCGGCTAAATGTGCGTCAGCATTGAGAGTTACTCTTTTGGCTAGCGAGTGGGGATCGTCTATGGGGGGCTTGTCCACCATCAATCGACAGCTTTCCATACTACTGGCCAAACGCAGGGAAATAGAGGTCACCTTCCTAGTCCCAAAATTTAACTGCTCTGAAGAAGACAAAAGGACCGCTTGGAATCACAATGTTCTCATTAAAGAAGCAGAGAAACTTCCTGGTTTCGATCCCCTTGACTGGTTAAGCTTCCCACCTAAAGACCTCATCATTGATGTGGTCCTGGGTCATGGCGCTAAGTTAGGAAAGCAAGCCCAAGTCATCAGGGAGTCTCACAGGTGCCAATGGGTGCAAGTAGTGCACACTGCGCCCGAAGAGCTCGGAATGTTCAAGACCCATCCTAGAGCCGTTGCTAAAGGAGAACAGAAGAAAACAACTGAAGTAGATTTGTGTAAATTGGCAAATATAGTTGTAGCGGTAGGACCCAAGTTGACTGAGGCCTACTCTGCCTATCTACGCTCAAGCGAGAAGCAGCAAGACATCTTTACGTTGACCCCTGGCACATTCAAGGAGTTTTCCACTTTAAAACATGCTCCAGTTGACTCTGAAAAGTTTAGGGTGTTGACCTTTGGTCGTGGTGACCCTGAGGACTTCGGTCTTAAGGGGTATGATATCGCTGCTAAAGCAATAGCTGAACTGGATGACAACTCCTACCATCTGATCTTTGTGGGTGCACCTGATGGAAAACAGGACGCAGTCAAAGAACGTTTGCTGCAGAGTGGTATTTCTAATCGTCAGCTGACAGTGAGAAGGTTTTTGCAATGCCGAGAGAGGTTGAGAGAGTGTTTTTGTGAAGTTGATCTTTGTATCATGCCATCACGGACGGAAGGGTTCGGCTTAACCGCGTTGGAAGCCTTGTCAGCTGGTCTTCCCATCCTTGTTAGTGGAAACTCGGGGTTCGGAGATGCACTGCGTAAAGTGCCGTCCGGAAAATCTTTTGTGGTTGATTCTGAGGACCCCAAGGTGTGGGCTGAGGCAATTACTGTTGTCCGTAAGAAGGAGAGACCAGAGCGTCTACAAGAAACTCAGCGACTGCAGACATCTTATGAAGAGCAGTTCAGCTGGGAGAAACAGTGTAACCTTCTTGTTTATAAGATGTGGAACAAAGTTCATGGTGCGGGTATGCTAATGATTTTCATTAATTCCTTTCATTAGACTTATTTTCTTTTTGTGGTATGTAACTTTCCACTATCATTGATATGAATACATCTACCACCACGAATTATGTTTCTAAAACATAGGCTTTTCATTCATTTTTGTGTATATTGTCTATGTTTGCCAAAAAGGAAACAACTTTTAAAAATTGACAAGATAAAAATGGAAAGAAAAAAAAAAGACTCTCCAAAAACGATAGCAGCAAACTCAAGTTTCATTATCTTTCGTAAGACGAGTGTATTCCAAAACGTTAATGCACCAGATGCACAAATGTTATATTGTGCGATAAGCTCATGAAAAAATTTATTTACTCCGGTTATTCACAATGCAATTATTGCTTACTTCGCATCATAATTATCTGTTATGACAAAAAAGAAAGCAAAAACAAAAACATTGCGCAGCAGAAAGTTTAGTGGAAATTCTAACCAATAACCGGCTATCTTCTGAAGACTGATAGTTTAATTTGTTACTTTTCTAATTATTGAATCAGAAGGAAGAATTTGCTTAGTAATAAGGTTATTGACCTGTCATCCGAAGAACCTGATTGGGAACTCCTTGTCGTATTTTTCAAGTTTAAAGTCTTACCTTCCAACTGAAAGAAGAGCCTTATTCCCATCAGCAAAGTTTTGGATCAATTTATGTCCTCATGAATTATTTTTCCGTAGATGACCCTATTAAAAGGGAAAGATCTCGTTCATTTGAGGTTAGCACGCTAAATGGATACGAAATCAGAGATCTTGACTGGATTAATCTCCTTTGCAACCTTAATTTGGGTAGTTATTGCTTCACTGACAGAAAACTCGTTGCCGAGCCACATCATATTAAAGTTTCACTTAGCTTGCAATGCCGATGCCGAAAGAGATCCCAGTGGGAAAAAAAAAAAAAAAAAACTTATCATGTTAAACTCAAAATTCGGTCTAAAATTTGATGGATTTTTTCTTAAGTGAAACCTTTTATTTGAACTACATTGTATGATTCAATGAAACCCACCTCAAATTATTTCTCTGCTAGGGCCGTTTGAGCGAATCATTCAGGATCTTCAGCAGATGCACTTCCTTGCAAGCAAGATCAACAGCAACACTAACTTGACAGAGGAGTTAACGAAGATTGCATCAGATAAGGGCTTCAGAATTTCTGACAATCAAGGGTCAGGAAACTGCATGTTCCATGCCCTGTCAGAACAACTAGAAACCGTCAAAGGAATCAAAATTGAAAATGGCCAGTTGAGACAATCTTTAATTCAGTACCTCAGGGAAAACCCAAAACTGGTGAGTTACAATGAGCCTCATACGTAAAGAGAATATCAGAAGTTTTTTCACCAGTGCAGTGGCTTGACTTATAGTCAGTGCGTTTGACTCCAAGGCTCAGGTTAGAGACCAGGCTGATTCCTGCGAAAGACACTTTACTCTCACCCCCTCCCCACCCAGGAGTATAAATGGGTACTGGCGAAATGCTAGGGAAGCCTGATGAAATGCAAGGGGAGGAAGGGGGGTGGGCGGGTAAACTTGTGATGGACTAGCATCCCATCCAGGGAGAAATAGTAACACTCCCATTCGCTTTATGCCAACTGGAAACCGAGATAAACTCCAGCTGAGTAGGGGAGAGGGGAAGGCACCTTCATGGCTTGAGTACAGACCCCAACTTTACCTTTTTATTTCTCTCTCCGTTTTACGAAATGCTGTTACACCTCGCTGGGACACTAGTCCTCTTCACACTTAATATCTAGATACCTTCAAGCGTTTTTTTCACGTTGGCCTGACAATTTTTCTGTGATCACATACACTCATAGTTGGAGAGAGTCACGTTTCCAATGAACTGTCTTCTCCTAGACTTCAAAAATACAGTTATATTTTACCCTATACAAGATGCGTTGAGAGCTCTTATCGTGGATTTCAGTGCCTTCTCCCTGTCATAAGAATGAGAGGACCAGACATTCTCTTCCATATTCTCAACCAACTTAATAAAAACTCTCTGGTAGACTCTTGTCCTAAGTTATGTGAGTTGCGCGCTTAAAAAAATATTACTTTTAGAACCAATTGCCTACCGTCAGTTGAACTCGGACTAAACGATGTTCCTCTAACACACAATTTTGCATTTTTTTATTAAGAAATTGGTTGACATTTTACTAGTATGGTCACCTATCTTAAGACAATCATTTCCTAGAAGCTTGACGGTATTTATATGAACGCTCGTCGCGCGTCTGCTTGTCGCCGAATATGCTCGAGATCGCGTTGATACTGCAGCTGTCGATTCAGATACCCAACAGTATGACACGTGATCTTTGTTTTAATTTTTACTGTTTGCCTTTTTAATTGTAAGGAAGTTCATTTTGTGGTCCAAATTCCCTTCAGTTGTGTCTAGCCCCGTCCTTATGCTATTTGGAACTCAAGTCTTAATTACGTCTTTAATTGTTTCTTCTTACAGGCGGATGGAACAGATCTGTGTCACTTTGTCCATGGCCATGAAACATGGGATGATTACCTAACATATGTGGAACAAGATGGCGCCTGGGGAGATCACCTCATTCTCTGTGCAGCAGCGAATTGCTTTGAAACGTGCATTCACGTGGTCAGCAGTCTACACAATGATGTAGTCATCAGGCCACATTCTCTTGTTGACGAAAGCAAGCCTCTAGTACTGGGACATATTCATGAGGTACATTATGTCAGTCTTCAACCCATACAAGGTAAGAAGAGAAAAAACAAAAATCACGCGCTTTTCAACTTGAAAAGATATCTATCAATTATCCAAATCAATTACTATCCATAGCGCAGTTCAAAACCCGCATGTTTTTTTGCGTAAGGCACTAACTATGACCTAGGGGGCTACGAAGGAACTGTCACTTATTTTCGGATCACTGGGATGGTTAGTTATTTGATCGTGCTTATATTTAACAGTGGTAACGAACCAAACGCGCTAATTCCTTGCTGGCACGACACGCCAGTGTCTTTGGTAACTTTAAGTCTACTATAATACTATCATTTCATAAGTCGTGCGGAGTCATAAATTAGGCTGCGAATTTCACTCTCTGACTTTTTCATCCCAATGCATTTCACGATGGTATAATAAGTCACAACAGTGTTACTAAGGATTTATGCTCTCTTTTTTGTGAAAAGATCGAAGAAAGTGTTTGAACAACAAATTAGATATTAAAATATTTGGTTTTTTTAATACGTATCAAGGTAGACTATTTTTATCTACACAAACGTTCATCGTCAGTGGAGCATTGTTTTACATGGTTAAATTGAGAGGTGTCCGAACTCCCTTGTATCGAAACGACTTCATGTTCATCGGAAACATGGAAGGTTTAGTGGTGAAAGGACTTGCGCCTCTTTGGTCCAGTTTATTTTCCTGCACCTTGCGTCTTATGTGGGCTGAGTTTGATTTCGCTACTTGTTTTTTCTGAGCTATTTTCTTTGAGTGTTTTTCCCACAGTTCTGGGTTTCCTCCCTCCTAAGTGGCATCCTCAATTCCAATCACTAGACCTAAAATCATCTCTTTAACATGCCTCTTTGAAATTCTTGTTTATTTATTTTCGTATGTTTTCTAATTGCACCATTTTGATGTTTTGTTTTACAGGCTAAAGGAACGATTTTCGGCAGGTATAGCTATAGCCGGCAAGACCTTCACCAAGA